GAAGTCAGATTTTTGAGAGTAGATCACATTAGTTGCACTCGCTATCACTTATTCGCATAAACTTCATGACATGTGAGTGCTAAAGCGGAGACCTCGAATGGAGGACAGAAAGGTTTGGCGACGCGATATGAAACAAAACTCATACTCACACAAAAACTACTCACACACGCACACACACACACAAAAACACACGAAAAACACACACACACACACACACACACACACACACACACACACACACACACACACCCAATTATTCCACGTCTGTTCGTACCTTGGTTCTTGGACCACTGCTCGACCCAGCCGTAGAACTTCTGGGCGGACGTTCTGGAATCTGCAGCTGAGTAAAGCGTCTCGACACCTTTGTTGCGTGTCGCCACAACGTCGGAAACGGCGGCAGATGTGACGCGTTTGAATGCTTTGAGTTCCAATGCGAGAGCAGAGATCTGGTCATTTTCGAAATCCGGGTCGGTTGACAACTCTTTGAGGAGATGATGGCGAAGGCCAGGAGCCTCCCATTTCGCCTCTGTTATCACGCCGGTTCAAATTCAGTCGGCGAAACAACTCTACACTCCAAAGCAGTGAAGGAATCGAACCGAAAGGCTCGCGGAGGGGTTCGGGCAGGCGATCAATCAACGCCCATTCATCCTTCGCTGAAGGCTTGACAGTCGCCTAGAACGATGTCACAGTGTGAGCCTGAGAACATGCAACTCAAGACCATGATAAGGATGCTTACAGCAGGGGCTTTGGCTTCGGTCTCGGACGGAGGGCCAGAAGCAGAGGTCGAGTGGGACCTGTGGGGCCACATGAGCAGGTTGGGGCGCTCACACTTCCTCTCAATACGGAAGCGGACGCCGCCAGAGGTGGGGAACTGGAGGGCGCCAAAGGAGGGAACGGGGACGGCGCCAGAGGGGGAGAGGAAGGCGTCAAACGCCGGCTCGGCTGAAGTGGGTGGCGCAACTACAAGCACAATAGGCAGTGAGTGGATTGGGCAGTATTCTTCAAAGCAAGTAGCACTTGCTGTCACACATTCAAGTCGAGACGTCGAGAAGGATTGCGATCGCCAAGAGAATCACGATCGCTTAATTTGGTTAAAACCAACGCAGCCGAGACAAGTCTTCAAGCCGAAAGAGACGACGCACACCAGTCACCAGCTGCTAGTATGCAGGTGATAGAGTTGGCATTGTAGGCAAGGGGCGGAGCGCGAGTCCAGGGGCCCTGATGCCCGGTAATGAGACGAAACTCAGCACAGAAGCGAGAAACAACATTTGGCCGAACGTTGGCGCGCATGCACGCCACACAACGACGGCAGAGATACACAACGCATTGGCTCTCATTGACCAGCAGCACGGGAAGTGGAGGGAAGGGGCGTTTTTCGACGGAAACAAGAACAAGAACCTTACCATGCACACCTTTCGACGCAAGAGTCGCGGTACGGGCTGCCGCTTTGATGAGCGAAAGACGAGCACTCAGCATTGTGTTCAAGACAAGCGTACGGTACGAAGGATGAAACGACAAATGAACCAGGCCTCTCTATTTGTGCTTGAAATCCGAAACGTTGAGATAATGCTGATGTTTCAAACCGTTGAGGGGGGGGGAGTGTCAGCACGATGCTTGGTGTTCATTTTTATACATGTGTTTTGAGAAGCATTTACTGCAACAAGTCAATCACAAACAAATTCGGGCCCCAATAGACCCCTTTTCCCCTCGCTCTCATTTGTTGTTGTTCTTTCGTTTCGCTTAGAGCGGCACATTCTTGAACAGGTAGGACACGGATTCACCGTTGTGGGTTCGTCGAATAGCCTCTGCAAAGATGGGGGCAACATCAATTGTCTTGATGCGATCGCAAATTTGCTTCTTGTCCTCGTGTGGGATGGTGTTTGTGACAATGATGGCATTCAAGCGCGAGTCGTTCAAGATTTGGAGCGCCTTGCCAGAGAAGATGCCGTGTGTGACAATCGCAAACACGGACGTGGCGCCAGCCTCGAAGAGCTTTTGCGCAGCCAGGGCGAGGGTGCCGCAGGTGTCGGCAATATCGTCCACAAGAATGGCAGGCTTGCCAGTGACGTCGCCAACAAGCACCATTGACGCGACCTCATTTGCCTTCTTGCGCTCCTTGTGGATCAGGGCAAAGTCAGTGTTCAAGCGATCGGCGATGGATGTGACGCTGTGCGTTGAAGGAAGGAGCCAAGGGACACGGTTTCAAACAAAAGTCAACAACAACAAGCAAACGAGCAAGCAAATAAGAACGAGAAACAAATCAAAAAAGAAAAAAAAAGAAAAGAAAAAAAGAAGGGGAAAGCCAAAGCCGATGATGTTCTCTCTCTCTCTCTCTCTCTCTCCCCTCTTCCCTTTCTCTCCTCCCCCCTCACCACCTTTCTGTGCAATACACATCAGCCGACACGCAGTCTGCTCGAAAAAAACAACCAGACATCCAATCAACAACAATCACCAACGACAGAAAATCCTCAACTAATGCTCACCGTTTGGCACCGCCGGCGTCGGGCGAAACAATGACGGACGACTGCCACTGGGGAATGTTTTCGGTAATGTACTTGATGACAGCGGGTTCGGCGTAGAGGTTGTCGACAGGGACGTCAAAGAAGCCCTGGATTTGGGATGCGTGCAGGTCCATGGTGATGATGTGGTCGGCACCGGCGACCGTGAGCATGTTTGCAACAAGCTTGGCAGAGATTGGGGCGCGGGACTTGTCCTTCTTGTCCTGGCGAGCGTATGGGAAGGAAGGGATGACCGCCGTGACGCGACGAGCCGACGCAATCTTGCACGCGTTGATCATGATGAGGAGCTCCATCAGGTTGTCGTTGACGTCGCCCGAGCCGGACTGGACAATGTAGACGTCCTCATCGCGAACAGACTCTTTGATTTCGACACTGTTGGAACAGCAGACAGAGGGGGGGGGATCAGGTGGGGTGGGTGAGTGAGTGAGTGAGGATTGGTGATTGGTTTTGAGAGCCATTGTGTGTCAGATTCTGAGACTGCTGCTTGTGCTGCTGCATGTCGAACTGTCAGCAGGGTTTTGAAATCACGATGTGTGTGTGTGTGTGTGTGTGTGTGTGTGTGTTTGGTCGGTTTCCCCATCGCCTCCTTTTGTTCGTCTTCATCATCATTGTTGTTGTTCAGTGTTTCAGCGAGTGCTGCTTTTTTTCTCTATCAGAGTGAGAGAGACAGATAAACAGAGACAGATAAACAGAGACAGAGACACAGCGTCGTGTGTGTGTGTCCGCGTGGAGTGCCAGTGCAAATTTTCGTTTGCGAGCTCGTTGGGTCCACAGCGTTGGTTTTAAGCGAAACCGCGCTCTCCCTCATTCTCTCTCTCTCTCTCTCTCTCTCTCTCACTCAATCACTCAATCACTCACTCACTCACTCACTCACTCTGAGATACACACACCCTGCAATGACACGACAAAATCCACCGCCCCTCCCCCCTCTTTCGAATCGGCAGCTGGGCGCAGTTTGACTTCTGACATGGGCCACAAGTCCTTGTTTTTGTGGCTTTTTTGGGGGAAGGCTTTTTGCCCCCCCCCCCCGTGGCTCCCTCTTCACTCAGTCACACACACACACACACACACACACACACACACACTCTGGCAAACTCTGGGTCTCTCTTCTCTCTCTCTCTCTCTCACTCTCTCTTGCTGCATTCGCTCGCCTCTCGCTTCAAAACGCACGCTACACTGGCTCAAGTCTCATGTTCACCCCCCATCTCTCTCTCGCTCTCTCAAAAGCAGCAGCAGCACACTCACCCAGTCTCGTTGTTGGCAAACTTCTTGACAGTCACGGCGCCGAGCTCGGTACCAAGGCGCGCGGCAATGCGGGCGGCGAGATCAGGATGCGAGTTGCCAGAGAAGAGCTTGATGTTGGACATTTGGTCCTTCTTTGAACAAAAATCAAAAACAAGAGTGACTCGATCGATCTACACTCAGCAAAAAGCAGAGGGAAAGAGTGTCAAAAGGAAGGGGTGCAGTGCCTGATCTACGAGCGTGTCACAAACGATGCCTGGTGGGGAAGCTTGGGAAATGAAGAAAAAGGAAGAAAAAGAAAGCGAAAGAAGTCCTCATCAAACAGCACGAGCACACAGGTGGGCAGACAGATGATGGAATGGATTTGATGCAACGACAGCCAACGATGAACAAAAACCAAACAAACAAACACACGAACAATGGCGAACAGCGCACAGAACAACAAAACAACGAAAGCCCGAATTCAGTGCGCCTCGTTTTGTGCGTCTCAAATTCTTGCTCGAGACTGTTTCTTGTCATCCTTTGGTTTGCTTGTTTCCTTCGACTGTATCTTTTCCTTTAATCAAGCGCGTTCAGACCGAGCGAAAGCAGCTCGCCAGCAAGCTTCACCGGCGCGTTGCTGAGGAGTGAGGACAATCCTTCCTCGGCAGTGGTGCGAACGATGCAGTCGACCGCGCTCCTGTAAGGAGTTGCGCGAGGGTTGACTGGGACGGCGGCGCGGAAGCCGGGATGGTCCTCGTAGGCCCCTTGGAGCAGCATGCGGTGCGTGGTCTTGTTCAGAGCAGCCAGCACGAGAGCAAACGAGATAGTGACGCCAGCTTGGGCAACAAGAATGACTGCCGGGGCAGGGTCGATGCCAAACAGCTTGCGGAACACGACGGGCATGGTAGTCTCGCCGAGGGTTGTAATGCACGACTTCAACGCAACGGCATCCGGAGCTGGGAACAGACCGCGAAGTCCACGCTTGGCGTACACCTGCTTCAGCATATCGACAAGGCCAACATAGGGTGACGACGGGTGGCGGGCTTGTTGACTGTGCAAAACAACACCACAACGAAACGGCAGATATTAATGCAAGTCAGGAATCAATCTCATTGCCACCTCCGCGCACATTCAACCGATCCTCCTTGTTCTCAAATCCAAAAAGCTCCTTGTTCTCAAATCCAAAAAGCTCCTTGTTCTCAAATCCAAAAGCTCTCTGTTCTCAAATCCAAAAAGCTCCTTGTTCTCAAATCCAAAAAGCTCTTTGTTCTCAAATCCAAAAGGTCACCAAAAATTGTCTTACCGAACGACAACCATCTGGAGCGGCTGGACGGCTATTTCGGCCAAAAAGTGGCTGGCAAAGGCCGAGAGCATGGACGCAGGCGGAAGGATGAGCTCTGCATCGACGTGCTCCTGGTACATGGCGCGGAGGACTTGGATCTGGACCTCGCGTGGCTGGCGCATGAGTGCCTGGTCCACCTCGGGATCGAACAGGTTTTCGTACGTTGCGCCCGTGGCGTACTTGAGCACTGCCTGGAGCGTGGCCTGCAGCGTCTCACCGAGCACCTGGTGCAGCCACGACGCAGCGGCGCCGCGGTAGAGACCTCCGACGACGGGCAGGCCGGGGAAGCCGCGCAGCCGCCCGAGCGCCGACCACACGCCCGTGACTGGCAGCGTGACGGTCGTCGGCAGATGTGCAGCATCATCAGCAGCAGCATGGGTGTCGGCGTCAGCAGAGGAGGAGGAGGAGGAGGAGGAGGAGGAGGATGAGGTCGATCGCTGCTGCTGCTGGCCAAGCTTTGGCAGGTCGGCAACGCGCTGCACGTTGTACAGAGTGATGGCAGACGCGACGGGGCTGAAGACGAGGACAGAGCTGAGGTTGGGAATAAGCACGCTGACGAGCGTGTCGAAGGCAAAGCTGGCTGTTTGGGCGAGCAAGCCGAGCTCAGCGTCTCCGGCGTCAGACATTGTGGATGGCGGAAGGTTTGAACGACGAAACTACGAATGGACCAACAATCCAAAAACAGAGCGAACGCACGTTCGAAGAATAAAGACACAGTTAACGCAATGATGAACATGGTTGAAAAGACAACCCGTGCAGGTGAACGTTGAGCGCTGTTGAAAACACGGACACGGCTTTTTTTTCTTTGTTTTTCTGAAACACACAATTCACTCAACGCAGCTTGTTGCCGGTGAGTTCACGCTGCAGATGGACTGTACTTGTTCAATGCACTGAAGAAGAAGCTCGTGGATTTTCAAACATGACACAAAACAGTCAACAAACTCCCATCTCCCCACATACAGTACAACGCGCGCGGTTGCAAACAATCTCTTGTCTTATTTCCGTGCAGCCGGTGTAGCAGCAGCAGCAGCAACATCAACACCAGCAGCAGCAGCAGCAGCAGCAGCATCAGCAGCCGCGTTCTTGGACGACATGGATCGGTTTGCAAGGATGGCAGCGGCGGAACCGACACCGAGCTTGTTTTCGTAGAATTGAGCAATCTGCTCGTCCTGGGTTCTTGATTTTGTCGTGACGAATGGCGGCGAGTTGAGGCGATCGTCTGTGAGCACGACGACGCGGCCTGGCGTCGAGAAGCGCTCCTCGACCGTGGATCCATCGGACAAGATGACAATGCCACGGTACATGCGGGCGGCATTCCGTCGCCGGACCCCGCGCGATGGCTGCTGGTGGTAGATTGGCGCGGTTGCAGCGAGCACCGTGGCAGGGCCAGCCGTGGCAGTGGCAGTCGCCGCGCTCTGTGAATGGTCAAGGGATGCAAGAGAGAGTGAGAGTCGTTGAATTTCGTGGCCTTCTCACTCTCGGACTGCGCTCGTGAGGCGGGTGTGCTTCTGTGCAAGCGCATTGCATTGTGTGGGTCTCTGCGAGGGGAAGTGCGCGCGTTGGGCGGAAGTGGGGGGAAGCAGAGCGGCTGCTGGCCAACACGCATATGGCTTTGCTCTCTCTCTCTTCTCTCTCTCTCTCTCTGTCTCTCAGTGTCGCGGTCGCTCTTCCGCTCTGAGCTCGGGTCCATCATGAATGCATGCATAAAATGGAGAGCAATGCAGACGCTCACCATTGAAGGAGCGGACGACGCCAATGCAGGCAATGCAGCGACCACTCGCCGTCCCATCATCATCATCGTCGTCATCATCACCATGATGCTGATAACAAGATTTCAATAATAAACAAGACTGTATTGCATTTGTGTGATTCATCTCATCGAGATCGACTCACTGCGCTTCCATTGCACGGTACAGCACAGAACTGCATCCAAACTTCGCCCATCTGCTCATTCTTTGCTCATTCATTCTTTGCTCATTCTTCTTTGCTCATTCTTCTTTTATTATTATTTTACCCGCCCCTTGTTGAAATGTCGCGACCTCAGCGGTAATCCTTTCACAACTTGGCTTTTTCACTTTGTTTTTTGGCGGGAAAACAACTCAAACAACGCATCCGCTCACCGTCTCGCTCACTGACCCAAAGCGGCGGCGGCGTCAACCATGCCATCTTGTTGCTCACTGGCAATTCGTGTGTTTGTTTGGACGTTGTGTGTGTTGCGCCTTCAGAGCGTCTGCGAGCAGGACGAGCTCGTACGCCAATCAAGACGACGACGACGACGACGACGACGACGACAATGAGCAGGACAGCGGAGACGAGCCAGGCCTCAATGCTGACAATGATGACAATGATGACAAGGACGACAAGGATGACAAGGAACGCGCGGAACAAGCACCAACAGACTCGGATTCAAAACCAGCAACTCCCGCCAAAAAGCCTCCAAACAAGCGCCAGTCGCGCGTCTCGAACGACGACGACGACGACGAGCTGCAGCGCGTGCTGGAACTCTCCAAACGGGAGGCAACCCACGGCGGCGTCGCTGTCGAGATGGATGTCCAACAAGACGAGGCGACAACCTCAGCCCGCGTCGCCCCTGCGAAACGAAAAGCAGCGGTGATGGACGACAGCGATGACCAGGATCTTGGAAAGCCTGCCGATGGTACCAAGAACGACAACAACAACGACAACAGCGACGACGACGACGACGAGAGTGCAGACGAGGCAGCACCAAAGCCGAAAAAACAGCCGGCGAAACGCGCTGCACCTGCGCGGAAAAAGACACGACGATACGAGTCGGATGATAGCGCAGACTTTGATGCCGACGACGGCGGTGGCAAGAGCAGCGAGAGCGAGGCTGAGAGCGACTTTGACGGCAACAGCGATTCGGACTCTGGCAAAAAGTCCAAAAAGAAGAAGGCAGCCGCACCAAAAGGTAAAAAGGCTCCAGCCGCGCCCAAAGCACCCAGAGCCCCAGCTGCGAAAAAGGCGACCAAAGGAGCCGCTGCGACTGCTGGCACTGGAGCAGCCGCCGCAAAGAAGGCCGCCACTGTGCCTGCTGCTGCGGCTGCTGCCAAAAAGCCAGCCGCTGCCACAGCCCCAGCTGCCCGACCGGCCCTCGCTAAACCTGCCGTTGGCGCAGCTCGGTCGATCGCTCCTCCAAGACGGACATTTACCACGCCTGCGTCCGTCGCTGCGCCTTCTCGTGACAGCGACGATGAAGGCGAGTCGACAACGCGAACTCGTGCCTACAACGACGACGAAGAGCCCTCTCGAAACTCGCGCGATGCAGAGTTCGACGACAACGAGGACGGTAACTACGATCGTGCTCAGCGAAAGCGAGGCTCGGATGCAGACGAGGAAGACGATGAGCCCGTTGTCAAGCGAAAGCCGGCAGCTTCCTACACGCCCGTCCGACCGGCTGGTGTCGCTTCGCCGTCAGCGCAATCAGCAGGCCGCGTAGCTCTTGCTGGTGGTGGTCGCGTTATCATTCCTGGCGGAGGCGGCACGCCATTCAGGCGTGTGGGGTTGTCACGCAGCTCGAATGTTCCGCCATTACATCCAAACATGCACAAGTGATTCTCTCGATCGCGGGGGGTTGTGCTTTTCATCGGGTTGTTTAATACATGTCATTTCCTTGTTCGAATGTTGTCATCGAATGTTGGAACGAACAGAGTACTGTACTTTCACATTTATTTCACACGCCATAACGCTCTGAACATAAAAGCAACAAAAGCCCAAAAATCACAAAAGTCCCGAGCTTTGTTAATGCAAAACGCCAAACTCGGCAAGATTAATGGCTGGGAGAGCCGGAAGCTGGGGTGCATACGAGAAGGGAGTAATGCCGAGAAGACGTTGCTTCAAGGCATCATCCACATTCAACTGGCGGATGACAGCCTCCATCTCGGGCTGACGGAGGGCAGCACCAGTGCGGGTCGCCTCCTTGATGAGCGTGTAGGCGTCGTCCACGCCAGCGTTGCGAAGAACAGTCTGGATGGCCTCGGCAACCACGACCCAGTTGTCGTGCAGATCGCGCTCCAGCGTCTCCTTGCGCAGCTGCAGCTTGTCCAGACCACGGGAAATGGACACGTACGACTGAAGCGAGTGGCCAAAGGCGACGCCGAGGTTGCGCAGCACGGTTGAATCGGTCAAGTCGCGTTGCTGACGGCTGATGGGCAGCTTGCTGCTGAGGAACTCAAACAGCGCATTGGCGACGCCCAGGTTGCCCTCGGCATTCTCAAAGTCAATTGGGTTGACCTTGTGCGGCATGGCAGAGGAGCCAACTTCACCCGCTTTGGTCTTGAGTCCAAACATTTCCATGGCAATGTACGTCCAGATGTCGCGGCACAAATCGATCAGAATCGTGTTGACGCGCTTGTAGGCGTCGAGGAGAGCAGCCAGGTTGTCGTAGTGCTCGATTTGAGTGGTCAGCTGCGAACGCGACAGCTGCAGGCTCGAGTTGACAAAGTTGTTGCCAAACGCCACCCAGTCGACACCGGGGAACGCCACGACGTGCGCGTTAAAGCCTCCCGTGGCACCACCGAACTTGGCCGAGAACGGAATCTGCTTGATGGCGCGAAGCTGGGAAACGAGGCGCTCGACAAAGACGCCAATCTCCTTTCCCAGGCGCGTGGGTGTAGCAGGCTGGCCGTGGGTGCGGGCGAGCATCGGAATGTCCCACCTGAGTAGCACAAGCGACACAAGGTGAGTATACAGCAGCACATCAACGCGAAAGAGGGTTCGCCCCCAACAAACCAGGCCATCCGCCACCACAGGGCCAAAGAAAGTGTGACATCCTCGTTCACTTCACAGATATCGCACACATATGCTCTAATCAAGAAGGCAAAAAGCGAAAAAAAAAACAAACGGTGCTTACCACTCGGTGGCGAGGCGGTGCAGAGGCTGGAGGATCATTGTGGTAATCTTGGGCAACAGAACACTGTTGGTGGCCTCCTGCAGGGACAGCGGGATGCTCGTGTTGTTGACATCCTGGGAGGTGAGGCCAAAGTGGATAAACTCCTTGGAGGCAGCGGGCAGCCCAAGCTGGTCAAACTGGTCGCGCAGCCACATCTCGACAGCCTTGACGTCGTGGCGTGTCTTTTCCTCGATGCGCTTGATGGCGAGGCTGCTTGACGTGGAAAAGTTTTGGTAGAGTTCGCGCAGCTTTTCAGCCATGCTTGCGGCGCCATACTCGTTGACGAGGGCTGCCAGAGCGGGCACTGCGAACGGCAGGGACGAGCTGGGCGAGCTGTTGATGGATCCGTCGGTGCGCGCAGCCGCGAGTGCAATAAAGTACTCGACCTCGACCTTGACGCGGTAGCGCTGTAGGGCAAACTCGCTAAAGATCGGGACGAGCTCGGTGAGGGCAGAGCGGTAGCGGCCGTCGATGGGTGAGAGCGCGGTGAGCGCGAGGACTGCAGCAGAGTCTGTGCATTCAAACGGCGGGCGACGCGATCAGCGTGAGTGAGAGTGAGAGTGACTCAGAGTGAGTGAGTGAGTGACTGAGTGAGTGAGTGAGAGTGACTTTGGTCGAATGGAGTGAGTGACAGCCAGCGCGTGCTCAGTGCCTCGACCATGCCCATTACCAATCATTGGGTTCTCATGGAGCAATGATGAGTGGGGTGATGGTGGTGGAGGTGGTGGAAGACAGACAGACGGACTGATGATGATGAATGAAGAGACACATGGTGCTCTCCGACGCACTGCACCCAGCGCCAAACTCCAACGCAGGGGAGGCACTGGGGCCCCCCTCTGTCATCAGCACGCAGCAGGCAATCGTGTTCCAGAAGGTTGCTCAAACAGCAACCGCGGTGCATTCAGAACGCTGCGGTGGGACGGGTTTGGGGACGGAGGGTTGAGAGGACAGTCAAGCGAAACCTCACCGTCGGACATGTGAAATGGAGCTTGCTTTGGTGAGGAACAAAAGGACTGAGCTTTGAAGATACACAAACACAAACAGGGAAATACGCCTTGTTTCAGAATTGAATACATAGGGGAAAATCTGACGAGAGAACCACAGATATCATCCTCAATCAGATCCAGCTCCAGCTGTTTGACATCAGGTTCTGAGATGCCCGAACAAGTGTGCCAGTTGTTGTCGGGGATGAGACGAATTTACTGGCTGCACAAACAAACGCGATAGAAAAATATAACAAACCAACAGCATCACAAACAACGAAAGATCATCGACATCAACAAAGCAGCAAAACCAACAATAGAAACCACAGAGTCCAATCGAAAAACAAAGAACAAAAAGCACAGATCAAAGAAAGAAGAAACTCAAGCCATCTCATCACTTTTGCCGCCTTGCGAGAAGCGCGCTTGCAGCGGATGGCAGAGGCTTGATCTGAATGCCGTTGTCGACACGCAAGGACGCGAGTGCGTGCGACATTTCCTCCTTCCGAGACAAACCAAAATCAAAAGCCGTGGGATTTGGTAAGCAACAGCAAAGAGAAACGCGAACAGCAAAACAAAGAATGGTCACACATCATACCTTTGTGTCTGTCAAGTTGGTCTCAAACTGCAAAATCTTGGGAGTGAGCAACGGAGTATGCGGGACCTCCATCGAGCCCTGTCGGAAGCAAGAGCGGAAAGCAACAAAACAACAAAACCAAAACAGGAGGTTCCTGTGAGTGTCATGTACAACCGAGCCATCGACACAAAGCACTGGAATGGCCCGACTTACAGAAATCCAGGGATGCCGCCACATTTGCTCAATGGTAATGCGCTTGCTAGGGTCAGTGTCCAAGAGCTGCTTGATCAGTTGTTTCACTTGCGGTAGTCCAACGGCGGAATCATACAATGAACAAAACAAAAACAGACAGACAGAGGCGCATGAGACGACGATTCCAGCAATCTCCATCTCAGAAAGCGTTGGCTGACGGTTTGTTTGTTTATTTACCTGACGGGGATACTTGGCCCCACTCCTCGGCAGGAAAGTCATACTGGCCAGCGCGAATGCGCTTCTTCATGCCGGGGGAAATGTTTTGCCCACCCTCCGAGTAGAATGGTGGATAGCCCGCGAGGAGAATGTACAAAATAACGCCCAGCGACCACATGTCGCAGCTTTTATCGTACGTGGCGGTGCTCTTTGCCTCTGCCCTGAGGATTTCAGGTGCTGTCATGGGGACAAATGATGTTAGTTGAATTCACGCACAGCAGCAGACCCGCCAACGTGAACAGACACGTACCAACATAGTAGGGCGTATAGCAGGGGGTTTTCAAACCAGCATCGTCCACTTCCTTGGCAAAGCCAAAGTCGGTCAACTTGATTTCTGACGTTTCAGTAGTGTCCTTGAACAGGAGGTTTTCGGGCTATTTGTTTGTTTGTTTTTTTCGGCGGAAGGATCAATCCAGAGTCAGTTTTCGCGCAGGCTTGTGCATAATGAGGAAGACGAGAACATCTAGCCACGCTGCTCACCTTCAAGTCGCGATGGGCCAAGTTGAGCGAGTGAATGTGCCGTGTTGCCGAGGTGATCTTTCGCATAATGAGGGAGGCTTCGTGCTCGGTAAAGTGAGTCTTTTTCTGGATGTGTTCGAACAGCTCTCCACCCGCCATGCTGGATACAAGGAAGTATGACATTACACAAACAGATGGAAGGAGGATGAGTGCACGCCTCAGCACGCTCAGCAGCGAAACAACAATTGGCTCTTACAGCTCCATGACCAAGAAGAGCTTCTTGGATCCGTTGACGGCGTTTTCGTACACGTCGATGATATCTACAATGTTGGGGTGTCCGCAGCAGCGCCAGTGCAGGTCGATTTCGCGTCTGGATCGTGGCCTGTCATCGAGCACCTGTGACATGATTATTACGAAGGTGACAAATTGTTAAGAATGTCCGAAACACACAAAATATGCGTTGTGTCGAAAGGTGATCAAATGTTCGTCAGTTCGAATGAGCGACTGAGAAATGAGCAAAAAATGTCATGTCGGATGCGAAATTGTTGTGGTTTCTTTTGAGTTTCGCTTTTGAACGAGCGAGCGATCGCCAAGTCAGTGCTGATCAACACAACTGATTGATGAAGTGGAAGTTGCGGCGACACGGAGAACGAGGTAGAATGAGCGAGAATGAGAGAACGAGAGAATGAGAGGAGAGCAAGTGCGGAATCACAAAGGTCTGATCTGCGGTTGTTCCATTCTAACCGTGTTGAGTGCTGCGACGCATCCCGTCTCACTCATTCATTCACTCATCACTCATTCATTCATTCATTCATTCATTCATCGTGATGCTGCTGCGCTCGACTGCTCGACTGCTCGACATCAGCATCATCAGCAAAACGCACATTCCCACTGACTTCCTCCCCTTCACACAAACCCCAATAACAGCAACAACCGCCCGAAAGTGACGACGCGCTCACTCGTGCAATGAGCAAACTACATCCAACTAGAAGCGTGCTTTGACCAGCCCAAAAAAAGCGACGACGACGACGACGACCCGCTCCGAGGTTCCAAAAAGCAAAGAAGCCAAGCCAAAAGAACGAACCGCAGCGCCTCACATTCAAACGCCCCTCATCACTTCAAAACCCACAGACCAAGAAAAGCACAAGCTGAGCACGGGGACGAGGCCTCGGGAAGGGGGAAAGCACACAAAGAGAGAGAGAGAGAGAGAGAGAGAGAGAGAGAGAGAGAGAGAGAGAGAGAGAGAGAGAGAGAGAGAGAGAGAGAGAGAGAGAGAGAGAGAGAGAGAGAGAGAGAGAGAGAGAGAGAGAGAGAGAGAGAGAGAGAGAGAGAGACCGAAGCATCAGCATTCATTACCTTGAGCGCGTAGGACCGCATGGAGACGCGGTGGACGCAGCGGCGGACCTTGCCGTGGACGCCGACGCCGAGAGTGACGTCTGTGATGGAGTAGTCCTCCTCGATCGGGTTGAGCTTGGGCGTCAGGTGGCGCTGGTTGCCGTGCGACAGATGCAGCTGCTGCCCTTGAGCCTGAGTCTGAGCTTGAGGCTGAGCTTGCCCTCCTGCAGCAGCAGCAGCAGCAGCGGCAGCGCCGGGCATGGGACCAAAGCCGTTTGCAAACACACTCGAGCCACACTCGAGCCAGCAAGCGAGCCCGTGCTCGACGTGTGCATTGGCTGGACGGGCAGCGGCTGGTGGCCCAAGTGCGCGTGAGTGTGCTGCTGCGGATGCTGCTGATGCTGCTGGTGGTTGAGCGCATCACTCAGCGGATGGACCTGCTGCTGATGCTGATGCTGTTGCTGTTGTTGTTGCTGCTGCTGCTGCTGGGCGTTGGATGGCTTGCCGTGGTGCCCAAACATGTTGGACAGGAACGACGACATTTTTGGCTGAAGAATAAAGTTCAAAAAGAAGAATGACCCTTGAAATGGATGATTGTTGAAACTGACGAACTGCTTGCTGAGATGACCAGGGCTGGATACTGCCATTCACAAAAAGAAGCAAGACATCCACAAAGCGGCGGGGACGTGGGGAGGCGGGGGGAAAACGGGATGAAAGAACGCGCTACGCAGTCGTCTCAAACGCACTGAACTTCGTCAGGCACTTCGTTGTATTCTGTTCATGTCTCAACATATAACAACAACCAAAAAAGACATTCATTGCCACAACTACACAATCAGCAAAACAAAGACAACAAGGGCCCCAAGCATCGGCAAGGGGACGAAAAAACAAAAAAACAAAAGCCATCTCAGCCAAAAAGCAGCTCTGAGCAGAGTTGAGCAGTAGAAATCCACTTCCACTTGTCGGCCATCCGTCTCGAGGCACCCTGCAATCGATCTATAATCCAACACCAGACTTGTTCGTTTAACGGTAGCTGCCGTAGCCCTTCTTGGCGACCTCGACGTCGGCGACAAACTCGTTGAGGTAGGTCAGGAGGGCCTTGCGGGCGTCTCGGAGGCTCTGGTCGCCCGAGATTTCAATCATGTCCAGCTCGAGCATGATCTTGGTGACTGCGTCGTCAATGATGAGGATGCGCTTGTACTGCGCTGCGACAAAGCCGCGGATGTCGTCCTCGCTGGCCGAGCCGTCGAGCGCAGGCGCCCCGCTCATAATCCCGCGGAAGTCCTGCAGCAGGTCGTCTGCGCGCATCCTGCACTTGTGTACCTGCACGTAGCGCGAGTCAATCCCAGCGACGCCGTGCTGATGCTGTTGATGCTGTTGTTGTTGTGGCTGTTGTGGCTGTTGGGATGGCTGCTGCTGCTGCTGTGCGGCGCCTGCGACTGCGGCTGCGGCTGGGGCAGCTGGCTTTGTCGCACTTGCTGCTGCAGTGGATGTGGATGTGGATGTGGCCGTGGATGGCGGTGGCTGTGCGACGGCTGCTGCGGTCGATGCAGATCCTGCTGCTGCGGCTGCGGTCTCGCCCTTCTGCTGCTTGCCGCCCTTGTTTCCCATGATTGAATGATGTTAAAATTGTCGATTGATTTGAGACGAGTCGTGTTCCGCGTGACAAAGCAGGGATGGGATGGGATGTGGGGTTAGGACACAATAGAGCCAAAGCAACAAAGTGAGGACTGAGCTCATGTTGGATCACCATTTGGACCCCACTTGATCACTATGATTAGCCTACCTTCTTCTTCTTGCTGGCATTCTGCTGCTGCTGCTGTTGTTGCTGCTGCTCGTTGATCTGCTTCTGGCGGATGAGCTGCTCCCGCATCTCAATCTCTTGCATTCGCTGCATCTGCTGCCGAAGCTTCTCTGCGCGATCCATTGCAGGCGCTGCTGCTGCTGCTGCTGCAATCGGCGCACTTGTCGCAGTCGGAATCGCAGTCGGAATCGCCGCTGGAGTGGCTGCGGATGAGGCCGCGGTCGTCGTCGTCGCCGTCGTCGTCGTCGTGCCATGTGCGGCTGACCGAGCGTCGTCAGCACCACCCGTCGACAATTCATGATTGGAGCCGTGCACCACAGGACGAGCAGAACCAGGTGCTACCGATGCTGTTGCGTTAATCGCACTGCTGCTGCTGGTGTTGCTACTGGTGTTGGTGCTGCGTCGCTTGCCAAGTTGCTTACCGCTCAGCCGCATCCACAGCACTGTCGCAGCGACAACCACGACGATTGCCGCAGCAACCGCAGCCGTCTCTGCATCAACCATGATTGTGACAAGTTGTGCTACTGTGCTCCGATGCTGAATCAAGAAGGTGGACTGTAGATCGACCGCTCCAAGTTTCAAGGAGAATTTTGAGAACTGAGAATCTCAAAGCAACACAGTACATCAGCCATGTCCTGGAGCTGCTGCTTGGAGTGCGGCAAAGCGACTTACTCCCCCTTGTTGCCCACTGAAAAAACTGGAATTACGGACTGGCTGGCTTTGTATAAGTGAAGTCTCTTGTTTCCCTATCATCACTCTCATCATCAACCCATTACTCGTATCTTCGTGGAAGGATCTTCTTCTGCGGTTTCTGCGCGCTGTTTCTTTTGTTTCGTTTTGTTTGTCGTTTCATTTCCATGTTTGTGGTTTTTTTTACTGTACGGTTGTTTGTGAGTGGAAATGGAAAAAAGCGAGCGAAACAGAAAATCATTCCACATTTTTTGTATCTTGTATGACTTTCGCTTTGTCTCCGTCTCTCTCTCATTGTCTCGCTCTCTTTGTCTCTCTCTCTCTCTCTTTGTCTCTCTGTCGATCCAGCAAGAGTGGATGCTCCGATGACCGCGTGTGGATCAGTGATGACGACGTGTGACAACTGAATGAAGAAGGAGGAGGGAGAAGGGGAGTGGAAACAATGCAACAAACCACAGTGACAAAACGCTGCAATGCGAGCGACCAACTTCACGAGCAGAGTGCAAGACGCTCGTGATTTGTTTTGAAGCGAGCTCATTGGGGAATGAGTGATTGAGTGATTGAGTGAGTGGGATGACACGAAGGGCAGAAGAGTGAAGAAGAGGGGCGGGCGGGTTGGCATTGCGGGCAATTCCATTCCAACCTTTCTTTCTATCGCTTGTTGGCTTTTGTTCAAGTTGTGCTTGGTTTCGTCTTTCGTTGCACAACAACAAACTCCATCCACTTCGGGCTTCTCGCTGTTGTTGTTGTTGCTCGCTGACTGCAAATCCGCAAAAAGCCTTCCTTCCTTCTGTTCCTTCTTCTGTTTCCTCTTTTTTTTTTTTTTTCATTTTTTTTTTTTCATTTTTTGGAGAGTTGCCTTTTGTGGCAACCGTTCATCGCATTTCCACATTAGGAAACACCTCACACACACCAATAGAAAAGACGCTCAGCAACAACAAATTCTCACAAATTCACTCATCAGTCAAAGTTCAGAAGTAGAAGTACAGAAGCAGAAAGTGGGATTTTACATTCACAGTTTGCGCCGTTTTGAAACTTTACGATCTATCTCTCTATCTTTCTCGCCTCAAAACACAGACAACCAAAAAACCAAACAACACCAATCATGTCGGATTTCCAAGCAGCTGCGTCCAAGTTCCCCGAATTCTCGGCGGACGACGTGGAAAAGTTTGTCCAGACGTTCAAGTCGATGGACGCCGACGGCTCTGGCTCGATTGACGCGGCCGAGCTCGGCGCCGTCCTCCGGTCGCTCGGCGAGAAGGCCACCCCCGAGGAGGTCCGCGCCCAGATCCAGGAGGTCGACACCAACCGCTCGGGCACCATCGAGTTCAACGAGTTCCTCGGCATCATCTCGCGTCTCCGCGCTGGCAAGGCGTCCTCCGATGCTGGCTTTGGCAAGACCTTCACCAAGCAGTCCAAGGTCGTCACCGTGGGTGGCAGCTCGGACAGCATTGCTCACAGGTAGCAGGCCAAGCGCTCGACATTGGCTCAGCGGTTGATGGTCGTTTGTTGCTCACGTTTTGTCGATTCAAACATTACAGCTTCTCCGAAGACGAGAAGGAGTCCTTCGTCGACCACATCAACATGGAGCTCGGCACTGATGCTGACATTGGCAAGCGCTTCCCCCTCGACTCGCATGACATGAGCATTTTCGAGGCAGTCAAGGTACAACAAAGTGTTTTCGGTCTTTGAGAACAAACACGTTTCGCCGCCGCCATTGCTCACCCCTTTTATTCTTTCCACCTCATTATGTCTCCCCCCTCTTGTTAGGACGGTCTCCTGCTCTGCAAGCTCATCAACTACTCCGTCCCCGACACGATCGACGAGCGAGTGCTGAACATCAAGGCCAAGCTCAACCAGTTTGAGATTGTCGAAAACCAGAACGTCTGCATCAACTCGGCCAAGGCTATTGGCTGCAACGTTGTCAACGTGGGCGCCCAGGATTTGATGGAGGGCCGCGTGCACCTGGTGCTCGGTCTGATCTGGCAAATCATCAAGATTGGTCTGCTGTCGCGCATCAACCTCTCCAACCACCCCGAGCTCTACCGCCTGCTCGAGGAGGGCGAAACCCTCGACGACCTGCTCAAGCTGCCCGTCGAGCAGATTCTCATCCGATGGGTCAACTACCACCTCAAGAACGCTGGCTCCAAGAAGCGCATTGCCAACTTTGGCTCGGACATTAAGGACTCGGAAGCCTACACCATCCTCCTGAGCCAGCTCGACCCCAACCGCTGCACCACCGCTCCCCTCAACGAGTCGGACTTGCACAAGCGCGCCGAGCTCGTGCTCCAGAACGCCGACAAGCTCGACCCCCCTTGCCGCAAGTTTGTCACCCCAAAGGCCATTGTCGCCGGCAACCCCAAGCTCAACCTTGCCTTTGTTGCCAACCTGTTCAACTTCCACCCCGGTCTTGCCCCGCTCAGCGAGGAGGAGAAGGCGGCCATCGACGAGGCCCTCTTTGGCGGCGAGGGCGACCGCGAGGCTCGCGCCTTTGCCCTCTGGCTCAACTCGCTCGGCATTGAGCCCTTCGTCAACAACCTGTACGAGGACCTCAAGGACGGCCTTGTCCTGCTTCGCGCCTTTGACAAGATCTCGCCGGGCTCGGTCCAGTGGAGCAAGGTCAACCAAAACCAGCCAATCACCTCCAAGTTCAAGCGCCTCGAAAACACCAACTACGCCATCGTTGTCGGCAAGAGCCTCAAGTTCTCGCTTGTCGGCGTCGGCGGTCAGGACATTGAGGACGGCAACAAGACCCTGACGCTTGCCCTCGTTTGGCAGATGATGCGCTTCCACGTGCTCTCCATCCTCAAGTCCATCTCCAAGGACGGCCGCGACATTTCCGAAGACGAGATGGTCGCCTGGGCCAACAACACTGTCAAGAAGGGCGGCCGCGACTCGGTCATGGACTCGTTCAAGGACCCCAAGCTTGCCAGCAGCATCTTCTTCCTCGACCTCATGAACGGCATCAAGAAGGGCATTGTCAACTACGACATTGTCGCCGCCGGCTCCGACGATGCCGAGCGCAAGTCCAACGCCAAGTACTCCATCTCCATTGCTCGCAAGCTCGGCGCCTGCATCTTTGTTCTTCCCGAGGACATTATGGAAGTCAAGCCCAAGATGATTCTGACCTTTGTTGGTGCATTGATGCACGTTGCTCTTGCTGGCAGCCAGTAAACCCCAGCAAGCAACCAAGATCAAAAATTATCAGTCAAAAACGTCAAGGTTTTGCATGTTTGCTTGTGCCTTTGAACGCGCTGTGTGTTTGGTTATTTCCCCATGTGTGTAGTTTTACAGATTATTCATCCTCTGCAACCCCAATGTCTTCTTTCCATTTGTTTCATGAGCAGAGTTGAGATACTAACACAAACACCAAAACGCAACCGTCGGACCAACTCATCACAATTGTTCACTTGCCCCAGTCCAGTCCATCCTATATCAAATCAGAGACACATCTGGAGGCGGGTCTGCAGTTGTGTTTCCCCAACTCATGATGAAGCTCGGCCTGCTTTGGACGTGTGTGTGCTTGCTCATCGCAGCCGCTGCTACAGCACACTCCGACCAGCACAACCCATCCGATGCATCGCCGTTGTCGTCGTCGTCGTCGCCGTCGTGGGTCTCGAGTCCGCTGTCGCCGCCTTGGCTCGATGCAGACGCGCTCGCAGCCGCCCGACTGAAGCTCAACTCGATGACGATGACCACCGACGAGCTTGTCGACCGCCTCTCGAGCGAGCTGCGCCAAGCAGTGTATGTCGTCGATCCACTTGCTGATCAGGACGCACGCGATCTGTACGACCGGACGCGCCTCAATGCGCACGTCCTGCTCGAGCGGCTCGCTGCGGCCGAATCTCAATCTGGGTCATCTCATGAGGAGGCACCGTCGGTCGCACGACTCGTCATGACTGCACTGCGATCTGCATACAAGGCGCACTCCACGCGCGTCAAAGAGCTCTTCCGCCGCGAGCAGGATTGCCACACGCTGGTTTTGGCAACCGATCTCGGCGGATGCTGCTCCCCGCACGTACCGTCATCGCCATCGCCATCACAAGCTCAAGCAGCGCTGCGCAAGAGCGCCAAGAACCCGCCAAAGCTTAATCCGGCGTGCTCGCTGGCGAATCGGGGCGCTCACACATGGCACATGCTGCGCGATCTTCTGTCGAGCGAATTTGTACAAAAGCACCGAGCGGCTCTCGATGCGTTTGATCCACGAACGGGACTCTCTCCGCTTCAACTGGCGGTAAACATGCGCATGCATCAGGCTGTACTCTTGCTGCTCCAGGCAGGTGCCGATGTCACCCTCTTGACGCAAGATCAGTATCGCCAATCACTCGCCCAAATTGCACTCATCAACCGCGATATCGTCTCTCTTTCTGTATTGCTTGAGCGTGGTGCGCTCGCTTTCGAGCCTGTCGACGCGTACAATCGCTCAGCCGCTGCGGTCGCTCGAAAGCTGCAGCTCTGGGACGGGCTTGCACTCATCCAACACTACTCTGCGTCCAAGACTTGCCCTTGGGCTGCGCATGCTCTGACCTCTCCCTGGACGTCAACAGGGGCTCCATTTACGCAATGTCCGATTGAAGGTGTGGTTGAATTGCGAGTCTCGACGAACATCACTCCAATTCCACCTCCTTTGCTCACCTCTGTTTTTTTTTTTTGTTGTTGTTGTTGTTGTTGTTGCTCCGGCTCTTTTGATTTGTTGCTTGGCCACCCTCACACAGGATACCAACTCTTCCTCAATCTGCCCGAAACGGTGATGCAGAGACAAAAGTGGGCGGCAAAGCCGCGAGTCCGAGCAGACCGCGAAAACGAGAGCGGATGGCGGCGACCTGAGGCGTCAGTGTCAGCGCTCGATCCTTCGCTCCGCAACTGTCCTCTCAAGAAGGTCCACGTGAGCACGCTTACCGCCGAGTCGTTTCACCGCGACTTTGCCTCTCTGCGGCAGCCCGTGTTCATTTCTGGTCTCACCGAGTCGTGGCCGCGCATTTGGACGGACTTTGCCAAGCGCGCGCTCTTTGACAAGCACGGCAAGGTCGATCTTTTGGTGGGCGACATTCCATACGCCAATCTCTTTGGAGCGCGGTCTGGTTTAGCGACCATTGGCGAGTTTTACCAGTACATGGACAGCGACGCGGAAACGACGTCAACGCCATACTATGCCTTTGATACCGAGGTGAGTTTGCAGTCCTGTGTTTCGTGATTTTGTATTACCGTGGCTCCAGTTCTCATCTTTGTGTTGATTGGCGTGTGCATGTGTGCATATCAGTTTTTGCCGCAACATTTCAATTCGAGCGATTACATGCTTCCGGCCGCAGTCCCGATGTTCGGCAATTCATTGTGGTGAGTGCTTCTTTTTGATTCGATTCGGTGCGTTGTGGTCCGTGTGGCATGTGTTGATTTTCACGCGTGGTTGGTTGGCGCGCAGGGACCTCGAGATTCGGGTGCACCATTCCACTACCACTGCGATGCGTTCAATGCACAAATCTTTGGCAAGAAACGGTACGGTCCAATTTCTGACAGGCGCATCCTCGGAGCAGTGGTTGACTGACTGATTGGTTTTGATCACGCAATGGCAGATGGTTTCTGTACGCACCCGCCAATGCCATCTATTCAAAGCAACATCCCTCCACTTGGATCTCGGAGCATAAGATTCGGCCCGACACGCTGGACGTGTCTGGGCGATACGATCAGCCCATCCAATGTTGGCAGGTACGACAGTCTCTGCTCGGTTTTGTTGCGTTGCTTGTTTCTCACTCCAATCTCCTTCTCTGCTTGTCTGCCTCAGCATTCTGGAGAAGTGCTCTTTGTTCCACGCTTTTGGTCGCACGCAACCATCAATGCGGAAGAGGGAGTGGGTCTTGCACTCGAATACAACGGTGACTGCTAGATCTAGATCTCAACTCTAATACAACAAAACATTGACCTCCCGCTTGTTTCAAAACACAATTGCCATGTCCATTTCATTGACGACATCAGCTAGAACTCATAGCAAACGAAAATAAACAAACACGCAACTACGCAAAACACAAAATCACCGCTGAGCAAAAGGTGCTTGCCCTGAGTTGACGTCCATGGGAGTTGCATCGTCTGTATATCGCTGACCATCGCCATTTCCATCAAGTCGAACAGCCCCCGTTGCATAAGACTGGTTTCGCTGATGTTGGCGCAATGCCAGCTGCTGCTCGCCAGTGAGCTTGAAATGGAACTGCAATGAGAACTGCTTGGTGTCCGGATTCCAGTGCGTAAACGTCTTGCCGTCGGCCTTGTCCACCTCGCGCGATGGCAGGCGGAAGGCGATTGTTTCGTACGGCTCGGCGGCAACCAGCAAATACTGCCAGGCGCGATCAGGATTCTCGACGCGCTGCTCGAATGCAGACATGAAACGATGGTACGGGATGACGCCTTCCGCGATTTCAGGCAGATCGACCTGGAAGAGATGATGCCCGGAGGGTCGAGGGGAAAAGAGTCGATGTGAGAGCAAGTTTGGCTCAAACACGCTGTTGCTGTGTCACGACACAGAAATCACACCAACTACGAATACTTCAATTGTCGTACCTGGAAGAACAAACTGTGTTGGCCAGTCTGCGGGTCGCGTTGCTTGGTGACATTGTAACCAGGTCGGCCAATTTTGAGGAACTTTTTCAGCTCTGAGCGCGGTTTGGCCGGAGCAGCCTGCAGAAAAGTCATGGTACGTGGTTGCAAACAAAAGACACACCGTAACCATGCACTGTGAGTCATCACTGCACCGCGACAACGGTTGGTGGCGCACGATATGATTGCACTGAACAGACCTGCGTTGGATTGTCTCGAGCATCGCGTGCGGCACGCTTAGCCAGCTGTTCTTGGTGTTTCTTGCCCTGGCTGTGCGCGAGGTACGATCCTACCAGAAACCAAGACCCAGCCAACGGCCAGCGGTGAGCACACAGCACGACAAAGTGGGTGCGTTTTTCAATGCAAAAGTCCATAGAAAAACGCCTCTTTTTTTTTTCCCGCGGCTTCCGTCTCGAGGCCTGGGCTTTTCTTTGGCTGCAGATTCAGGCTTCCTCTGCATCATCATTGGCTTGCATCGCTCTCTCTCTCTTGGGACGATGGTCATCGTCGTCGTCCAGTCGTGTCGCTTGGCTCAATCGTTCAAACCCCACGTCCGGCACAGCCACACCGGCAGCTCAACCCACCCCACAATCTCGATCCATACAGACCACTGCTCTACGGGGGCCTCATGGTGCGCGGTGGTGGTGGTGGTGGTTGGGATCGACTCACCTTCGTTGGAGTGGAGCGTCAAGCACAGCTTGCACTCGTACGTGCCGAGATGCGACCGCAGCAGATAGGGATCCTGTTCACATTAGAGCAACCAGACAAGAACGAAACAAACGCGCGCGGAAGGGCGGCGGAAAGGGGGGAGGAGCGTGAGCCAAAAGAAAACCAAAAAAATGCGAAACAAAGCGATAAAACGGAAAACAGCCGCTTACGACGCTCTCACTAAACGAGCATCCACGCAGTACCAAACGGTACCCAACTCCATTCATTTTAGTCAAACCCCCTCTTCTCTTCCACTCTCCTCCTCTCCTCTTCCACTCTCCTCTTGCTGCTTTGCCCTCACCTTTGTCACGTCAATCACTTCGGACGCCAGCTCTCGCAGACGCCTCTTCCTGGCCAGGTTGGACTCGGCGGCCGACGCCATGCCACCGCCGCCAAAGCTCGCCTTTGCTCGATTCTGAAAATCCATGGCTTTTTTTTTTAAGGACTGAGAGCGAGCGACGTGACATGCAGGCTAACAGAAGGAGCATAAGCAGATCAGACAAACTGAGAGGGTGCAATTCAACTGCGGCTCGCTTGGAGTCTATAAATCTACATTCAGAACACTCGTCAACACACATCCCGCACCAAAAAAAACTCGCTTCACAGGCCCGCGGCAGCCAGACGACGCTTCAGTGTCTCAATCTCGTCGTCCTTGTCCTTGAGAATGCTCTGAATGCCGCTCTGCAGCTCGCGCTTGGCTTGCAAGCTCATTTGCCGCTCTTCCTCGACATCCAGCATTTTCCGACTAAACAGCTGCATTTGTCGCTCGAGCTCCAGCTCGAGGCGCTTCCGCTCGGCTTCGCTCACTTGGTGCATGCGACGCCAAGTGTTAATGTCAATGTTGGAACCACCCTTGCTTGCAGCCTGCGCCTGCAGTTGCGCGTTTGGCCCGGTCTGCTGGAGGAGCTGATTTTGGTGGCGTTGCTGCTGGACCAGCGCGCTCAGCTGCTTCACGTCGGCTTGCAGCGTGTCGCGCGTGCGGCCAAGAAGCATCAGCTGGTGGTGCGCATCATCGAGCTCGCGCGACAGCGCATCGCGTTCCGCCAGGGCCACCGACTTTTCACGATCCGAGTGGCGCTTTTCCAGAGACAGCCGAGCAAGCTCGCGGCGGAGCTGGGCCAGCACGGCAGCAGGCACCGACGGGGATGCTGGGCCTGGCGAGGCACAGGAGCTGTCGCCATCGCCCTGCAGCCCGCCAAGCATGAGCTCCGTGGCCAACAGACTGTGTCCAGAGCTCGAGCGGACGCGTTGCTGAGCAAGCGCCGATGCTGTTGTTGCAAGACCCCCCAAAAGGTTTGTGTTTGCAAACACGAGCTCTCCAGCTGTCGTCGTGGCGGCAAAGTCGTTGACCAGTAGCGCACCGCTGGACGTCATTTCCAAAACCACAGAGCGAACATTCACCCGCTGCTGCTGCGTAGCAGCCGATTCGGGCGTCCTGGTCTGGCCTGTCGTGCGTGGAAGAATCGTGTTGTCGAGATTTTCGGTCAAATCGGGTGTCGCTTCGGCACGATGCTCGACTGCGGCGGGCATGGTCAGCTCCAAACGGCAGTCCGTCAACTCCACGCGCATGGGCGAAGGGCGCGAGCGAGCATAGTCCTCAAACAGTGCTTGCAGCTTGATGAAGAGCATGACATGGGCCAGCACGTCAATTTGGGACACTTGAAGGTGCAAAAACTGCTCGTCGAGCTCGCCCTCCTGGCGTACCGTGCCAGGCACCAGAGGCTGCGGCCGCATGAGCCGGAATGCAACGTTTGGCAGCACTGCCACTGACGCCGATGCGGTGACATTGTCGAGCGCAAAGCTCGAGTCATTCAGCCCACTCAACGATCCGGTGAATGACTGCTGCTGCTGCTGCAGCTGGATGTTGGCAAAATGCGGGCTATTCGAGCCTGTGGAAGAAGCGGTCGAGCGATGATCAATAGACAAGGCAAGCTTGTTGGAAGCCGCCAGCACCTCTGCTGCGTTGGCCACGTTCGACTGGTCGACTACATCGCCCAACGACAAGGACTTGACGGTTCCCTTGATGACCTGTGGGTTGTGGAGGCCCGAGTCTTGGTAGATGAGATGCAGCTCTTGAGCGTGCAACGTCGTGATGAGAGGCCAAGGCTTTGCCGGAGTCTCGTCATCAAAGTCTGCTGCAAAATGGAAGAAAACAAAACGAAGAAAAGATTCAAGAAAACCAAAAGCCAGAAGAGTTCACAGTTAGTTGAGGCGTGATGGCAAAAAAGGAAACAAACCACACATCAACAAAAGCAAACTCGAGACACTGAATGAACGAACATGAAATCGATGGGTCAAGGCGGGTCGCGCTGGCACTGCTCGGCTGCTCTTGGTCGACCGTTTTACTTCCATCGTCCTCGAGAAGGACGGAAATTTGAGGGACAATAATGCACGAGAGCTTACACATGCTTGGCTTAGCAGGTTCAGTGGTAATGACGACGGGAGGAGCTGTTGCCGGGAGAGGCGATTCGAGGCTCGAGTCGCGGCTCACAGGTTCGGATGTCACAGGGGCTTGCATGGCCAAATCCAGCCGTTCTGCGCCAACGTGCATCAAGTATTGATACCGCAGGCGCGACAGGTGCAATCGTGCCTCGCCCATCAGTCGAATAAAGACTTGGCTCGCAACGGGCGACGTCAACGCTGGGGGGAGAGCGTCAGGTTCCTGTTGCTGCGAGACAGCCGTGTTCCCCGAGCGTAGCAGCTTGAAAATGGAGGCTGGCATGGGATCGTGCACGGAAATGACCACATTCACGGGCTCCAGCAGGCTGCTGGGCTTGGCATCGGGGGTTGGGCTCATGTCAATCCACATCTGGTCGACAGAGATGGTCCAGCTCTCCTTGGTCACCGGGGTCACTTGATTGGGGCTATCGTAATCGGGAAACAGGGGCAAGGGGTCGGGCTGCATCGAGAGCGGCATGTTGCTCGCGTCCGTTCCCGGCGGCTGGGCCACGGCAAGATTGGGAAACTCGGCATTGTCGGAAAAGACACGCGCCTTGAAAAAGTCCCACAGCCAGTCAGGTACCGCGGACTTGATCATTTGCATCGGTGACGAGTACGCGTTGCCAGCGAGAGCAGGCGAGGAGCGGTCGCTGCCCAATCGAGGCGTCGCTCCGAACGACGCAAACCCGCCCGTCGGCCCAGCGCTGCCCGTACTGCTCGTGCTATCGTTGAGCGGGTCGTGGATGCTGCCAGTAAAGCTGTTCCGACGCGAGCGCGACGCAGGATTCCCGCCCACCGTCAAAGTCGATTGAGCCGCTCCCGCCGTGTGCTGCGGTTGCTGCTGGGATGCCTGGCTGGCGAGAGAGTGACTGCTGCCGGAACGCGATCGCATCCCTTGCTGGCCAAAGTCACCCGACGAGATGGACTGTGCATCTTCAGCCGCAAGCGCCGCGTCTTCCTGGAACTTGGCGACTGCGAGGGCCGCTGCAGCGGCAGCCACCGTAATGTCGTGCGCATTCGTGACGCAAATCTTGGAGGCCGACAGCGACAAGACCTGGGAGGCAATCTCGGGCGGGCCGTGGTGTCCAGCGTAGGGCGGCAGGATGATTTTGGGCAGCAAAAGCTCGACGCGAACGACGACACGAGATTCGTCATCGTCGGCGCGTTTCTGGGAGCAAGAAGAGGAATGGTTGGTGCAGGATTGAGCGGGAAGGAGGCCGGGGGGGGGGAAATAAGTGAGAAAGAGTCCCAAAACAATGCACAAGCAATGCAAAATCCCGACATCGCCTTTACCGGCAGTGGCTCGAGGTGCGCAGTCATGTTTGTGATGGACTCCATAAAATCAAAGACATTCAGCCACTGGAGCCGGTCAAACACCAGCTGGATTGGATTGAGGTTGAAAAACACGTTCGAAGGCGGCATGGAGAGCTGTCCTCGTTGAACGAGATGCTAAACGACAAGTTCAAAGGGAAAACAAAAAAAAACAAGAACCAACTGGTGAGTCACTTTGAAACGCAACCAGTGTAATGCACGGCTTGGCTCTGGCGCGGCCCGCCTACCTGTTGCTGCAGCTGCTGCTGGTAGAGTTGAGGCTCCTTCTTCTTGTCGGCGGCAACAATGTAGTACGCAACCATGTCCGCGTGCAACACGGGTGTGCCAGGTGGCAAGTTCAGCAAGCCAACAAGAGACGAAAGAATGCGAATGTAGCGCGCGTGCGACTGAGCGGTGCCGCTCGACGGGACTACGGCAAAATTGGTGCAGCGCACTTGTGTGAACGATTCGGTGAGGCCATGAAGCATGACAAATTGCTTGCCATGCATCTCTTCAATCCACGGCGAGCGATCGAAGCGATACGGACGAGCGGGGTAGTGGTGGACTCGGATGTCTTCAAACTGCACCATGGCCAAAGGCGCAGAGTTGTGCTTGTACGCCAGGCGCAGCATGAGCGTCGTGATGGTGGTGTGGACGGACGACTCCCCGATGTCGTTCGCCGCAGCAATGGCAGATTCGCCCAACACTTCAAACTCGGCCGAGTCGTCGGCGTCCTTGTCGGACTGGTCGAGACCAAGCGCAGTGAGTTGACAACCACAATACGCTCGAGCACCAGCAGCAGCAATAGACAATAGAAAACAAGAGATGAAAACTTACACTGAATAGTGCGCGCATGGCGGAGGAGCTTTTAGCTTGTGGTTGCTGCTGTTGTTGTTGTTGTTGCTGCTGCTGCTGCTGCTGCTGCAAGGCTTGCTTGGCATCCAGTGTCGTCGGATTGGACTGCACTCGAGAAGCCTTGCTCTTTTCGAAATCCTTGGGAGCAAACTGTCGCTCTTGCTCCATGAGGATGACCATCGAGTGGAAAAACTCGTATCCGATTCGCAGCTGATTCTTGTTCAACTCGAGCGCAATGTCACCCAGCAGAAGCTGCAGCTTTCCGTACACAAAGGACGTGTCGCTGAGCAGCTTTTTCATCGTGATAAATGCAGTCACAGGCTCCAGGTTCATTGAGAAAAAGTGGAGGGGCTGTGGCGACGAAGTCGACGATGTCGATGAGGATGGCTGGGGTGAGTGCACAGATCCCGTCGCCGTCGGCGAGGAAGCTGACGCGTGTTGACGTGGTGGAGCACTGTCTGGCCGCTCACAGACCGAAACGGAGAGCGTTTGGATGATGAGCTGCTTGAAGGTGAGCACGGAGGTTGCGTCCATTTCGCGCGTTTTGGGCAGTTCCGCAGCCTTCCACTCTCCGTTCGTGGAGACCAGGTAGACGCTTCTCAGATCAATCACGCTATCATGGTGCGGTGACTCAAAGACGACGTGGACCTGCTCAATGTGCAGCGTCATTCCGTCCACAATCTTGTGGATGAACCCGTACTTGCCGAGATCCGTCTGTCCGCCCTGACTCGACTGGCTCGTTGTGTGTCCTGATTGTTTGCCCGAAGCAGTTCCAGTTCCAGCAGCGGCGGCGGCAGCAGCAGCAGCAGCAGCGGCCTTCTGTGCCTTGTGAAGCTGGTTGTGCGATGCGGCCTCCAGGACGACGTGGATGCGGTCGATGCCGATCTTGATTGGATCTGTCTTGAGCCTTGTCCACGCAGCCTTGAGCGTGCAGTGGTTGGCAGTCGCGCGCTTGAGCTTGAGGAAGGACGGCAGCCGCAGCACCGACTCGAGGTACTCGCCGTTGAGCTCGACGTTGCTCACGTTGCCCTCGCCCTGCGGTGATCCCCAGAAGACAAGAGGAAGCAGAATCAGACACAGAGTGCAGGGTGCAGGTTGCAGCAAAGAGTGAGCAAACGCAATCACGCTCTTCCAAATGGCAAGCTGTATCTCAATTGCACTGACTCCACTCACTCACTCTCACTCACTCACTCACTCACTCAACCCATTCAACTCAACCCATTCAACTCCAACTCGATCATCAATAACTCCATCCGTCGCAACACCTCAAACCCCCTTTTCTTTTTGGCCTGTTGTGACTTTTGCCGTCCGTACCTTGAGCAGCGAGACCTGAATGTGGTCGGGCTGCAGATTCTTGCAGAACATGGCCAGGTGCTTGACCAGCTTGTTCTTGATAATGCTCGCCATTGCATGAACAGTGGATCAAATGCAACAATAGAAAAAACCGAACAAACTAACAAACAACGAGAGACAAAACAATAAGGAACAGCAAGCAATGGAACAAAGTAAGACTGGACTCCTTCTCAGCTTTTGTTATTTATTTGTTATTCAAGTCAATTGTCTGTTTACGGATGAAGATTCAGTTTTACTTTTTCTGTAGGAAAAAAATGATTTCACTTTGAAAAAGAAAAATCAAAAAAAAAAAACTCAGAATCTCAAAAAAAAAAAAAAAAAAAAAGCCACCTCATTTGAATTTTGGATGAAGTTGATTCGCGATGAAGCGCGTCGCAGTGGCACCGAGTGATGCTTCACACGTTGACGCATCGGAACGGAGGAGGGGGGGGGGCGCGCGCAACGGAAGAGGGAAGGAGGGGGAGGAGGGAGGGAGACAGACGGGAGTGGCTGTTGTCGCAGCCGCAGAGACCGATTGTAGTAACTAAGGCAGAGCCTTTGGCTCGTTCTGGGCTGACAGAGACTGCCTGCGAGGGAGTGACCGTGGCATGTCGAAGGGTTTAAAACGTTCATGATATGTCAGAGGAGAGGAGCCGGGGGGGGGAGTAGGTTTCGCCGAGTCGAACACAGAAGGGCAAAAAGATCGCCTTTTGCTTGGGGTGCTTCAATCACCAGCCAACCAAGCACAAGCACAGCCGGGTCGGTGGCTGGAAGGATATAAAACAATTCAACTTGCACTCAAACAACGCGAATCAAAAGCTGGGCGAAGCGGACGAAGGAAACAGACCAAAAACACTGACTTTGTGCTCGTTTGTTTGAAATTGCATTAGAAAATGAGACCTACTCGCAGCGTTGCTCGCAGCATTGCTTTGTGCTGTGAAAGTCGACGCTGGCAAAGCATCGATTGGCTTGTATTACGATTCAGCATCCTTCAATGGACCTGCGTGCGACGACAGTGCGGGAGCCACCGCTTGCGACAGTTTTTCGAACTGGTACATTACCATAGGCTCCACTGAGTTCTCTGGCTCAGTTGCCAAACAGCAAGACGACAACAATCCAGTCTGGGAGCAATACTTCACGACCAGCCAGGTCAACAATTACCCTGTGAGTAATCAATTCTCAAAACAGTTTGGTCGCGGCGAAATCTCACCTTTTCGATTTCTTGCTTTGCAGGGCTCATTTTCCGTGGGGTTGGACTTCTTCGACGGAGACTTTGTGTCGACCCAGACTCTGGGCTCCATCGTCCGAACCTACACAGCGGGTTCCTCTGCTGATTACATTCCCATCACTGTCACCGATCCTTTCTATGGTGCATTCTGGATCAAGTTTGCGTATCGTGTCATCTGCCAAACGAACTATTACGGACCGACATGCGACACGTTCTGCACCACCTCCACTGGAAACTGTAGTACCTGCGATCCCGTGTCTGGCGCTTGCACAGCCTGCAAATCAGGCTACACTGGCGCTCCTTCCTGCTCCACTTGCGCCCCCAACTACTATCCGAGCGGCTCTGGTTCGTGTGTGTACTGCATACCCAATGACGGTGGCTATTACACTTGCTCATCAACAGGCAGTAAGGTTTGCACTCCTGGCTACACGGGTGCCAGTTGCAACACGCTCGTTACCTGCCCAACCGCACCAGCTGCGCCGACCAACACCACCAAGAGCCAATGCAGCTCTGTCAGCGCCAACTCCACTTGCACTTACCAGTGCAACGCTGGTTTCTCGGTCTCCAGTGGCTCGCCAAGCATCACCTGCAGCACAGCAGGCGCGTGGACCCCCGCAGCGCCAACTCTCAGGTGCTTCGACATCAACGAGTGCAACAACTTGAACGGCGGCTGCAACCAAACTTGTCTCAACACCCCTGGATCGTACGACTGTAGCTGCCTCACTGGCTACACGAAAAACGGTGACGGCAAAGGCGCATCCGGCTGTCTCGACAACAACGAGTGCAGCAGCGCCAACGGCGGCTGCCAGCACACTTGCACCAATCTGCCAGGCACCTATGCTTGCTCGTGCAACAGTGGATACCAGCTGCAGCCTGACGCCAAATCTTGCATCAACATCAACGAGTGCACGACTGGAACGCACAACTGCGCTGCGAATGCCACTTGTGCCGACACTATTGGCTCGTTTACTTGCACATGCAAGGCTGGCTTTTCCGGCAACGGAACGCACTGCGACGACGTGAATGAGTGCAATGGCATCCCGTTCCCGTGCAGCAGTGACGCCCTCTGCACCAACACCCCTGGAAACTACTCGTGCGCCTGCAAGCCTGGCTTTTTGGGCAATGGTTTGGAGTGCGCGGCTGATGGTCGCGTTGCGTTTGATGTTTCGTCTCGCTTCCTGGTGGTTCGTCGACCCGCGTCAGGCACGAGCACGATCTCGCTGGTTGTTGAGGCTCCCGTCGAAGTCCCTGCTGCGAGTGTCCAATTCACCATCAGCTCGGCATCTTTGACCGCTGCTTCTTCGGCACCGCTACAGTTTTCTTCGACGGTGCATCAGCAGACCATCACACTGAACCTTGCTGCAAGCGGCAGCGCGTTGGCCCAAGAAACGGTCGACATTCAACTTGCCAACCCCCTCAACATGGCCTTGGATGACCATTTCAACACAGCGCAGATCGTGATTGAAGCCAGCCAGTCGCAGTTTGGCACGGTCGGCGTGTCCGCTGGCTCTCGTCAGATCAGCTTGAGCAACGTCATGGCCAACCCCGAGTTCTCAATCACGTTGGAGCGTTTCAGCGCCGTTTCCTATGCCTCGGCCGTCGATGTCACGTTTTCCGTGACCTCCACTGTGGCCAGTGCCACCACATTCGTTGCGACAATTCCCGCAGGCCAGCAAACTTTTGCGGTTCTCATCACAGTGCCAAACATGGGTACTCCGACCGTCCCTTCAACGCTGACGTACACCATCACTGCTGCGACCGCTGTGACTCTTGGCGAAGCGACTCCGATTGGCTACTACGGATCGTCGGTCGTTGCAGTGCCCGAACATGACTACCCCTACGGTCTGTTCAGCATTGCTAATACTGCGTCTTCTTGGCCTGAACCATCATCGGCCAGTCTCACCATCACACGTGCTCGTGGTAGCGTTGGCACTGTCACTGTCCGCGTCACTCCGTACGCTGTCGCATTCAATACGACGACTGGCACACCTGTGGCCACGATTGACTCGGATTTCGCTTCGACGCCTGTGGATGTCGAGTTTACCGCTGGAATCCTGACCAAGAATGCTCTTGTTGCCATCCTGGATGACACCATTCCTGAACTCGCCGAGGTCTTTGGCGTTCGCCTCGAGATTGTCAGCGGCGGCGGTGCGGTTGACTCGACTGCTTCTGACGTTCTGGTGACAATTGCAGAAAGCGACAGCCCGCATGGCGTTTTGGCATTTGACGCTGCCACATTGGCGGTTGACGAGCCCGCTTCTGACAGCAGCGTGTCCATTACCATTACTCGAACGGCAGGCCTGTTTGGCGACGTTACGTTTGCCTGGGCGACCTCCATCACCGGCTCCGACCACAGCGTCAATGCCCAAGCTGGATTGGACTTTGTGGAAGGCGCAGGCACTGTGACGCTGCTTCAGGGCCACTCGAGTGCGGTCATTCAGGTCGTCATTCGTGCGGATTCGCTTCCGGAACTGGACGAGACGTTCGCTGTTACCCTGTCCAGCCCCACTGGCGGTGCGACCTTGGGTGCACAGTCGACAATCACAGTGACCATTAACAAGAACGACAAACCCTACGGCACCATTGGTTTTGTCACTCCAACGTTGACCAAGTCGGCCGATGGCAGTGCACGGTTCCTCGTCACTCGTGGCTCAACTTTCACTGCCGAGGTTGCGCGCTATTTCGGCACGTTCGGAACTGTGACAGGCGATGCCACCTTGCAATTCACAACACCGGTGACTGCCGCTGACTTTAACAATCAAGTGGTGCGGACTGTGAGCTTTGCGGCTGGCCAGACGTCGCAGACATCCAACTCTTTCAATGTCGTTGCCGCTCAAGCCCCTGTTCGTCTGTTCAACATTGTTCTGAGTCCCAGCTCGGGATCTCTGGCGACGCTCGATGCTGACGCCCCTTCTGTCATTCCATGTGCCATCGAGGCCAGCAACGCCGTGGACGGCGTCGTCCGTTTCACTTCCCTCACATTCATTGCTCAGGAGAGCGCTGGCGTTGCGCTCGTCACGGTGGAGCGCACTGGCTCAGCGCTTGGTGCCGTGACATTCACCTACAGTGTCCGAACTGGCACAGCCGGCGGTGAAGACTTTGACGCCTCCATCCAGGACGCGCCCGTTGTGATTGAAGCTGGTGCAGCGAGCACTGTGATTAGCATTGCGGTTGACGACGACGACATTCCCGAGCTGGACGAGACGTTCACTGTGCTCTTGACGGGCATCACTGCGGGCTCTGCCTACCTCACCTACGCCTCTGTGGCCACGGTCACGATTGCGGCCAACGATGATCCGTACGGCCGGATGGAGTTTGCACCCTCTGGCAATCCGCTTGGCGATGATGTCTACACGGTCTGGGAGGGCACCCCTTCGCTGACCATTCCTGTGCTGCGCAACGCTGGTGTTCTTGGCGCTGTGGCTGTCACTGTCGTCGCTGGCACGAACGCGTCCATTGCCCCGTTCACACCTTTCCTTAATCGTTATCATCCTGAGCAAGGCGTATCCTTAACTTCGGACTTGCAAGTCACGTCACCACTCTTGGTGCGCTTTGCTGCAGCACAGAGCAGCACGACGGACTTGCTGGTGTTGACCATTCGCAACGATGACATCCCCGAAGGAACCAAAGCCTTGTACCTTGCCTTGCAAAACCCGACAAATGGCGCCACACTCGGCCCGCTCATCATGGTTGAACTGCGGGACAGCGACGAGGAGGAAGACTCGGCCGCTAGTAGCGCTGCAGCAACAGTGCCCATTGCCATTGGAGCGGTGGTCGGATGCGCGGCGGTGATCCTGCTCGTTGCGATTGTGTTGCGCCGTCGCAAACGAGCTCGCCATCAAAATCAACTCTTGAAGGCGACAGAATCAGGCTATGCAGTGCCCATGCAAACAGTCACCATCCCGTCCAAGGGGGATGCAAGCGAACCTCTGTATGCGACTGCAACTGCAACATACAGCAACAGTGCTGCATCTGCAACGTCCGGATCTGCCAACTACGACACGATCGATGCCCGAAGAAATCCCACCGATACCATCTACGACGACGCCGTGCCACTTTCTCGCATCCACACAACTCCAACTGCGATATCCAACCAGCTTCGAAACAATCTTGTCCTTGGGGAAACATTGGGCTCTGGCGCGTTTGGTGTTGTCGTAGCAGGGCAGCTCTCGCTTGAGTTTGTGCCGCAAGATGCCATCTATCTCTGCGCCAAGCGAAATCAATCAACGCTCGCGGTAGCGGTCAAGCAACTCGCAGCTGACGCCACTGAGAAATCTCGCCGCGAATTTTTCGAAGAGGCGCAGATGGTGTGCCGATTCAGCCACCCCAACATTGTGCGGGCGCTCGGGGCACTGCTCGAACGCGAACCCAACATGTGTATCCTGGAGCTGATGCCGTACGGAGATCTCCGAAGCGTGTTGCGGAGCTCTCTGAAGGACAATGCGTATTGGAGTGCTGCGGAAATGTCGTTTGCGCTGCAGCAAGTGGCCTCAGGCTTGGCATACCTTGAGACACAGAACTTTGTCCATCGCGACCTCGCTGCTCGCAACTGCTTGGTCGGAGCAGGCCTCTCTGTCAAGATCTCGGACTTTGGTCTGTCCAGGGCGCTGGAAGAGAAGGACTACTATCATATGGAGACGAACGGTCGCCTGCCTGTCAAGGTGTGTTGAGTTGGATCAGGAGCGAGCGTGGTAGTGTTGTCGTCGATTCTCACTGTGCTTGTTTCATTTACCAGTGGATGGCGCCAGAGTGTCTGAACTTTCGAAGGTTTACTCATCAAAGCGATGTGTGGGCGTTTGGCGTGCTGGCTTGTAAGTCGGTTGGTATCCTTTGGCTCGAGTCTGCCATTGAAGCCTAACACACGACTGTACAATGATTTGCGTTGATTGTAGGGGAGGTCTATGCGTATGGCGCAACGCCTTATGGCAACTTGACCGCAGGTCGAGAGGTGCTTGCTCAAGTGGAAGCTGGCTTGCGACTGCAAAAGCCAGAGTCGTGCCCAGATGCAGCGTACGCTCTGCTTGAGCGTTGCTGGGATTTGATTCCTACTGCGCGCCCGACAGCATCAGAGCTGCAAAAGTTCTTTGCGATGGGCGCATCGGAAGGCGCCATTCGAGACATTGGTGCAATGTTGTGAACGGTTATGCCGTTGTACCTCTTTGTGTATGAGTATTTGTTTGTGTGCTTTGTTGCTCAGAAATCTGTCGCCACTCCTCCTTCTTTATTTGTCTCTCTCCCCTCTTCCCCCTCTTTCCCCTCTTCCCCCTCTTTCCCCTGTTTCGTCGTGTCGTGTGCGTTGCGTTGTGCGTTGCGTTGTGTGTGTACTTTGATCAACATCCAACAAAAACAAATGTCAGCTCGTCCATCCTCTGTCTCGCCGGTGCCAACGCCAGCGACAACGACCACGGCTGCTGCCTCAGCCGGCTCAGCTGCGTCTTGGGTCGATCTGCGCCTCGAGCAGAGTTCGCTGCTCCTGCGCGCTCCAGACCAGATCGTCCAGCACCGCAGTGGCGACGTCCTCAGCTCCAACATTATTCTCAAGGCTGCGCAATACCCAGGCAAGTGGAATCGCCCCAACAACGGCGGGAAAGGGGAAATCTTTGAAATCGCGGATTGTTTGGCTTTTATTGCGATTGTGATACGGACTTCTGAATGATCGACTCTATGTTTTGGTACCGCGCCGGTTCTTACTGTTTCAAACCTCTTCCTACCGCTCTTTGCAGCCGGCATCAACTCCAAGCTGCAGCCGCAGTTCGCAGGCGCACCCAACTTCCGCCAAGTGGATCAAGCGACGATCGATGTGTACGGCGTTGCACTGCCCACTGTGAATGGCGCCGCGGCTGTGCTCGTCGCGCTGGGCACTGGAGCAACGACGACGACGACGACGACGCAGACTGGAGCGTCGTCATCAGTGAGCGCGGCGGGACAGGTCCAGGCACCCTCCGCCACCACTGCTGCTTCTACTGGTACTACTGGTACTACTGGTACCACTATCACTGCCGCTTCGGCGGTCGGGGCCGGTACGGCGACAGGATTGCCCGCTTCAGAGGCGACCGCTGGATCGCCATCACCAAGCGTTGCACCTGCACAACTCATCATGCCCGGAACCACAACGACAGCTACAACGAGTGCAAACGCACCACTGTCGGACGGCGCGGCGGCTGCGTCGGGGCGCCAGCTTGGCCCGCGAAGCTTGTCCAGCGGATTTGCTCGCTCATCCACGGCCGGATTGCTGCCTCCGGTCGTGTTTGAGCCGCGCAAGTGTGTCTGGTTTAACGTGAGCGATCGCCCAATCGTGTACATTAACGGAACGCCGTACGTTGTGCGCGAGCTGGATGCTCCACTCGAAAGCGACTCCATGTTTGCCGGTCTCGACGCCAATCGTCTCGAGCAGATGGAGATGCGCCTCCAGGCTGATGTCGAGCGCGAAGCCCTGCGCACCAGCGGCATGGTGCTCGTGCACGAAGAGCAGTCTCCTGGCGTGCCTGTTCCCACTTGGATTGCTGCATCCCAAATTCAAACCCCACGCCAAGTCTTTGAGCAGCTTGCGCAGCGCTTTGACATTCTGTACTACCGCGTTCCAATCTCAATGTGGTTGTACCACCAAAGCAAGTACTTTGACGCCTTCATTCAAACCATTCGCGAGACCAATCCGAATGATGCGGTTGTGTTTAGCTGCCGCATGGGCACCAATCGAAGTGAGTAGCTGTATTTGCTGCATTGATTGCATTGATGCGTGTCAGATGCTTTTGTTGAACGAGGGGGAGGGAGAAGGAGAAAGGGATGGTGAGAGGCATTGCAAGATTCGCCGCAAGTTGGTCGCCAATCTCACTTTTGCCTTGTTTGTTCTGTTTTTCCAATGCTGAAACCAAATAGCAACCTTTGGTATGGTGGCCGCCGCCATCATTCGCCGCACGCAGCTGCTGAACGCAGAGAAGGCTGAAACGTCGATTTTGCGCAAGCGCGGATCCGATGAAGAGAAAATGACCAAAATGCTGCTTCGGCTCGTGTTTGTTCTTGAGCAAGGTAGGTTTTTGTGTTTGTGTCAAACTTGGTCGGCCACTTTTTGCACCGACTAATCCATGAATCTCTTGGGGTTTTTTTTTTTGGGGGGGGGGGCATTCTCTCCAGCTCTCAAACCGACAAAGGGCGCCGCCGAACACGCTGGTTCCGCCATCGAGTGGGCGCTCGCACGCGGGTCCTTGATCTCGTCGCTCGGTGACGCGTTGACCGGGCACTACCAGGTCATTACAAACCTGATTCGCTACCTTGCCAATGGCCCACAAAGCAAGCTGCTCGTGGACGATATCATTGATCGCTGTGCGTTTGCTTTGGCGGTGTGTTGTTGTTGTTTCTGGGTGGTTGGATTTTGGCTGACTGACCTTTTGTTTCTTTTTCTGACCATGGCATGCAGGTGAAGCCATGATCAACCTCCGCGAGAGCATTCTCGTTCATCGTGTGCGGTACTCGGCAGATCCCTCCAAGGAAGGCGCGGCTTTGCACCATTGCATTGTTGCGCTGGAGCGATACATTTATCTCATCGCCTTTGCCTCCCACGTGTCTGAGAACGCGAAAAACCTGTCCAAACGTCTCAAGCAGCCAAGCGGCAGCACGATTTCCACTGAACCGCAGACGTTCAAGCAGTGGATGGAGTCTCAGCCTGCCCTGCAAAACATGCTGCATGTGCTGCGCCGTTCTGGTCCCAAGGTAAGGACTCTCGCTCTGTCATTTTTGGCTCATGTCGAAGACTTGCAGAGACACCTGGCTGCTCTCCGAATTTGACTCTAACTAATTTTTTTTTTGTGTGTGTCTGTTTGACAGCTCGTTCAACTCCGGCCTGTCGAAGACCTGTCAACCTTGTCGCCGTTGTTCCAGCACGGAGCGCAACGCCCGAAGGCCGACATCCCGGACAAGAGCGTGCTGCACTCTCAGTTGGAATCCTCCATCACGCGCCATCGACACGGCACGGTGCTTGGTCCGCGCACCATTCTGAAGCTGGACCACTGGCCGTTCAAGGGCATGCTGCCGTCGATCGTGGACGGTGCGCCCAACTTCCGTCGTGTCGGCGACATGTACTTGTTTGGTAGCGCGCAGCCGACCGCTGCAGGGTTGCGGGCCATCTGCGGCTTGCTCAACCAGCGGGCCAATGCTGCTGCTTCGATGCCGCCAGCGGCCTCTTCCATCGTTGCTGGTATTCCAGCCCACCTCAAGGTCGTCTGGATTAACTTGCGCGAGGAGCCACTGGTCTACATTGATGGCAATCCTTTCGTCCTGCGCGACCAGTTTGCCACGCTGCGCAACATCAAGTCGTACTCGGGCATTGCCCCACGCACCTTGGAGGACATGGAGCGCCGTCTGTGCACCGATGTCATGAAGGAAGCAGAAGAGTACGACGGTGCCATTCTTGTGCATCGTGAGATGGAGGGTGGTGTTGTGCAGGGAACGATGACTGAAGTAACCGGACGCGACCAGCACCGCTCGCTGACGGCGGCATCGACGCCCGATGTCCTGAACGACAGCGGCAGCTCGCTTGTGTCTCCACTGTTGCTGGGCGCTGCCCCTCTTGCAGCGTCGTCGCTGGAATTGGGACCCTCTGCGTTGCCTGCTGCAGCTGCCGATCCGGCGCTTGCAACCCCGCGACAGCTCTTTTTGATGATGACTCAGGTTGGGTTTGACGTGACCTACCATCGCATTCCCATCACCGCCGAGCAGCTGCCCGAGTTTAGCGATTTTGACGCCATCGTGCGACTCATTTGCTCGTACGACCCACGTCGCACGGCGTTCGTATTCAACTGTCAGATTGGCTCTGGCCGCTCGACCATTGGCACGGTGATTGCTCGTCTGGTCATTCGCTGGCTCAGCTCGATGGAGAGCGAAGTGCCCGAGGACGAAAGCGTCGGCAATGGGTCCAGGGCGATGGCAGCGGAGATCTCAGCAGCCGCTGCTGCTCCCTTCCCTGCTGCTGGAACCGCTCCGACGACGCCCGCGACACCAGCCACGCCTGGCACGCCGTCTACCGGCGCGTTTGGCTCGCCGTCTCGCCGAGGCAGGACTGCCGCCAACCCCCTCAAGAAGCAGTTTACACTGGCCAACGATCCCCCTGCGTCTGATGGCGCGTTGTCGTCCGCAGCATCCGCTGGTGCGTCCGCTTTGGTCGGGGATTCAGGAGCGAGCGTGTCGCGGTCGCCTGCCACCAAACTCACCATCACGCCAGTCGCTGGAAAAGTTGATCGTATTGCCGTTTCGAGCGACACGAATCAGTACCGAGGTGTGCTGGCTCTGATGCGCGTGCTCCAGAATGGCCTTGAATGCAAGGCGGTCGTTGACGAAGCCATTGACGTATGCGGCGCTGTGATCAATTTGCGCGAGTCGGTCGATTTGTGCCGCAAGCTGGCCGAGCAAGAGTCGGACGAGACGCGGCAGCATGTCCACATCCGGACTGGCATTGCCCAGCTCAAGCGCTACTTTTTGCTCATTGCCTTCCAGGCGTACCTGCTGCAAAACAACTCGACCAGTCTCGACCAGATGCCGTCGTTTGCCTCGTGGATGCAAGCCCATGTCGAGCTCAACGGCATGCTCGAAGACATTTCCGAGGGCGGAATGCTGTCGCTGCGCCCTGTGCACGAGGTCGAGATTGACTCTGGCGTGTTTACCTTGACCAACGAAGTCACGTCCGTCATTCGCTCTCGCAGCGGTGCCGTGCTGGCGCCACTGACCATTCTCAAGTCAGACCACTTCCCTGGATGTCAAAAGCTGTCCCTGCTTGATCGCATTGACGGTGCGCCCAACTTCCGCCAAGTTGCCCTGTCCCAGTTTGGTGCGCGCACGGGCCCCTCGGTGTTTGCTTGCGCTGTGCCGACTGTTCCTGCCATCAAGCTGGTCGTTTCTCGCACGGGTGCTGGTCCCGGCGGAGCAAGGACGCTGCTGTGGACGTCTCTGCGTGAGGAGCCGGTTGTTTACGTGAATGGCAACCCATACGTGCTTCGAAGCGTCGATGACCCGCTGAAGAATCTCGAAACGACCGGTATTGCCCGCGTCCGCGTTGAATCGATGGAGGAAAAGCTGCGCAACGACATTCTCGCCGAAGCTGCAGCTCTTGGCAATCGACTGCTTCTTCACGGCGAGAGCGATACTGGCGTTGTCATTGTAAGGTTTTTTTTTTATTTTCTGGTCTGTTTGTGTCTTGGTTTTTTGGATTCTCACCTTTGATTTGATGATGATGATGTTGTTGTTGTTGTTGTTGTTGCTTTGCTCTTCAATAGCCTGTCTGGGAAGCCGTGACCGAAGCCGACGTTCTGACTCCCAAGCAGGCGTACGCACAGATTCAACAGGAGGGCTACAATGTGGATTACTTGCGTGTGCCAATGTGAGTTGACAGCTGTGATTTTTTTTTCGTTTTGCTGTAGCCGCAGCCTCTGCTTTCAACGTTACTCATCGACCTTGACGTCAACAACAGCACGGACGAACAAGCACCAATCCCCGAGGTATTCGACGAGCTGCTTTCTCGCGTCATGCGTTCAAGCGCCACCACAGACCTGCTCTTCAACTGCCAGATGGGCCGTGGCCGTACAACGACGGGCATGGTGATTACGTGCATTGTCGAACTGTGCGGCGTGTTTGCGAGCCGCGCCACAGGCACTGACACGCCCGACGAGGAAGAGGTCGAAGAGATGCGCCTCCTGGCGACGCCTGACTCGATGGAGAACGCCGAAAAGCAGCGATTGCTGGACGGGCATTACCGAGTCATTCAGCAGCTGGTGCGTGTGTTGTCGCACGGCCGCAGAAGCAAGGGGATTGCCGATCGCGCAATGGACGCGTGTGCCCACGTTCAAAACCTGCGCACCGCCATCTACGAGTTCAAGGCTCGGTGCGCCGTCGACATTAATTCCAAGCAGCGCGACCTGCTCGTTGAGCGCGCCACGAATTACCTCGTCCGTTACTTTTACCTGATTTGCTTTGCCAACTATCTCTTGGACGAGGCCGTGTACAACAATGCCGACTGCAGCAGTGCAATCAGCGGCGCTCGCTGCTCCTTCCAGTCCTGGCTGACCGAGCGTCAGGAGATTGCCCTGCTTGTTGATCAAGCGCATCATGATATTGCTTGAACTGGCGGAGGTGTGGGAGGTTGTTGTTGTTGTTTGAGCTGTGTTTATGTTTCCCTCACAACCCGTCTCCACTGGGATAGTTGTCTTTCAATATACTTTGTGCTGATATACTTTGTGCTTATTCTCTGGCCAGTGTGTGTGTGTGTGTTTTGCGAATCGATGCGCAACCTGTCTGTTGATCGTTTTTGCACAACAACAAGAACATCAAAGACAACGCTCAAATGCACCTCAAAACGGGTGCTGATCACGGGAATGCACAATATTTGAAACCTCTTCTCAGCCAAACAGGATGTTGTTACACCCTGATTGAAGAGCACCCATTGGAGTAAGAAGCCCAAGTTTGGCCCTTGAGCACACAGGAAGGGCGATCAAGAAAAGGAAAGAATCTTGGTCCCAAGTTGAAGGCGGGAAACATCGCCGAGACACAACAAACTTTCGCCAAGCAGCCGATCGACCGCCAGCCCCTGACAACCTGCTTAGCCACCATTGGAGAACTAGCAACTCACGCTTAAAGTTGAGCATGGCCTTGGAGAGGCGTACAAAGCAGCTGGGGATAGAAACGGAACGCTAGCGACAACCGATCGAACGCACAAACAGTTGCACAATGCTTCAAAGTCGAACTCAAAGCATGGACTTCCTCAGCGCTCGCCAGACCAGTGTCGAGACCACACAGTCCGAGTTCATGCTGCATGTGGGGTTCCTGAAGTATGAGGCAGCGAAAGGATCAACGGGCGGAAGTCTCCACGAACACATTTCTCTCTCGGCTTCCAAAAACGAACAGGCCAGTCTTCTTCCACATGGCGTCCGGATTCAAGCGCACGGCAACGGAAGCAGGCTTCCAAGGACCAGCTTCTCAGCGTGTTCATCGGGTAAGTGTTGGACTTGCTGAAGGCGTCAAAGTCGTGTTCGTTTTCCGTAGAAATGGGCTTACTGTGTTGCGTTTTGTGTTCCTTTTGCTCAACAGGTTTTCAGGTAACGTGATTGCACTCGTCGTAATTGGTCTTGTTTGCCTTTCAGCTGAAGTTGCCTTCATTGCATGCGCTTTTGACAGTGAGCTGCTGTCCGGATTGGTCGCATGTCTTGGTATCTCGGTCGATTTGACATCGGTTTCAAACCTCGCCGACAAACCTGCCCAACGCGCTGCCCTGAGGGGAATTTTGAAAGACCTCGAAGCCAATGCACAGGTCACGGCAACTCAGAGGCAGAAAGATGACGCGGCAGCAGCACTCAAGGAACTGGAATTGGAGGTTTCGCCAGGACAGCCGAATTTCGTGATTGGTGACCAATTGCTTCAGACGCTCAAAACTGAGCTTGAACTCAAGGTTTCTTTGGACCAAGCCCAGCTGCGAGCCGCGGCTGCCCGGCTGCGAGCCGCAGCGCTGCGTGGGCCGCGTTCAAGTGAACCGCCTTCAAGTAAGCCTTGTGCTTGGAAATTGTCATGTTGATGGCGATTAGTCCTACTGACGTTTAGTTTGTCTGCTTGTTTTTCTTTCACTATCACTCAACAGTCACGGATCCTGATGAGGCTATCGCCACCTTAACAGCAGCCGTTGATGAAGGACAGTTTGACGTCGAACGTCAAGACAAACTAGTTTGGCCGGACGTGTTTCAAGCCCGTCCTTTCGCGACCATGCAAATGTTCCGCTCCATCGCGCAATCGGTTTTTGGCTCCCCGACGGACCGAAAAAACTTTCCGGTGCTCCTCATGCGCACCAGCAGCGGCTGCGGCAAAACCGCCTTTGCCAAACACGCAATCTCTCAGGTCGCGAACCTCATGCGTGCGCAATGCAACCTTACCTTTGGGCCTGCTGATACTCCCCTGACGTCGAATCAGAGTTTCGAGCTTACTAGACTCCTTGAACGCTCCTTGCAAATTTTCATCGACTTCAATGGTGGTGATTGCTTGTACGAAGCTCCCGCTTCCTGTCAGAAGTCCCTTCTTGCTGCTCGTCTGGCCGCTCATGGGTTGTGCCACACCAACTTAACCAATGCGAGCTGCACTTCAGTTTTCAGCGCATGCAGGTCTGGTCTTCGCACACCACAGGTTCTCGACGCAATTGTGGCACGCCATCGCCAGCAACACCCGCAGCTCGCACGAGTTTTGATCTTTGTTCACATTGACGCGGTTCGCCGGATCGCACAACGCTTATCCTTGAATGCGGGGACACTGCAGGAAGCAACTGATTTGCTTCAGCGTGCGTATCAAGAAATCGTTGCGTACAATGTCAACCAGAAGGAACAACAGGCCGTTGTGGTGTTACTTTTAACCGGCACTGCTCTAAGTGGCCTGAAGTTCGACACGACGCAGCACGAATTCCATCCAATCAACCTTCTTCCCTTTGACCTGCGCACTTCCATGCTGGTTCTTCGAGAGCTTGGGCTTCACGAATCATGGTGCTCGGATTTGAAATTTCGCCGGTTGGTTCGGGACCTTGGAGGTATTCCTTCACTATTAGGAGCAACACTAACGTACCGCTACCCTGCGTTACGGCAAGAACTCGTCCCCTCGGTCCCCATGCAATCTGCAGAGAACACCGACCTTGCCATCAACCCTTCCCAAGGCCCCATGACTGCTCTTGAAGTGAGCCAATATATGGTGGACGCAGCAGCACGCCATGTTGCCGGGGGAATCGAGACCTTGGTCGAACTATCGTTCGCAAACCTTCCAGTCTCTGAAGACACCCTGATTGGTCCCATCACAGTGGAACAGCTTGCGCATCGTGGCGTCCTTATCACGACCTATCCCTCAATGGATCGCGTCCAGGCTCGCATGCCAGTTGCCATGCTGGAAGGTATTGCGCGCCGCGACAGTCGCTATAACTATTCACATGGCAGGACAAAGGTGATGGCCGACTTTCATACGATCACTGGAGGCGATGGCGATGCCGCTTTCGAGATCTTTGTTCTGTTTTCGGTCGCATGCCGACTGAACTTGCTTCGGTCTCCACCTGTTTGTGAATCAACTCTCCGGTCCGCGCCTGAGCCAGCTCAATCTGCCCTGCTGTATCAAGTTCTTGGTCTTTCCTCCCCGTCACTGCAAGGCAGCGCGCCTCGCAGTCTCCTGCTCATGAGGTTTGATCTGCAGAACCCTGTCGCAGGAGTCGCGCAACGTTTCACCCTCTTGAAAGAGCAACATCCGTTCATCACAAACCAGCACGATGTCGACGATCGCCAAACTGTCCATACAATCCCGTCCTTTTCATCAGACGCCCCGCTTGAAGTTGACATGCTTGGTGCGGGTCCTTGCCACCCGGTGTTCCAGTGCGCAGGTTCAACGACCCGCGTGAATGGGCGTGTTGCTTTACGACGCAGCCAAGCTGGGGCAAAGCCCGTACTGCTGCTGTTCCAAATGATGGATGTGAGCCTGCCGTCCGCATCAGATCTCGCTGAGGGCGTCACTCGGACTCTGGCGGATCTGGACAGTTCGCCACTCGCAGCAGATTTTCATTTCATACTCGTGCTGGCAATCAGTGGCAACGCGTCCCAAGATTGGGCCCATGCCGCTCGGAATGAAAATGATCGCGTTGTTGTGCTTGTTGGTCATGACAGTTTTTGTCTGTGTCCGATGTTCTGAGCTCTGCAGCAGTTTGCGTGGCTCCTCTTCTTGTTGATGTTGTTATTGTCGATGATATTGTTGTTGTTGTTGTTGTTGTTGTTGTTGTAGTTGTTGTTGTTGTTGTTGTAGTTGTTGTTGTTGTTGTTGTTGTAGCTATCTCGAAAAGTCCTCACTCACTCACTCACTCATCGATCTCAGCATCATTCTGTTTGCTTCTTTCATTTTTACGATTCTTCCTGTTATGGTTTACTGCTTCTTTGCTGCTCAGTTCTTTTTTTTTTTTTCCGAATGGCAGACGTCGAAACCGACTTTTCCGCCCAGCAACAGCAACAGGCGCTTGATGACGAGCCAGTCGACGACTCTTCCCAGCAGCAGCAGCAACAGCAGGTGTGTGACTTCTTGCATTACTCGCATTAGCTCCCCTTCCCATTCCCATTCCCATTTCGAGGTGGTCGAGTGTGACGAGTGCATTGAACGAAGGGGAGTGTTTGAGTGATGGCAACACAACACGCTGCCGCTATCATCCGTCCGGCTGCGTCACTTTGCTCGACTCTGCTTTCTGCTGCTTTCTCCTGCTGTTTTCGCTTCTCTTGCTATGGCTGTCTCTCTCTCACACACTCTCTCCCGCTCTCTCTCTCTCTCGCTGTGGACGTTCATTCGACGGTGATTTTCGCAGCTTGTTGTTTATGATTATTGTTTTAAAAATGTTTGGGTTTTGTTTGTGTTTTGCTTTGACGCTGCTTGATGCTGCTGCTGCTGCTGCTGCTGCTGCTGCTCACAAAGCGACACCCGATTGCGCTCTCGTTGCGTTTCTCTCGCTTCTGAGCAGCCGCGGGGCGTTTGTGCGAAAACGAGAGCGAAAGCAAAAGCACTGAACAACAAGCGGTTCAAAAAAAAAAAAAAAAAAAAAGGCACAAATTTAAAAAATAAAAAATAAAAATAAAAAATAATACAAAGTGCTGGGTCTTTTGGTTGAGAAGCGGGAAAAAGCGAAAGCGAGTCAAAGGCGACAGTGAACGAATGAGAGATTGTATCAACCAGCAAAACAATCATCATCACAGTGTGAAGAAGTATCAAAAGTAGGAAAACACACGTCAAAACAAGAAACGGTGCTAAAAAGTCACCGCTAAAAGCAAACAAAACGCAAACACTGTGAAGTGTGAGGAGAGGCAACACAGTGATCGTATCTGTGTCTGTGGCGCCTGTTTGGCTTGCTTTGGATGCTCAGCTTTGACACGGTCAATGGAAATGAGGCAAGGGGGAGGGGGCGTGAAAACCAATAGCAAAATCATGGATGACTAAGTTGACACCTCCTTTTCCAAATCGAATCAGAATCCGGCAACCCGTTGCCAACAACTACAAGACGAAGCTCAACTCAACACAGCGCACAACAACTGTCGCATTTGAGACACTCACACAGTCTGTTTGATTACCTCAAAAAAACAAACAACAGGCGGAGGAAGAATACGGATCGCAGCTCATTCAGCCCAAGAAGGTAGTCGGCAAGTCGCTCATGCCGGGTCTCTCCAACGGCGCGCTCCAAGTAAGAACACTTAACATGCTCACAAGCTAACACCCTCAAATAGGGAGAACAAATGCTGGGCTCTTTGCGAGAAGACGTTTCTGTTTGCACAAAAGCATCAAACAACTCATCTCTCTTGCCTCGTTTGCTTCAGGTCAACCTGCAGGGCGCCCGGCGCAAGACCGAAGAATCCCCCTCGTGGCAAAAGGAGGTCGCCATCAACAAGCTCGGCAAGAGCAAGGAAAAGGAGGCCGCCCCCGTCTCGGGCGAGCTTGCCGACAAGCTCCGACGCAAGTCCGAGACGATCGAGCAGGCACAGAAGCAGGAGCAGGCCGAGAAGAATGCTCCCGAGTTTGAAAAGAAGCTCAAGTCGATGAGCGCCGCTCGCGACCAGAAGGAGAAGGAGAAGGAGGCAGGCCTCGTTCGAAACAACACGCCCACCATCGACGTGGGTGTGTCGCCCAGTGCGGCGTCCAGTGCATTCGGCAGCACTCTGAAAAAGTCCCCTGGCCCCAACACCACGGCCTCCAACCCCACCACACCAAACACGCCCCTCACACCGAGCTCTGCAACCTCTGGCACATCATTCAAAATCTCGCCATCAAGCTCCGGCAACAACCTCGCGGCATCCGCCAGCCCAGCAGCAGCCAGCAAAGCCGGCGCCTCGGCAGCCGCAGCAGCAGCAGCTGCACCAGCACCAGCACCCGCCGCCGACACAACCCCAGCATGGAAGAAGAGCTTGACATCGTCGGCCACTACTCCGGCCGCTGCTGCTGCTGCTGCTGCTGCACCAGCACCAGCTCCCGCCGCCGACACAACTCCCGCATGGAAGAAGAGCTTGACTACTGGTGCCGCCTCTACCACTACCCCGGCTGCCGCAGCATCATCAGCAGCAACGGCAGGTGGCGCAGGACTGGCAACCCCCGCATCAACTCCCTCCTGGAAGCGAAACTCGTCGGGTGCTGCTATTACTCCGGAGGCTGCTGCGGCTGCAGTTGCAGGAGCAACACCTACGACGTCTTCAACGGCAAGCCCTCGCACATCCTTCACGGGTACTCCCGGATCTTCAGCTGACAACACGCCGTCGTGGAAGAAGAATTCTACGGCCGGAGCAGCGCCAGCAGGCACAACCGCCACCGTTCAGAGGACGCCCTCGACAAGCACGCCCGCGACCGCGACCGCCACCGTCCAGAGGACGCCCTCGACAACCACGCCGGCGACCGCAAGCGCTCAAAAGCCTGCAGCAACAACACCTGCTGCTACTGCTGCTGCCACGCCTGCCACCGTCTCACCTCCAGCTGCCTCGACAGACAATCTTCCTGCTTGGAAGAAAGAGTTGTTGGCAAGCCGAGCGGCTAAGTAGTCATAGCTGACGCGGCGAGGAATTCAAATCTTTGATTTTTTCCGACTCTGATTTTGTATGTTTTTGTTGTCGTTTGTTTCTTTCGGTTTGCATTGTCTGCCACAATTTATTATTTCTCGTGCACAAAGAACTGTGATTGCGTGTGGATGGTCTCAAATGACAGTTGGAGTTTATGTGTTTTTGTAACGTTACTCAAGGGTGTCGTTGTGAAGTTTCTCTTTATCGAGGCTCTTCCATACAATCATCACAGCCCACACATCAAAGCTTGGCAACATCCTTCTAGTGGATGGTCTGACGTCGTAGCTTGATCAACTCGCTTTCTTGCCGCAAGTCGACGTCTCCAGAATCGAGCAACGCACCACCGAGCTCCATCGGCAGCACTGCTGCTGACGTCGTTTCGCTGTCCGTTCTCGACTCGAATGGGGTGAGTTGGTTGCTGGGAGGAGTGTTGATGGTGGCTTGGAACAGCGGGACGGTGCGGGGGGACTTTGGCGCTGTTGGCGGCGATTCGATGGTCATGTTGGTCTTCTCCTGCTGCAGGCGGAGCTCTCGGACAATTGGAGACGCGAGAATCGTGTCAAACATGTCGAGGGCTCCCAGTGACTGCAGAATGGTGTCAATCTTCTTTTCAGTTCGGTACGCGACTTCAATCATGCCAACCTTTAGGTACGTGAAGGTTTGGCCACGATGAATGTACTCTGCCATCCTTTGCCGGGTCGGATCATGCAGAATCAGAAGGTAATCGGAAAATCGAGGAGACGGCGAAATGGTCACCGATCCTGCAAAGTTTTGCAAAAAGATCAAGCTCCAGTCGTGCCCCAGGAACTAGTCAAAAAATCAAAAGAGATGTGGTTAGGCCGATCCTTAAAGGCTGGAACCGTGCACTCCAGCCTTCCTCCTCCCCCCCCCCGCGCGCGCGTCTTGGGCCAGACGTCCAGCTTACCATTGGAAACAGCTCCAACTCTTTCATGACAATCAGCCACTTTTTCATGTCGTACTTGAGCATGGCCTCGAGCAGAGCAGTGATAAAGCCTCCGCGGACGCCCTTTGCTCGCCACACTGGCTGACCCGCAGAGCCCTTGCGCTCGTACAGGAATGGGATGATGTGCGGATTTACCTGAAGCGAAAAGCGAAATCCGGTGAGTTTTTGCGCGACAAAGAGCTTGTTGGACTTTTGGCGGTTTCCAGCGCACCCACATTCTGCCTGCCCCAACCAATACGCCACCACCAACCTGAGAAACAATAAAGTAATTGACATTGAACAGGTGTGAAAGCGACTGCATCGGCAAGTCCGTCTTGAGTCCGCCATCCGTCCACTTTTCGCCAACAACGTGGTACGGCTCGACTGAACCATCATCGTTCTGCGCTCATTTGTGGAGTTTGCAACAACAACAAAAACAACAACAACAAAGGCAAAATGAGGCGGCTTGCAGTTGTGAAGCAACGAGACAGGCAGGAACGTGGCGATGGCTATTATTACCTTGACCAACAATTCGCAGGCTTCGAGAAGCCCAGGAATGGCAGCCGACGCGACTACGGCGCTGTAGACGAGCACATTGGGCGCGGTGATGTAGTTGAGCAGCAATGGCGGCGAGTGCACGTTCGCAGAAGTGATGGTGACGTTGAAGACGCGGCCGGTTCGCAAATACGCCTCTTCAAACGTCCAATCCCCGATAAGTGCTCGGGTTTTAACAAGCCAAGGCTCCTTTTCAAACATGTTTCCAGTCTTCAGGAAGCGAAACAGTCGCTTTGGCAACGGCTCAGCACAAGCCGTCATTTGGGCGTGCAAATCGGGTGTCAACGCAGTTCGGAGTTCCTCGTCCGTTTTGGTGCAGACGATCGAGCCGATCAAGGCACCAGCGCTGGTGCCTGAGGGGTGGGCAAGGGAGGGAGGGGGAGGGGTGTTGTGTTTCGTGTTTCAAAACAAAATGAGAACAGTATTCGTACACAAGGAGCGCCGCAAATGTTACGCACCTGCAATCACTGCTGGAAGTAATCCTCGATCCAGCAGCGCACGCACCACGCCAACGTGGTAATAGCCTTGCCCACCACCGCCAGAGAGACACAGGGCTGACTTGCCGTACGACTTTTCCAACGACCGGAAAAATTTGACCTTGCGGTCGTGCGACAGAACGTCTTCTGGTGCGGCGGCCACAACATCAAGTGCAGCCTCCAGTGTGCGGGCATATTCGTGGATGATGTTCTTGGTTCGCCCGACAAACTGATGCGAGTACAGAATTTCGCTATTGATGCCAGCCAAGTTCTTGTGGCACTTGGTCGCAAGCGTGTGCATGAGTCGTTTGATATCGCCGTTTCTACTCTGCTCCTGGAGCTGCTTGACGCTTGATTCGATGAGTACCGAATCGTACGCGGCGTCGCTAAATTTGGAAGAAAGTCAAAAAGAAGGTCGACGAGAGCAAAGCAAGTCAAGAAGACAAACCAGCTTGTCAGCAACCTAGAGTGCATGATTGCACATGACGTTGTATCGCACATGCCAGTCCGCCGATGCCAGCGGCTCTTAAGCAAAAAATCCAGTGTCGTACCTGTCGTTGGCAGACCAGCTATCTCGACCCTGAGCTCGATCCGCTTGCTGTGACGCCGTAAACCATTGCTCATACGTTCGCATTTCGCGAATACCGAGCAATCTTCGGCGGTAATTTGGAGTCTGAGCAGCGTTGAAATCGGTAAGTTCACACTCGCTCTTGGACCCGACAATCCTCTCGCCCTTGGTCCTGTAAAACGCAGCAGTTGGGCACTTACCGTGAATACCGCCTCGATGGCATAGACGAGCCATCGGAGCGCAGTGTAGAGGGTGAGCTCGACCATCAGAATGGAGAAGACGGCAAACACGAGCGGCCACCGCAGCAACCGCGACGCCTTCACCAGCATTTTGGGTCAGGGTTCGGTTAGGACACTTGTTGGTTTTGATGTGCTCGAGTGCTCGGTTGGATGGAGTCGCGAGTGCGCGTCGGAGGTTGAAAACGCGTCACCAGCTCACTCAGTTTCCCGTTCGCCCACTGTGAGTGAGTGACAGGGGGGGGGGGGCGCGCGTTTCAGTCCACAAGTGCCCGCTGCGTCTGTGACTGTGGATCGTTGAAGCAAGAGCGTGGGTTTTGTTCCTCGGTGCTTGCTCTGTTGGATTTGGCGTCTAGAACAAAAAATCGATGTGAAAATCAAAAAAAAAAAAAAAAAAAAAAAAAAAAAAAAGACTGGATTTTTTTTTTTTTGTTTTTTTTTACGTTGAGATTTGCATTGAATGCGGCTGTGTAGCGTTGATCATGTCGAGGAAGTGCTGATTCTTGTGAGTTTGTTGCTGCTCGGATGACAAACGCAATTCAAAAAGTGAAGCCTCAACGCAACGGGTTAACGAACGGAGGTGGATGGCAGATCACGTTGGGGTCGCTCAAATGACTTGGCAGATGTTTCCGTCAATGTCCCCCAACAACCTCCCCAACACAGCAAGTCACATCCGATTGGGTGAACAACACACACACGCTACTTGGCGAGCGACATGGAAAAGGACAAAAAAAGGAGAAATCAAATGTTGTTATTGAACAAGGAATAAAAAAAAACACAAAGGGAATTAACAAACAGCAACAAACAGCTCATGCGTGGATAACAAACAAGCTATGGCATCAACAAAGCGATGGATGGATCAAAGAGTTAACCAGTGCAAAAAAAAATGAATCGCGTTCACTTAGTACAAGCGCTTCTCAAACCTGTGAAAGAGAATCAAAAAGGAGAAACAACAAAAAAAGTTAGTCTCGCTGAAACAAATCCCTCCACAACACCACCCATGCTGCACTGAAAAAAAAGACTCACGAATGCAGGCTGTGCACGTTGCCCTCGGCTTGGGCAGCGGGGCTGCGGCGCTCAAAGGTAACCTTGTTCGAGTAGACACCCTCCTTGAGCTCGGACACGCTTCGGACACCAATGTCCTGGAGGCTGTGCTTGAGGCCAGAGATGAGGTAGGGGACAAACTTTTGGATGGAGCCCTTGTCGACGACCGAGCCAGAGACGCCCTGGGCGACCTTGATCGAGTCGTTTTCGCTAAAGTAGCGCTGCTTGGAGCCGTCCTTGTCCATGGCGTCGAGAGAGCCCATGCCGCGGTACTTCTTCAGGCGCACGCCGTTGCTGAAATAGTATTCGCCGGGGGCCTCGGTGGTGCCGGCAAGCATCGAGCCCATCATGACGGCCGAGGCGCCGAGAGCGAGTGCCTTGGTAATGTGGCCAACGTTGGAAACACCGCCGTCGGCAATCGTGGGGACGCCAAAGTGGCGGGCAAAGTTCGAGACCTGGTAGACGGCAGTGCCTTGAGGACGGCCGCAAGCCATCACCTCCTGAGTGATGCAAATGGAGCCGCTGCCCATGCCGATGCGCAGACCGTCGACGCCGGCGGCAATCAGGTTGCGCGCCTGCGAGACGGTAACAACGTTGCCACCAATCACCTCGAGGTCGGCGTACTCGCGCTTGATGCGGTTGATGAGGTCGAGCTGGTAGACAGAGTTGCCCTGGGACGAGTCGATGACGACAACGTCGAGACCAGAGTCGACCATCATCTTGAGGCGGTTGAGGTCGTCGAGGCGGGTGCCGATCGCAGCGCCGGCCAAAAGCTGCTTGTTGGCGTCCTTGGAGGCGTGCGGGAAGAACTTGTTCTTCTTGAGGTCTGTGCGGGAAATGAGGGCGACGAGCTCGTCCTTGTCGTTGACAATGGGCAGCTTGCCCTTCTTGTTCTCCTGGAGAATCTTGTTGGCCTCGGCGAGCGAGCAGCCAGCCTTGCCGACGACGAGGTCGCTGCGCTTGGTCATGACGTCTTGCAGCAGCGTTTGCGACCAGCGGTCCTTGGGGATGAAGTCGACATCGCGGGAGGTGATGATGCCAACAAGGCGGCCGCCCATCTTGCCAGTGTCTGAGAGAGGAGGAGGAGGACAGGAAAAACAGAACAAAAGGGGTGAGCTGTCAAAAGAGAAACCAGTAAAAGCAAGTGGAAACGAATCAGACAAAAAATGAGGTCTCACCAGTGACGGGAACGCCAGCAAAGCCTTGACGCTCCTTGACAGCAAGGACCTGGGCAACAGTGGCGGTGGGGAGCATGACGACGGGGTCGAGAATAAAGCCCTGCTCGTAGCGCTTGACCTTTTGCACGAAGGCAGCCTGCTCCTCGGCAGTGCAGTTGTGGTGAAGGATGCCAATGCCACCCATCAGCTACAAGAGTAGAGGAATCAGTGAGCGACATGGGCAGGCGGAAAGCGGAGGGTAACAGACAAGGAAAAAAAAAAAAAAAAGGATGGGGCGCTCAGAATCCGAAAGACAAATACTCTGCATTGCATTGCCGCGCGGCTGTTAATCGCATGGCAGCACATAAGGAAATAGATCCGTATGTTTGTTTTCTTCTCATCAAAGCAACAAAAACATTGAAAAGGGTCAAAGTGGAACAACGCAACCAAAAACGAGGTGGAATGGCCTTCCCCACTACTGCTGAGGGTGCACAGGACGATAGGCCGTGTTACTACAATACAAACACCCAATGAAGGAACACTTACCGCCATGTTGATGGCCATCTCGGACTCGGTGACCGTGTCCATGGGGGACGAGACGAACGGGGTTTGGAGGGAGATCTTCTTGGTCAGCTTGGTCTCGAGGGACTGTTTTGTTGAGGATTCAGCAGACGATGGTTTCAATCAATGAGCATTTGCAATCCAATCGATGGCAGTGAAACAAGAAACGAAGAACGGAAGAAAAAAAAAAAGGCGGGAAAAAACAAGTAGAAAAAGACAAAGAAAAACGCGGAAGTTTTTTTTTGTTTCTTCTTTGTCGTTGTTGTTCCAAAGGCAAAGCGCCAAAGACAGTGCGTTGCTTTCAATGTTGTATGATGTTGATAAGAGTGAGTGAGGAAGGCTGGATGGATGGATGGATCAAAAGTCGTCTCCAAGTGGTGCAACCTTGAAGACAGCCGCTGTGACCACCTCGCGCGGCACACACTGGACCGTCGCTCAATATTGCGCAATCTCAACGCTGCTCCGTCGTCAATGCACAGCGAATTCACTTCTCCATCGCACAACAAAAAAGAGATCTTTGCAGACAGTACGTCGCTGCGCTGTGGGTGCAAGAGTGCGAAATGGAGCGGACACGAGGGGGAATGAAGGGACATTGGAGAGGACCATGCCACATGGCAGAGCTGGGTTCTTTGACTCTCGCTGACTCTCGCTGACTCGCCCACTCGCTCTCGCTCTGCACGGCACGAAAGCGAAAAACACCACGTGAAGCACACAATGCGAGTGCAGCGACGAGTGAGAAAGAGAGAGAGAGAGAGTGGATGAGCATGGAACCAAAAAAAAAAAAAAAAAAAAAAAAAAAAAAGCAAATGTGGCCACAAAGACGCCGAGGCCACAGTCCCACTCGCCCATTGCCATGATTGAGAGAGGTCGCGATGAGCGACAGAGACGCAAGGAAGACATTGAACAAAAGAATCACATTGATGTGGAGATGACGGAAGGAGGAAGGAGGGGGTGGAAGTGGAAGTGGAAGAATCGAGAACAAAGCAAGAGAAAGGAACGCTTTACCACTTCGTCCGAGCCAAAGCCGACAAAGCCAGGCATGACGAGAAAGTCGTTGTAGGTGATACCGACGCCGCTGGACATGAGCTCAGTGACAGTGAGACCATCGGCAGACCGGAACTCCTCGACGCCGTACGACAGCGCATCGGCAGCAGGGAGCATTGAAGAGGATGAGGAAGCCATGTGTGCGAAAACGAACAAAAGCAAAAAAAAAAAACAAATGAAAGGTTTGAGATTGGTAAAAAATCTAAGAGTGAATGAATTCTCGATTTGGAATGGACTGATCAGCGCAAGTCGATTTGATTTGGAACAAAAGTGCATACAAACCGCGAGAGAGAAGGGAGAAGGGATTTGATGGGAAATACCGAAACAAGTCGAAAGTGGCGCACGTTCATTGATCGCCAAACACAAACTCCAATCAAGTGCGCTGTAAGCCAGTGTCTCTCAAGCCACAAAGCCAACCTCGCCAAAAAAGTCAACAAAAGGGGAGCAAAAAACCGCTGCTCATCTAAAACGCCCATGCACACACAAAAAGACTCTGACGTTCGAGCGCTCGATTTCTTCAAACCCGCTCGTACTTGACATGCCCCGCGAGCGGAAGCTGAAGACGCACGCTGGAGAAGGACGCAAAGTCCTCGCATGCTGGTGAGCTCTGGCACTGCGCGGGCACGGCAAAATGAACGGGATCCGGACGAACGCTCGCATCAAACCAGGCGTAGTCGATTTCGAGGTAGCCATCGGCCAGAGGACCCCACAGACTGGCGGGGTAGTACGAATCGCTGGGCTTGCCATAGACGTCGTACGAGAGGTATCCAAAGCCCTCCTTGTGCCAGATGGTCGTGTTTTGCGCATGCATGACCGTCTCACCGGCGTACTTTGCATCGCCGAAAAAGTCTGGCTTGGGCGGCGCAAATGGCGTCATGAAAACGCAGCACGGCGGGTGCGATGGGTCGCCATTGTTGAGGTCTGCGCGTGTGTGTGTGTGTGTGTATGTGTGTGTGTGTGTGTGTGTGTGTGTATGTGTGTTTTGTTGGAAAGGGGAAAAGGGGTGTGCATCCCAAACCAAAACAAACGGGTGAGTCAACTTCGAGGGGGGCCCCACCACTGCATGCCAGCTCGCCGCTCTTTACAGTAGGCAGTGTCGTTCACAAACAGGAACTCGCAGGTAAAGTTGTACGCGGTCGGATTCTCAAACATGGGCGCGCACCACTGCTTGTACGAAGATCGCATTGCGGGAAGGGAGTGGTCGTAAAAGACCTCACCGCCGCCCGCGGACTGCCAGTACGGACCGTACGGCTGGTAGAAGACGGTGTAGTTTGCGTAAAAGTAGGTGGGCCACGCAGGCGGGTGGGGTGGCGCATCGATGGCGGAGGAATCGGCCATGTTGTTGTTGTTGTTGATTGGTGCGGCGGAAACCGATGACACTGCCAGCAGCAGCAGCAGCGCGAGCAGCGCAAACACTGCGCATCGGTGTGTAGCGTTGAGAGCTGGCATTCCTTGTGTTGGGAGACGGGTTGTTCACAAAGTTGGACTGAAATGTTTTCAATTTGGATTCGAATCCGCCTCTTTAAACGGACGAGACGTCGGAGATTTGTAAAATCAAAACACCTGACACTCGAATGAATGCTAAATGGTCGTATTTGTTTGTGGTGGGCGATGGCGCGATCCTGCGGCTGCGTGGCTTTGCGCGATTCTGATTTGGCCAGAAGGAGTTTGAGTATTTCCAGCTTTCCAAGAACAAAACCAAAACCGAACTAAAACTGCGCGTTCTTTCTCCATCACTGCAATGTTTGACAAAGACAAATGGTTTCTCTAAAGCCCATGGCAAACGACTTGATGATGAGCATCGGGAGGACGTCGATTGACTTGCAAACAGAGAGTGCAGAGAACAAAACAAAACGTACGCACTCGATTTGGCCTGAAACACTCAACTTGCCCAGTTTGCAATTCTGGTCTGACTTTTCGTTTTTCTTCCAACTCTCAATTTCCAAATCCCAAATTCAAACGATTTAAGAAACTCATTCCTTTTTTTTTTTTCTTCATCATTCACAAATCTCAGACAAAATGGCGGTGAGTTTTTTTTGCTTTTTCTCTTTTGTTGCGATCTCTTTTTTTTTTTTTTTTTTTTCTGGAAACAAAACGCAATGCAAATTCTGCTGAAACGCGCTTTTTTTTTTTTTTTTTTTTTTTTTTTTTTTTTTTTTTTGGGTTCATCATCTCACTTTTGTTCGCTTTTTTTTTTTTTGGTCCAACTGCTGTGCATTCCGCCACTGCTGTAGACTCCAATGGACACGACCAACACGACTGCTGCCCCTGCGATCGACGAGAGCCTGTACTCGCGCCAGCTGTAAGCAAATAGGAAGCTCCATCAACACACAATGAACGAAACGCGATTTTTATTTTTTTATTGTTTTTTTTCTTCCGCTGAGTTGTCATCGTTCGTTCACCGCCCAACCCCAAAGCGGCTCAAAGCGGCTCGGCTCGCTCCAGCATCAGCATGGGGCATCTCGCACGCATTGCTCTTTGTTTGCCACAGCCGAGCAAACGCAAACCGACGACGATAGAAGAAGGCTGGAAATCGTCTCGCTTCTTTTTTTTTTTTTTTTTTTTTTTTTTGGCTGACTGTGATGTTGGATTGACACAACAACGGATGGCGTAATCATTGCTGGCTCGCAACTCAGCACGTCACTCAACTCCTCGCAACCAGGCAGCAGAATGAGGAAGATCATGATACGCACGACAACGACGACGACGAACAGAGCAACAGGCACAATCAGTTTTGTTGTTGGTGACCAGCTAAAACAGCCAAACAACCAAACAAGCATGACGTGGACCGCATCCCTCGTTCGGTCATCCCACCATCATCCCATCGTCTTTCGCTTTGTTTCAATGACCACGGAGAAAAATGAGGCGATGCTCCTCCTGTCGTTGCTTTTGGTCACAAACAAAGCATCTCACCCTTTGCCTCATTACCTCTGCTCCCCCCCCCTTCTCTTCCAGGTACGTGCTCGGTCATGAGGCCATGAAGAAGATGAGCGTCTCCAACGTGCTCATTTCGGGTCTGAAGGGCCTCGGTGTCGAGATTGCCAAGAACGTTGTGCTCGCCGGCGTCAAGTCGGTCACTCTGCACGACCCCGAGGCGGTCGAGGTTGCCGACCTTTCGTCGCAGTTCTTCCTGCGGCCCGAGGACGTCGGCCAGAACCGCGCTGCCGTCACGCTGCCGCGCATTTCCGAGCTCAACTCGTACGTGCCCATCGACGTGCACGCTGGTCCCCTCACGCCCGAGGTGCTCGCTCGCTTCCAGGTTGTCGTTCTGACCAACTCGACCCTTGCCGAGCAATTGGCCGTCAACGACTTTACACATGCACACAACATTGGCTTCATCTCTGCCATTACTCGTGGTCTTGTTGGGTGAGTTTGCCCGTTGCTTTTTTTGGTTTGGTGATTTTGTCATTTGCTTTGATTGCTCATCGTTTTCTCTTTCTACAGTGAGCTCTTCTGCGACTTTGGCAGCTCTTTTGTTGTTAGCGATACCAACGGCGAGCAGCCCCTGTCCGCCATGATTGCCTCCATCACAAAGGTATGCCACCAAAATTATTTTCTCTTCTTTTGTCTCGTCCCACCCGCTTCATCTCCATTCACTCCCTCCCCCACTCTTCATGCATTCCAGGAAAGCCAAAGCATTGTCACTTGCCTCGACGAAACCCGCCACGGCTTTGAGGACGGCGACTATGTCTCCTTCCACGAGGTCCAAGGCATGACCGAGCTCAACCACGCAGCTGCCCGCCCCATCAAGGTGCTTGGTCCGTACACTTTCAGCATTGGCGACACCACTGGCCTGTCCGACTATGTTCGTGGCGGCACTGCCACCCAGGTCAAGCAGCCCAAGACTCTTGCATTCGTGAGTTTCCGCTGTCCACTTTTTTTTTTTTGTTGTTGTTGTTGTTGTTGTTGTTGTTGTTGTCCTTCTTGTTTGTTTTTTTTGTTGCTCATTCCTTCAACCGTCATTCCCTCACACACTCGACCTCTCTGTCTGGTCGGGGAAAAATAATATAGAAATCGCTCCGCGACTCGCTCGTCCACCCCGAGTTTGTCTTTACCGACTTTGCCAAGATGGACCGCCCGCAGCAATTCCACATTGCCTTCCAGGCACTTGACCAGTTCCGCGCTGCCAACGGTGGCGTTCTGCCGCGTGCTCACAACGCGCACGATGCTGGCCAGGTCATTGCATTGGCCAAGACGATTGCCGCCGCGCACGCTGACAAGCCCGAGATTGACGAAAAGCTGCTCACCCTGTTCGCTTACGGCGCGATTGGCGACGTCTGCCCGATGAACGCGGTCATTGGTGGCATTGCAGCCCAGGAGGTGCTCAAGGCGTGCTCTGGCAAGTTCCACCCCGTCCTGCAGTACCTCTACTTTGACAGCTTTGAGTCGCTGCCCGAGGGCGTCGACATTACCACGCTGCCTGAGGCCCTCTTCCAGCCGACCGGCTCGCGCTACGACGCGCAGGTGGCCGTGTTTGGCTCCAACTTCCAGAACAAGCTCGGCGACCTCAAGTACTTCCTGGTCGGCTCTGGCGCCATTGGCTGCGAGATGCTCAAGAACTGGGCCATGATGGGCGTTTCCGCGGGCCCTGCCGGTCAGGTGATTGTGACTGACATGGACACGATCGAAAAGAGCAACCTCAACCGCCAATTCCTCTTCCGCCCTTGGGACGTGCAGCAGCTCAAGTCCAACACGGCTGCCAAGGCTGTCAAGACCATGAACCCCGCCATCAACGTGATTGCCCACCAAAACCGCGTCGGCCTTGACACGGAGGGCCTGTACAATGACGACTTTTTCAACTCGCTCGACGGTGTGGCGAACGCGCTCGACAACGTCGACGCCCGTCAGTACATGGATCGCCGCTGCGTCTTCTACTGCAAGCCCTTGCTCGAGTCGGGCACCCTCGGCACCAAGGCCAACTCGCAGGTCATTGTGCCCTTCCTGACCGAGTCGTACTCGTCGTCCCAGGATCCCCCGGAGAAGGGCATTCCCATCTGCACGCTCAAGAACTTCCCCAACGCCATCGAGCACACCCTGCAATGGGCGCGCGAGAACTTTGAGGGCATCTTCACCCAAAAGCCCGAGAGCGCCAACCAATACCTCGCTGGCTCGGCGGCCTTTGTCGAGACCACCTCGCGCCAGCCCCAGGCCCAGGCGATCGAGACCTTTGAGGCTGTCAAGGAGACGCTCGTGTCGGACAAGCCCCTCACCTTCGAGGACTGCATTGCCTGGGCGCGCCTGCGCTTTGAGGACTGGTTTGCCAACCAAATCAAGCAGCTCCTGTACAACTTCCCGCCAGACCAGCTCACCACCACCGGCCAGCCCTTCTGGTCGGGCCCCAAGCGCTGCCCCACCGCGCTTGCGTTCGACTCGTCGAATGAGCTGCACATGGACTTTGTCGTCGCCGGCGCCAACCTGCGTGCCTTCAACTATGGGCTGAAGGGCCACACCAACCGCGACACCTTCCGCGAAGTCATTGCCCGCTCCGCCGTCCCCACCTTCACTCCCAAGCAGGGCGTCAAGATCCACGCCAACGAGAGCGAGGCTGCCGCTGCCGCCCAAGCTGCTGCGAACGCCGGCGGCTCCGACCAGGAGCAAATCGACCGTCTGGTCTCGCAGCTCCCGGCCACCGCCACGCTTGCCGGCTACCGGCTCAAGCCCGTCGAGTTTGAGAAGGACGACGACACGAACTTCCACATGGACTTCATCACCGCCACCTCCAACCTCCGTGCCGCCAACTATGGCATTGCGCCCGCCGACCGCCACAAGTCCAAGCTGATTGCTGGCAAGATCATTCCCGCCATTGCCACCACCACTGCTCTGGTTGTTGGTCTTGTGTGCCTCGAGTTGATCAAGGTGCGTGGTCGTTTTGTTTGTCTGAGGGATGAGGAGAGCAGCTTTGAGAGTGACGAGAGTGCTGATTTTCTTTTTGAATTTGGTTTGAATTTACACAAAAACCCTACCCTCCCCCACAGCTTGTTCAAGGCGCCAAGAAGATTGAGACGTTCAAGAATGGCTTTGTGAACTTGGCCTTGCCCTTCTTTGGCTTCTCGGAGCCGATTGCCGCGCCCAAGCTCAAGGTAGGATTCATGCTGAGAGTTTGAGTTCGCTGGTTGTTGGTGAAAAACTCATCCTGTTCGTTTTTGGGGGTTTTAAATTCCGGCGCAGTACAACGAGGTCGAGTGGTCTCTGTGGGATCGCTTTGACATCCAGGGCGAGCTCACTCTTGGCCAATTCCTCGAGTACTTTGAGCGTGAGCACAAGCTCGATGTGACGATGATTTCGTGCGGCCATTCGATGCTCTATGTTTCCTTCCAGCCTGCCAAGAAGAAGGAGCGCATCAACATGAAGTATGTTACTTGATTTTTTTGAAGATGAGTGAAGAGGGTGAGGGGATGCTTGCTTTGTCGGCTTGCTCATCGTTGATGGCTTTTTTTGGTCAGAATGAGCGAGATTGTGGAGCTCGTGTCGAAGAACAAGATTCCCGAGCACACCCGGACGCTCGTGTTTGAGATTGGCTGCTGCGACTTGGATGGTGAGGATGTCGACACCCCCTACGTCCGTTACTTGCTTCCCAAGTAACAAAACAAAAACACAATTCTTGCAACAATAAAAGTCGTGTTTGTGTGCTTGTGATTTCAAAATTACCCAACGTCTTTTTCCACTTTTCCGCTCCATTTTCGTTTCGTTGTTCAAGTCATTCATTAATTTCATTATTTTTATTGTGCACAAGCCATGTCCGAGTTGTTTGGTGGCGTCGAGGGCGGCGCGTCCAGGTCGACAATGGTGATTTCGAACGCGGCCGGCGAGATCCTGGCGACGGCGTTCGGCGGCTCAACCAACCATTGGGTAATAGCGCGCATGCCACTGTTTCGTCCGAGCTATTCCGCCTTGGGGGTTGGGTTGAGGGCTGGCTGGAGGGGGGGGGGTGAAGAGGTCGGCGAGAATGGCTCAAAAATCGCAGTGGCTGAACATCGTGAATGCGCAGTCTGAACGGGAGGTGCCTGACTCTCTCCCTGACTGATTGATTGATTGAATGTTGCACCAGGTCGTTGGTCTGGACAAGTGCATTGAGGAGTTTGGCGCAATGGCTGCCGAGTGCAAGCGTCAAGCGGGAATCGCTCCAACAACCAAACTCTTCTCGCTGGCAAGTCACCGTTTTTTGTTGGTCGTCCGTGCACTTCAACGACGTACAGTGTTGCGTGTTGTGCAGATGCATTTGGTGATGAATTATCAAGTCTCAGAGGCGAGAGTTACAGTCCACTGAACCGAACTATTTCGATTGTTTGTTTCACGGCTTTTCCCAAATAGGGATTGTCGCTCAGCGGCGGAGAGCAGCCTCAGGCACAGCGCGATATCATTGCTGGAATCCGTGCCAAGCTACCCGACCTTGCAGAGCACTACGACATTTGCACCGACACGTTCGGCGCGGTCGCAACTTCATGTGAGGCCGGTGGCATTGTCTTGATTGCTGGAACGGGCTCCAACTGCCAGCTCATTGATGCCCAGGGCCAGGGCGTTGCTGGTTGCGGCGGCTGGGGTCACTTCATGGGCGACGAGGGCTCCGGTATGCTCGAAATCGAAGAGGCTTGGGTTTTTATTGTCACGATTTGACTTTGGGCCCAAATCTCACTGCCGTGTTTTGCCCTGCTTCCAGCATACTGGATTGCGCATGCTGCCATCAAGTTTGTCTTTGATGACATGGACAAGTACTTGACTGCCGAGAACGCGGCGCTTGGGCTGGACACGGAATACGTCAAAACGAGCATGTTTGCGTACTTTCAAGTGAGTAGAATTCCTCATGTATGGGGGAGGGGGGTTCAGCACCCTCCTGCGAACGTGACGTTGCAACTAACGTTGATGTCTGAATGGAATTTATGCGGACGCAAACGGCGGCGTAGGCGCAAAATCGTAAAGAAATGCTCAACCACTTTTACTCGAATTTCGACAAGCAATTCTTTTCCGGGTTTACCAAGCTCGTGGCGGAAGGTGTGTGAGTGTGTGTGTGTTTCGCAGCCTTGTGAGTGGAGTGTGAATGCTTGAGGTATATTGTTGTTTCTCAACCGACTCTGCAATCTAGGCGCCGACAAGGGTGATCGCCTTTGCCGAGAGATTTTCCGACGAGCTGGCGACCATTTGGGGCGGCACACGCGTGCAGTGTTGCAATCTGCGGATCAGGTAATTGTTGTTTTTGTGTGCGCTCTGACTCGTCAAACAAGTTGTTCATCATGTTCTCAACAACCATCCCGCTTTCGTTCGCGCTCCACACTTCCAGTCGGTTGACAAGCTGAACGTTGTCTGTGTCGGATCGGTATTCCAGAGCTGGCATCTTCTGCGGGAGGGCTTCTGGGGTGGTGTGGGCGACGTAACACCGCGTCCTCAACTCGTTCGTCTGCTCGTGTCTGCTGCCATTGGCGCTGCACGCCTCGGTGCTACTCGCAGCTCTTCCGGAACCAAGACGGTGGCTGTGGACTTTGCCCGCACTACCGAAACTTTGGAGAGCTGAGGAAAAGCAGTCATGATTTTAAAAAGCACAATACTAGTAAAATTGAGCAACTTTTTGTTTTTAACAACGAGTCTACACTGACACGACGAAATTATGGAACAACAACAAATCAAAAGACCAAAGACATCGACAAAAAACACACACACATTTCAAAAAAAAAAAGGAGGTGGAAAGAGGAAAAATGAATGAAGGGCATTCAACCCACAAGAAGAACGGGGCTTTTGCGAGTTGCAAGCTTTTTTATTGCTTGATTTGCAGACCCTTGTGGATCTTGGCATCATCAAACTTGGTGGGGGTCTCAGTGGTGAAGATGGAAATGACGCCGGTCAGGAGAATAGAGAAGAGGATGGCGCCGACGAACAGGCCCATAAGAATCGGGATGGTCCACCAAGTGTTGTTGGTGGTGTCGTTAACATCGCGGCGAAGAACGTCCGAAGCAAAGCTCTGGAGATGGATGGCGCGAAAAGGAAAAGGAAAAGGAAAAGGAAAAGGAGAAACGCAGCAGCAAAAGCGAAGAGTGAGTTGTCCAGAAAAAAAAAAACATTCATCAACACACAAGCCAACAGCCCACCCATCAACACGCCACCACCAAGGACACCACCAAGGACACAATCCAAAAACTGAAAGACAATAACCAAAACATAAAAAGCAGCCCCCTCGACCCCCTCGACTCACAGTCTGCATGACACGGTTGGTCAGCTTGTCGCTGGTAAAGACAGCGAGGTAGTCACCGTTGGAGGCGGCGGCAACGAGGCGGGAGACGTGGCCGACAAACTGGTCGAGCTCGGAGAACTGCTCAGAGCGCTGGGCGGCGTTGCTGGCGACGCGGACAATCAGGACGTCGAGCTGGCCGTCGCCAGAGAGGGTGAAGGGGAGGGCCTCGGCGGCGGCGAGCTGGGCAGAAGAGAGCTCGACGAGCTTGCCCGTGGCAGCAGCGGAGAGGTGCGCGACGAGGGTGGCGTCGTTCGAGTACTCTGTGGCGAGGCTCGAGGTGCTCGACTGGAGCAGGGCGCGAATGTTGGAGACGGACGAGTGCGCGACGTGGAAGCCGCCAAAGCGAGCAACCTCCTGCGATGAGAAGGCATTCTGGACAAAGACGACGACGACGGACGGGGCAGCGAGCGTGTCCGGGTTGAGGTAGCTGCGCAGCGCGGGGATGGCAGCGAGCGGTGACTTTGGCTCTGCAGCAGCAGCAGCGGGTGCGCCGGGTGCCAAGAAGACGCTGTCAAACCCAACAAAACATAAACAACAAGAAGAAGACGAAGAATAAGAAGAAAAGTGAGTCGAAGTTCAAAGTTGAAAGTTGAAAGTTGAAAGTTGAATGCAAAGAAAGAAGGAAGGAAGGGAAAAATACAAAAAAAAAAAAAAAAAAAAAAAAAGTTGGGGAAAAAAACTGGAAAAAATCACAAAAAAAAAAAAAAGCATATGACTTGTATTGAAAATGCATTGGAAAGAAAGAAGAAAAAAAAAAAGTGGGGAAAACGAAGCAGACGACGAAAAGTGCAGTTGAGAGATGGATGGAATGACCGAGTGTGTGTGTGTGATCGCAGGCAACAGGAACAGTCACAGTCACAGTCACAGGCTGAAGAACAACAACTCAAAAGAAAAGGGGAAAAAAAAAAAACGAAGCCACGCGATTTCCAATGGAAAAAAAAAAAAAAAAAACCAAGCTTTGTTTTTCTATTTCTCTCTCTCTTTTCTTCTTCTTCTTCTTGTTGAGGTGATCGTTGAGTCACTGTCACTGTCACTGTCACTGTCGCTGACTGTCTGACTGTCGCTCTGTCGCTGCTCTGGCGCTGGGGGGGGGCGAGGGGGAAGGAAGACCAGCCGGAGGGGCACGCTTCACCCCATCTGCTTTCCCCTCTTCATCACTCTCTTCCTCTCTCTCTCGAGTCGCAGGCTGCTGGTCTCTTAGTCAGAGTATGTTGGAGGAGGGAGGAGGGGGGTGTTTGCTCACGGGTGGCTGGACCACGCCAAGAGAGGCGCAGACGTCGACGCTGCGGCAAACACGGCTGCAAAAGCCAAAAGCAAAGCCAGCGATGAGCGAAGCATGATTGCTGTGGGGGGAAAAAAGAGAGACTGAACGACTGAGAGATTGAGACTGAAAGACTGAGATTGTGACACTGAGATTGACGTTTTTACATTTGCGATGAACTGCAACAGACAAAACCACAACAAAACCCGTTGGAATTGCCGCTCAAAACAGCAACGCCGGGGAGTGCATCAACCAAACAATCTGGTCGCAGGTGTTGAGCAAAATCAAGCAAACTTGAAGATGCCGTACTGAAACATGCCAAAGTGCAAAGTGCGCGGCGGACTGAGGGAGCTGAATATGGAATCTGAACAGACTTTTTCCCCCTTTTCTTTTCGAAAATCCTGCCCATCTACACTCATTGAACAAGCCCACGGAGAACAAGACGCTCCCGGTTCAGCTGAACAATGAGAGGAACAAGCAGAGACCGCTGCACAAAGTCAATCGAAACGACGTTGACAAAGCGCAGCAAATCGGTGCGCTGCTGCCAAGCAAACTCGTCCAACCGACGGTTGAAGCGGCACGCCATCAGCCTCATGTTGTCGTGCAGTGGGAAGCACAGCGTGCGGTAGGCAGGTCGTTCGGCATGCTCAAACTGGAACGGCTCGCGCTCGGTTTCTCGGAGCAAGGGTTGTCGCGAAATGACCTCGGCACCACGATTCTTCGCTTTCTCGTTGCTACTACTCGTGCTCTCGGGTGAAGGCACGGTACGTGGCAAAAACAGCCAGTGGGCGCAGCAAAACACGCCACATAGCAGGCAACCAGCGAGGCGCTGCACGGCCGCACGGACGACATCGCCAGTTTGGGGCGTGAGGGTGAACGTCGTCATGAACATGGGCCGGGACGCGGCAGCTGTTGGGCTTGTTGCAGAGCTCGAAGCGCGGACTGTTGCAGCAGCTGCAGCATACTCTGGACGGATCGGGCCGGCATCCTGCCCGTATTGAACCATTTGAGCGGCCAAGTCTTCCAGTTTCCGCTCCGGATTGCTCGTGTCAAGCCATCTCCCACGCATCAAATTGGCAGGCCACAGGAGAGCAGAGTGACTTTGGACGGACTGCGAGTTGCACATGAGCACAATGCTCCGACCTGCGCGCTCGTGCTGCCGCAGTGTGTCAAATCGTGCATTGAGTGGAATGGCTCGCGAACCCAGCACCTCCTCGATCAAACGCGCGAGCTTGAGGTGCGGCGTCGACCAGTCGCGACCAGCAGGGCTCGTTGTCGAACTGGCTGGATCCGCCGGACTCGTGGGCGCACTTAGGGGTTGGTTATGCTCGTGAAGCTCAACGGCAACGAGAACAATTTCCCTCGGATGCGCGGTGCAAAACCTTGCAATGTCTCGCAGGACGTGCTCCAGGGGCAGACAGCGAAACGAGTGCAGAGTGTGAAATCCGCTGACACTCTCAGAATTCCCCATCAGCCTGCTGTCAAATAGCGGATCTTCTGCGAGCCGTGATGTCGCGTCAGGCGGAACGGGTGCCAGAACAGGAACTGCGTGCTCCGGTGTCGGACTCGGACTCGACGGACTGTGTTGATTCGATCCTGGTCGATGTCTTGAAAGATCGAACGCTACGTCAATATCCAGGCATCGAACGCCGTGTTCCAGTTGCTCGAGCACGCCAATGTCCTGATTTACCGACCATCTGAGAAGCAGCCCACAAAAAACAAAAACAAAATCGTTGCAGTTAGTTTCGCATGTTTGAGTGTAACGGAAGGGATCCAGGCTTTAGAAACGCGACTCGAATGCACAACACAATTCGACTCCAAAATCTCAGACAAATCGACGTGTCCGTTTTCTCAGCATTTTAGCGTTTCCCCCGCTCCTTCCTTATTTCGGCTTTTTGCTTCACTCACTGCTCTCCTCCTGAGACGGCGTGGCTCACCCAATCACAAAGTCCCTTGCGCGAAACCCGCCGCATGTGGCTGCCTCGATCGGAGCGGTGCGCAGTCCGCCCAGGCCCGAGTGCAGAATGTTGAGCTCGCTCTGGTCGAACGCGTTCGTCGCCGAGTTGTGCGTTCCGGGCAAGAGAACGTCGTCCAGCGTCGTGTGATCTGCGACAAGGGCTTCGTTGCCATCGCTACTCTGGGGTTCTGATGCAGCTGTGGCGGAAGAGAGAAGGACGGGTCGGTAGTAGATGGCCGACATCCAGTCTCTGCTGCTCTGCATGTCTGAGCGTTCTGAGTGTCCGAGTGAGATGACTGAAAGCGGCCAAAATACTGTACAGTATCAGAAAAATGGAGCGTTTAAGAGACTGAGATAGGGGCTTTTCTTCTGTCTACAGCAGTAGATTTCTATGGTGCAATGGTTGATACCTTTTGTTCGACTGAATTGAGACACTGAGTTTACCAAACTCTCGCACACGCGTGCACAACACCAAATGGGCTAAAAGCGCATGCAACAAACAAGTAGAAAAACACTACAAACAAGACAGAGAGAGAGAGAGAAAAATCCTAACTCAAAAAACACAAACCAACAAAAACAACTGGAACTCGCGCGTTAATTTAAAGAGTGGCAGCGTGAGCAATAATAGTACAGGCGCGCTCAAAGAGAGCCCGCTGGTGCGCAAGCTCGGTGTGCTGAGGAATGGTCTGGAGCATGTTGAAGGCGGCGAGATGAGCCAGCGCGCGCTCGTCGGCGGCGGTCGGGTAGTGCTCCTTGACGTAGGCGAGGAAGATTTGGCGAAGGTCGGCCAAGGTGCTCTCGTCGCCGGCGGTAACGTCGTGGCCAAGGAAGCAAAAGTCGTAGCCCCACAGGCACTGGTAGACCTTGGCAAGATCCGCGTTGCTGTCGCCCTGCAGCGTCAGGGTCGCGCCGAGCTGGCCGCGCATGTCAATCAGGATGAGGGTGCCGTCAGACTTGAGCAGGACGTTCGAGAAGACGGGGTCGCCGTGAACAACATGCGCATAGGCAGCGTGCTTGCCGGCCTGATAGGCCTCCTGGGCGGCGGCAACCTTGTCAAACATGGCATCCACAACGTTCTTGCCGGCAAGCGTCGCCCAAAGCTCGCTGTGCTTGGTCTGGGTGGCGCGGAGCTTGGCGGCAGACGTGTAGCAGTACAGATCAAGCGTGTTCGGGGCGGGACGGCCTTCGGGAGCGCCGGCAGACGAGTGGAGCGCGCGCAGCGTCTTGAGCAGCTTGAGCAGACGGCCCTCCGTCACGCAGCGGTTGACCGACAGATGCGAGTACGTGGCTGCCTTGACATACTCGAGCTTGAGCGTGACAACGTGAGAATCCGAGTCGGTCTGCACCTCGAGCAGCTTGGGGAAGCTCGACGCGAGGTCGGCGGGAATGTGCTCGTAGAAGAAGCGCTCACCCGAGATAAAGTCCGGGTGGGACGCCTTGAGCACGGCCGTGTCGTGGAAGGTCAGCTTGTTAAAGCTGCGGGGCTGAACGATGTTGTTGAGGCGGTACGCAGGGACAGCCGCCGTCACGAGGCCGGCTTGGCTGTTGAGGCCGCCGGGCGAGGCGAGCGCCCAGCCAATGTCCTTCTCCGTGTCAGTGTGCGCATTGACGGCGAGATCGTCGACATAGACGTCGGCGTGGGGCTTGCCAAAGTGCACCTCGTCGCTGGGGATGCCAAACTGCTTGAGCTGGTTGAGGGTGAGGGCACCAATGTCGTTGATGACGGCGCCAATGTTGCCCTTGTGCGTCTTCATGCGGCGAGCGGTGGCAATGATAATGTAGTGGCCAGCGGCCTTGAGCTCGCGCAGCAGCTGAATGTTCTTGGGCATGGGCTGGCAGCTCGTGTAGTCTCCTTCAATCAAGGGGTAGGTGACGAGCGTGTTGTCGAGGTCAAAGCAAAACTTCATCTTGCGCGGGCACTGGTAGAGGCCCTCGCGGACCAAGATCAGAAAGTCTGCGAGCTGGGCGGGCGTGCCGACGCAGGCGAAATCCGGCACAAAAATGCCCCTGAAGTCCTCCTTGTTGTCGAGCATGAGCTTGATGATGGACGAGGTGTAGTACTCGCCGGTCGCGTCGACGGACGTGTCGAGCTGCTTGATGCAGTACTTTTTCAGCACGGCGCCGCTCGCAAATCCGTACGCGCCCGTGTTTGCCCAGCGCGAGATTGCCACCTTCTCCTTGATGTCCGTGATGCGCTTGTCGTCGTCGAGGGCAATGTAGCTGAAGACGGGCTTCCCGACCTTGTCCTCAAAGTAGAAGGACGCGTTGACGCCCTGCTGCTGCTGCGCACCACCACCACTACCATTACCGGCGGCGGCGCCGTTGAGCCTGCGGAAGTCGGCCAGCACGTCGCTAAAGTAGAGCGTGTCGCAGTCGAGGCAGATGGTCGGGCGCGCGAGGTCGGCCGGGCTCATATGCTGGAGCACAATGAAGACGGTCTCTGCAGCGCCGCGCGTCTCAAAGTCGAGCGTGACGACCTCGACAGCGTTGGCAGCCTTCCACTTGGGGTACTGCTTGTGGATGCGCTTGGTGAAGTGGAAGGACTCGTCCAGAGAGTTCATCACGGCCATCCAGACCTTGTCCCCGCCGGCAACGTCAATGCTCAGCTTGTCCAGCAGCCAGAACAGCATCGGGTGGCCAACCATGTTGATCAGCGGCTTCGGGAAGCGGTAGTTGGCGCGCTCAAAGCGGGAGCCAATGCCACCCATAGGAATGATAATGTTCATGGCTGACGATGGAACGAACGGCTTTTTAGTTTGAAAAATTCAGAAAAACAAACGAAAATAAAGGAGTGAGGCGAGTTTGGTTTGGTATGGATAAGAAGCCCTTGTCAAAAGAAAAAAGGATACTGAAACACACAAAAAACTAAATAGGGGGGGGGGGTCGCTGCTCTCCAACAACACAACGCAAAAACAAAAAACAAAGGCGGCTGCTTTGGAAAGATGAAACCAAGTGTCGAGTGTCGGGAAACGCACTGGAGATCGACATGTTATTGTCGGTTTGGCACTTCAGGTCGTTGCTGCGCGCAGCCCTACCCAACACATCCCTTCAAAGTGATGCAGTTTCTGCGGTTTGTGAGACTCCGATTCCCACGGGTTGGGGCTTAGAGCTATTGGCCAGGTAACGTCGATTGATTGATACAAAATGCGCAATGACAACTATCCAAAAGCATCCAAATACACCAGAATATGCTAAATCCTCATTAACTACCACCGGCTAACCTCGCCGGCTGGACGGACGCAAACTCGGGTCCTGACACGGTTCTGAATATTCATAAATTTCCAAAATTTGGGCAACTTTTTGGACTTGGAAGACCAAATTATGGGTGCAGTGGGCAGCATGGCATCCAACACCTGTCGGTACGGGGCAGTTTTTCGAATTGGTGCCATTCCGCACCAAATAACATTACCAACCAATACCTTTAAAGCATAATAGCCATTGGCTGCGAGTATCACAATGGTTGAGTCGAAAATGACCGTGCTGGACTCGCCACTCGACGCCGCGTTTTTGCAGACCCTCTTTTCCCCACACTGCCTTGCCAAGCGCCATGTCTGCTGATTTTCAGTGATTATAAAACATATTTCCAATGTAGTATGTATGCGAGGGAGGTCGTGGCAGTCAATTGGACCGTCGCGGTGCGTGTTCATCTCGAGCCGTTGAAAAATCCCGCTAAATCTTCTGTGCGGCCGCTTTTTGAACGGGAACCCTCTTTGCATTAGCGTAGCAGTAAGTTAGGATGTGACCATCTACTCCAACACTTGAGCTGACACTCTGTTGAGGTTTGTTCCAGGCCACCTGTTATCACTGAACAATAACAAACAACAAACAAACCACAACTTGCCCAACCATCCCCGTTATTCTCGACTCGCAAGGTACTCATACACTCAGCTCATCGCTGATTTACGACTTGAACTCATTTGAGATAGCTGATTTTACTACAAGTACAAAAACTAAAAAAACACGGGGGGGGGGAAGAAAAAAAAAGTACAGGGAATGCACGTCACATGAGGTAAAAGTAGGCCTTCCACTCAAACGTTGCCACGGTGGCTTTGAACTGAAGCAGATTGCACACGCGAATACGAGGCTGCGGGTCGGCAGCGAGAACGTGGTATACAAAGCGGTAGTCGGCAATGTCGGCGACCTTTTGCTGTGTTGCTCCAAGCTCGCGCAGGGCGTCGAGCAAGCCGCGCTCCGTGACGAGCGGAGGAGGCGGCGGCGGTGCATTGACCTTTTCAAATGGCGGGCGGTTGGCCAGCAACTGCCCGATATGCACCGCCTTGTTGGCGACGTTGGTGAGGTACCGGCTAATGTGACTCAGAGGCGAGTCCGGATTGCACGCAATCGTGTCGCGGAGAATCGACACGTTCAGCGTGTCCAAAAACGTCGTGGGACTGGCGACAACACCCAGCTGTGGCGGGACAATTTCATATTCAATCAAGTCGTCAATTTCCAGATCGCGGTCACCCTCTGGCGCGCGGGGGAGCGAGTCTGCGTCCGTCGAAGCACGTGTTGCCGATGTCGCTGTCGTGTCCGAGCGCGTGCGATCGACAGGCGTAAACGTACCGCGATACTCGTAACGCATGGTGCCCGTGTCGTCCTCAAAGCAGTTGACAGAGTACGTGTCGTCGTCGTCGCCGTGCCGGGACGACTCTTGGTACGGCTGAGGGCTGGTGCTGCCGCTGTTCAGATCAACATCGGCAAACTGCGCTGCAAAGTTCTGCGTCTTTGGAGGCAGCGGCGGAGGAGGGCGAGAGTAGGTCGATTCCTCCGAAAGTACGCTTTCCGATCGCAGCAGCGCGGCGCGGTTGGAGGCCTGTTGGTGCTGCTGTTGCTGATCATCGTGGTGTTCGGCATCACCGGCGACAGAGAAATCCGTGTTGACGCGCGAGCGCGAAGCAACCGACGACGTTTCGGATCGGTCGTCACCTCCCATGATGAACACTGGCGTGGAAGGGAAGGGCTTGAGCTTGCTAGCCACCATGGAGGCAGAAAGCAGACCGGGATGAGGCCCAGCGACGGGCGTCGAGCCAGGATTGGGTGGCGGCATGTAAGACCCAACCGCGTGCTGTGGAGGCGACATGGGCGGCGATGTCGGCGATAGCGGATTGGAATTGGTGCTAAACATGAATTGCCCAGCTTCGCTCGCATCCAACATGATGCCAGGCGGGAAACCGCCCCTTTGTGCGCCGCCAGCGTGATTGGACGGTGAAACTACGGTGCTTGAAGTTGTGCAAAACGCGGGGTCAAAGTGTGCCGGGGAAGTGCCTGCCATGCCAGGAATGGGCCCAACTTCGTTGTAGCGGCGAAGCGCATAAGAGGGGATGGCCATGGCAGTCGCTGCGTTGGACGTTGGCGCGCTGCCAGTTCCACGGCCTGCAAACACGGCGGACGAATTGACCACAGATGTGCCGGTCGAGTTGGAGTTGGATGTTGGCGGCGAGTCGTCTGTGTCATTGGGTCGGACGCCTCGGTGGTTGCGCGCAGACTGGGCACCGGCTTTAATGACAATGCTGTTTGAGGGGGTCGTACCAGCGACACCCCCAATGCTGCGATTGGTCATGGCGGCGGCGGTGCCGGGGACGGCCAACGACAGCGTCCCTGCCGACGACGGCTGTCCCGGTGTTGATGCAGCCAAAGCAGGTACACTGCCGGAGAGAACCGTTGACTGGCGGGCGTGTCGTGAGGCACGTCGCTTGGCTCGCTTGGAGGCTGCAGCAACGCAGAGCTTGATGGCACTCAGCCAGGACTCGGTCTCTTCAGCGTCAACGCCACAGAGCACCCACTTGGTAGCTGGTTTGGCGATAAGCTCAATGAGACAGTGGGTGTAAATTTCCTCCAGCTTGAGGGAGACCGACGTGACCTGATCGAGGTGTATCAAGTCGGTCGGATTGCGGTTGCCATAGCTAAAGTAAAAGAGCGTCGACTCGGTCAGGACAAACCAACGATTCCGCCAAATGTAGCCCAGCTTGCGCAGCTGGCCTTCGCGCACAGTCCGCGGTGGATCCGGGTGTTTCGGAGTTGACGCAGCGGCAGCGACGGTGGCTTGTATGTTTCCCGAGCTGCCGTGCGCCGAAATGGTATGCAATGATGTGTTTGATGAGGATTGCGAGCTAATGGGGGAGGAGCGCAGGGACGACGCGCTGTGATGACTAGGCGAGGCGGCTGGTCCTGGGTTGCCATGATGGACTATTGATGTGGGGCCTGTTGCCTTGGCTGCTGTTGATGTTGTAATGACGCTGGAGAATGTAGGATGGAGAGCAGCGTGCAAGCCGGAAAAGCCGCCGAGAATGGCTGCGGCGGTGACCAAGGCCGTGGATGCCGATACTTCAGCAGATCCTGCGTTGGACGGATCACTCGCCGAGGATGGCGATGTCGCCAGCGACGAGGACATTGTGGAAGATCCCGACGAAGGGAGAGCAACAGCGGTGGCATGATGGGATGTCGGCGGCAAGGCTGCTGTTTGGGACGAGGGCCGTGCTGCAGCCGTTAGCGTAATGGCAGCGACAGCGTTCGAATGCGCTGTACTTTGCGATGCCTGTGTGGCATTTGCAGTCGTTGCATTCGTGCTTGGCTCTGCAGCTGCAGGCGATGTGAAGGAATTGGATCGCGAGTCGTCGTCTGCTCCATCGTCGCCGGCAGTTTCCTCGTCGAGATACCGCGTCGTAAAGACGTCAGCGGTGTCGACTTCAATCCAGTCTGGCGAGCAGGGCACGAGAGAGTGAGAGTGAGAGTGAGAGTGAGAGTCATGATGGGAAAAACAAAAACAACCAAGAGCGAGAGATTGAGAGATTGGGTTACCAGTGTCGGACACGGCAGTCGCCATGACGGTGGGTGACAAGAAGGGACTTGTTAGTTTGTGAACACGCACGTAGCGAGCCTCAAAGCAGCAGCAGAGAGAGAGAGTGTGTGTGTGTGTTTCACTGGAGTGACTTGGAGAGAGGGAGAATGAAAAACAACTGCAAAACACACAAGGCAACGAAGGAGTGAGCAAAACCAACCAAAACGAAACGGCAGTCATGATCATTGACAATGCATCAGTAAGCGTGTGAGTGTGTGAGTGAGCGAGAGAGAGGGGAGGAGAGAGAGAGAGAGAGAGAGAGAGAGAGAGAGAGAGAGAGAGAGAGAGAGAGAGAGAGAGAGAGAGAGAGAGAGAGAGAGAGAGAGAGAGAGAGAGAGAGAGAGAGAGAGAGAGAGAGAGAGAGAGAGAGAGAGAGAGAGAGCGAGAGAGAGAGAGAGCGAGGCGCAAACAACCAAGTTCCAAGCTACCGACCCCTACCATCCAACAACCCTCACATCAGCTGCGTTTGATAATGTTCTGATTTCGCGATTTTTGCAAATGTCACACGAGTCAAGTCAGGAGACACCCGCAAAAGCGCAATGAAAGAAAGTTGAGGGAAACTGACAGAAAACTAAAGAAGGAAGGACGTATCGTATCAAGTGACCTGAAAGCTTCTACTGAAACAGGCTGGCAGTGAGACTTACTTGGAAGAAAAAAAGTAAAAAAGCAAAGATGGAAACAAAATAACAGGAATCGAAATCGGAAGAAAAGAGGAGAATGGCGATCGGAAGCGAGGGGAAATGGGGAAGAGCGGGTTTTGGCGGGGATCAAGTGACTGAAGTGGAGAAGCGGAAACTGGCAGTGAGCGGAAGCAACGGAAGAGGAAAACACCAGAATGACCACAAAACATCATCATCATCATCATGACCAGAAGGAAGAGGGATTGAAAGACAGAATCAGAACGAGAGGGAGAGAGAGAGAGCGCGGGAGATCGAGGAACCCAAACGGAAACCGAGTGGGAAACCACACCGAACAGAGCACGCAGCGAATGCGCACACCACCACCAGCAAACAAAGCAAGCGAAATGGGAGTAATAGAGTACTCCAACAGACCGGTCGAGAGAGTGCGGTGGTGACGGGGAGGATGAGAACGAGAGAGTGTGAAAGTCAAAGCGAACTTTTTTGTGCAAAGAGCACGGTTGAGTACGAGCACGCCTCACAGCGCTGAGCGAGCAAATGGAGCAACAACAACAAAAAGAGGATGAATGAATGGTCCCAGATCGAACGATGCGAGTGAGAGTGAGCGACGACAGCGATGGAGAGTGAGACGGCGATTGCTGGCCGGCAGTCTCGTGGTCGGTCATCACTCTGAGCCCATCGTCATCACTTCATCCAGTCACCCAGTCCATTCCTCGCTTTCTCGCTTCGGGTTGAAAGATGTCATGCGCGTTCACACACAGTCAAACCACCATCCAACAGTCGTCACCATTCAGCGCGAAAACTCACAAAAACCGGAAAACCGAAAACCAAAAAAAAAAAAAAAAAAACCAAAAAAAAAAAAAAAGCAGGATTTTTTTTTTTTCGTTCTTTGGGTTTCCATTGCGTGGGTTCCGTTTTTTTTTTTTTTTTTTTTTTTTTTTTTTTTTTTTTTGGTTTCAAAAGCGAACTCCAATGAAGCACTGCATGCTGCTGCGCCTTCATCCAATCCACAAGATGCAAACACAGCGTGGCTGAAAGGAGAAGGAGCAGCAGCCAAAAACTGCGGTGGCTGCAGCACCGAAAGCGACCGGCCAAAAGAGGAGCGGCAGAATGGCCAAAGAAACAAGTAAAAAACCGCGAGCCAAGTCGCGTGAAATATGGCCAGCAGGAAGCCAATGGCCAGCACTCAGACCCTCGCACAGGAGGAGCGAAAAAGAGATCAGAAGCGATATAGCGAGGAAAGGCGGAGTGAGTGAGTGCGCGAAGGGAAAGCGGGACGATGAGCGGGGCGGGTGAAATAGACACCGTTTGAAATGTGCATACAAAACTGTAAACGTAAGGAAGGGAGACTGAGATGAGGTGAAAAAATACCACTGCTTAAACAAAGTGAAAGACAGGCAGATGATGAAAGTAATGACTGTACAAGGCGGGGATGCATTGGAAAGCTCACAAGTCAGAATACGAGTCAAAACAAGGCGGGACGAGGCTTGATTTCGGTTAGGGACTCAGCCAAACCAACGCAGCAGGCGGAAGGTTCTTGCATACGGTACAGGAAAGCACAAGACCAGGAACACAAAAAGTAACACAGAGCTGTACACTCCAAGCTAGGAGAGCGTGCGATCTCATTGCTTGAGCGCGTTGGAAATCAACTTCTCTGAGACCTCCCAAAGCTTGGCAGCGGCTTGCGGGTCTGAGGCGTGCGGAGCCGGAACACCCAGGTTGCAATCCTCAAAGTAGGCACCACCATGCTCCAGGACCTCGGGCGCAATGGCGCAGTACACGGTGGTCGAGGAGCACTGCTCGACCGTTTTGAACACGCTGTTCATCGTGCCATCCTCGTTCATCCATCCCTGGCTGATTGCATAGTCTCGAGGGATGTGGCGACTCAGGTTTGTCGCAGCGCCGCCCGGGTGCAGGGAAACGGCAATTACACCCTTCGGGCTGAGACGCTTGTTGAGCTCGAGTGCAAACAGGGCGTTCGCCGTCTTGGAATGCCCGTACGCGAGCCACCTGTCGTAGGACTTTTCCCAGTTAATGTCATCAAACACAACCGGGCTGAAGGTGTGGCCCAACGAGCTGACAGCCACCACTCGGGACGGCGCCGCAGCAACCAGGGCGGGCGTGAGCAGCTGAGTGAGGTAGAAGTGCCCAAGGTGGTTTGTGCCAAATTGCATTTCGAAGCCGTCGGCGGTGGTCTCGCGAGTCGGATTGGCCATTACACCGGCGTTGTTGACGAGGAGGTTGAGCGGGAGCTTTTTGGCGAGGAATGTGTCGGCGAACTCCTTGATGCTCTTGAGCGAGGTCAGATCGACGAGCATGGCTTCGATCTTGGTGTTTCCGGTGCTTTGCTGAATCTCTTGAGCAACCTTTTGACCAGCCTCGAGGTTGCGAATGGCTGGATGGAGCAAATGGTCAAAACGGGGACGTATCAAACGTTGGCATCAACTTGGCAAAGCGCAAACAGCCCGACAACATCATACAACTCCCACACATACCTAGAATGATACGAGCACCCTTGAGGGCCAAAACGCGCGCAGTTTCCTGGCCAAGACCGCTGCTGGCGCCGGTGATAATTGCGACGCGATCGCTCAAGTCGATTCCGAGCTCGGTGACGACTTCCTCGGCTGGGGTGCGATAGCCAAATCGGCCAGTCGACTTGCCATCATTCGAGGTGGTGGGGATGGCGGGATTGAACGTGTCAGACATTGTCTTTTGCTGGTTCGCTACAGTGCTAGCAGAGTGAGGAGCTTGATGGTTTGTTGGAAGCAAAAACAGAGAGTGAGGATTTCAATCTGCAATTTCGGATTGCTTAAAAACAAGAGACGCGCGGGATTTTTTTCGTTTTTGGCGTTCAAATTTCCGCTCCAGATTCAATCTCTCCCCACGCCCCCTCGCACACCTCTCTCCCCCAACCACCAACCCCCATGAATTTCCATCCCAAAATCTGCACATGCCAATTTTCCGCATGAGGCATTCCCCCGAGCCATTGTAAATGAGTTTCCCCCAGCAGTCGATGGGAAACGACAACGCCTGCATCATTGTGAATCCGTTTTGCTCAATGTTTTGCAAAGACTTTTCGAGATTGCTACTCCAGCAGCAACAACACCAATACCATCACCGACAGCAAGAAAACAACAACAACAAGAAGAAGAAGAAGAAGAAGAAGAAGAAGAAGAAGAAGAAGAAGAAGAAGAAGAAGAAGAAGAAGAAGAAGAAGAAGAAGAAGAAGAAGAAGAGCCACGCAAACTGCTGCAGAGCTCAGAACATCGGACACAGACAAATACTGTCACGACCAACAAGCACAACAACGCGATCATTTCCATTCCGAGCGGCATGGGCCCAAGCTTGGGTCGCGTTGCCACACGAGGATAAAATGACAATTTGCTGCAAGTGGACCGGTTTTACAGCATTGCACCAATTTCGCGGGTCGTCGTCCCATCTTGAAGCGCTGCCAGGGCTTTGACAAGCTGAGCAAAGGTCGGGCGTTTTTCGGGCGACATGTCCCAGCAGCTCATCATCAAGTTATAAAGGTCAGCCGAGCATTGCTCCGGCTTGGGTAGTCGACCTCCGGCCTCCACATGAGCCAGAGTATCTCGCCCATCCATCTTGCCGTATGGCGGCGCGCCGTAGGTGGAGCATTCCCCTACCAAAATCAACCAACAGCAGTCAATTTTTGACACAGGTGCACAACTTCAGCAAATCACGACTCTACTCACAGGCAGTCACACCAAACGACCACACATCGGACATGGTAGAGAACTTGCGGAAGGTCATTGTTTCCGGTGCCATCCACTACAAACGCAACATTCAACAAAATCAGCATTCAACCGCACGCGAGCAGCAACAACCTTTCCACACCCTCAGCTCACCTTCACAGGAAGCTTGCCACGCGTTTGCATGCGATAGTAATCGTTCTCGGAGGCGAGTTCACGAGAGAGTCCGAAATCGGCAATCTTGACCACCATTCCTTGGCCCACGAGGCAGTTGCGCGCAGCGAGATCGCGATGCACAAAGTGGAGCGTGCCCAGGTACTCCATGCCGAGTGCAATCTGACGAATGGCGTGGATCTGCTCATTGTGTGTCCACCAAAGCGAGTGGAGCTTGGACTTTTGCAGCAGTGTACGCAGGTCGCCGTACTGCACAAACTCCAACAGAACGAGATGCGGCTCGGACTCTACTAGAGCCGCAAGCAAGCGCACGACATTCGGATGCACAAACGGAGCCATCAATTTCGCCTCGCTTTCAAAGTCCTTGCTGGACTTCTCATCTGCGTTGGACTTGAGAGACTTGACTGCAACTTGCACGGTTTCGGACGTCGTGGGTCCGAGCAAGTTTTGAGCTCGCGGGGGCAACACGCTGAACGGCAGTTGACCCAGCGCCACATCGCCAAAGTTGCCACTGGCAAGGTGCTTCACGATCGTCAAGCCATCACGAACACGACGAGAGTTGCTACCGGCAACATATGCGCTCGCATAGTCGTAGACCACCTCTGTGGCAGTTGTCGAGATAGCCTGGTACAACGGTTCTGGCTGTTTTTGACCGACCACGGCATACGCTGAAATCTCCTCCTCTCTCTGAGATCGAGTCGAATGGTTCAGAGGAGAGATTGTCATTTCAATAGCCTCCTCGTGAATGGGACCAGTAGAGTCCTTCGGTCGCCTGATTGAACCCTGGGTGCGTCGGCGCCGCAACACGATGAATACCAGGGCAAGTATGACAATAACTGCAAGAGCCGCCACAACAGCGGCGATGATAATGACTGACGATGAAGATGAGTCGTCGGAGCCGCCACCGCCACGATTTGCAATAGAGGATGCTACGGATGCAGCAGATGCCGATGCGGTTGATGCAACAGATGCGACTGATGCCGATGCAGTTGACGCAGCAGAGGCCGAGCGCGCCGAAGTAGCAGAAACGTCCGAAGCGACAGATGCGGACGCCTGTGAGGCAATGGACGCGAAAGATGCAGTAGCGATGGAAGCAAACGAGGCCGAGAGCGCTGAGGTAGCAGAGACAGCAGATGCGACAGATGCAGACGCTTGCGAGGCAGAAGATGCAGTAACAATGGAAGCAAAGGATGCCGAGCTAGCGGAGACACCGGAAGCGACAGATGCGGATGCCTGCGATACTGAGGAAGCACTAGCTCTGGAAGCATACGTCGCCCACAGTACAGACGTGGCGGAAACACGCGACGCAACTGATGCAGATCTGGTCGAGGCAGCCGAGGCAGCCAAGGCAGATTGCGAGGACGCGGCTGAAACGGCCGAGGCGATCGATGCCATTGTCGCGGCTGACGCAGCTGAAGCAACAGAGGTAGAGGCGATGGATGCAACCGATGCAACCGAGGTAGAGGCGATGGACGCGACTGAAGCGACGGAGGCGATCGTTGCGTTGGTGGCAGCGGATGCGAGGCAGTAGCTGTCCATCATAACGTATCCATCATAGCACTGAGAGCACACGGCGGACGACGTGCAAAACAGGCAATTGGTAAAGCAACACGCACCGGACCCCGCGCCATAGCAGGTCGCACACGCTGTATCACACTCTGTAGCACAAAATGTCAATGAACCCATCACGTGGAAGGATTGCAGTGAACGCTTTACGTACTGGTTGGATTGGTTGCTGTGCCGTATGTGCCGGGCGGAGCGACAGTAAAGCTGTTGGGGCTTAGTGATTGGGATGAATCCGACAAAAACAAGCTATTGGAAAGGCCCTTGAACAGACCGGGCGGCAAAGTGGTGAAGGGATTGTTCCCCAAGTACCTGCAAGTACCGCAAAGTAAGAGGCAAATCGAATACATGCAATGAAAGCGGCTCGCTTACAAGGAAGTCAGCGTGTTCAGGCCTGTGAATGCGTTTGCAGAAACGCTGGTGATCTGGTTTTGGTGCAGATATCTGCAGATAGAGTTGCCAACAAGTGAGCTGTGTGCGTGTATGCGTGGTACTTCACTATTTTGCTTCCTTACAATTCCTTCAGTGCACTAAGGCCTGGGAACATGTTGGCAGGAACGGTGGTGATTTGATTCCGATGCAGAGATCTGGAGATGAAATCATCAAAGAATGAGCGGGTTGTGTGTGGTGGATTCTTCAGGTCGTTGCTGGCTTACAAGATATTCAGTGCAGTCAGCCCAGTGAATGCAGAAAGGGGAAGACTGGTGAGATCGTTGTAGCCCAGATTCCTACAAGGTAGAGTCGCAAACCGAGTGAGCCGTTTGAGTGTGATGATTCATGTTTATGATGAATGCTTACAATTGCCTCAGCGCAGTAAGATCGGTGAATAAGTTTGAGGGAATGCTGGTGAGCTCGTTTTGGAACAGAGACCTAGACATCGAGGGGCAAACGAGTGAGCCGTTTGTGCGTGTGCGATTTCTTCACGAACCGAGCTGTCTTACAATACTGTTACCGCAGTTAGGCCGGCAAATGTACTTGCAGAAAGGCTGGTGAGAAAGTTGCTTGTCATTAGTCTACAGAATTGAGATCGCAAGCGCTCGTAAGCTGTTGGTGCTTCTGACACTGTGCACTTCTTTGGTCGATTTGCGTACAACCAATTCAGCGCAGTCAGGTCTGCGAATGCCGTGTCGGGAATGCTGGTGATTGCGTTGCTTTCCAGAGATCTACAGACACCGAGTGAGCCATTGATGTGAGTGAATATGCACGACTTTTACGGTATTGCGCAACTTACAGGTAGGTCAGCGAAGTCAGGCCTGCGAATGCACTCGCAGAAACGCTGGCGATGTGGTTGTTGAACAAATTCCTAGATCGACCGTTACGCCAAAAATCAGCAGTCAGAGAGAGACAGAGGGGGTGATGCTTCAAATTCATGGCAAATTCGACGGCCATCAACATCAACACGTACAGGTGTTGTGTGCTGGCTGGGATTGCGCTTGGGATGGCCGTGAGCGATTTGGAGCTGCAATCGACCGCCACTCCCGTACAAACGCACACGCCGCCCGTGCCACAAGCATTCGCTGCTTGCGCCAACGGGATGTGATTTATCACACCAACAACAAGCAGCAGCAGCAGCATCATTGGTAGGAGCTGAGCGAAGGCGATCTTGCTTGCTGTCATCGTTTCGGGTCTTCTGTGAGTGAATCCAACAGAGAGTGAGTGAGTGAGTGAGTGAGTGAGTGAGTGAATGAGTGAGTGAGTGAGTGAGTGAGTGAGTGAGTGAGTGAGTGAGTGAGTGAGTGAGTGAGTGAGTGAGTTGAGTGTGGGATTCAAATTGGTAGCTTCCCCATAACAACCAAAGTCCAACCACGATCGTCGACCAATTCCCATCCGCTCCGTGTCATTGGCTCAGATTGAACACAAGCAACATTCGAAGCAAAAGCAGCCAAAGCAACAGCGTGATCGTGATCGTGATCGTGATCTACTATCGTGATAGTGAGTGAGTGATGGCGAGCGATACGTATTTGGGTATTTGGTGGGTGAGCGGGTCCTCCCATATGTGGGGGTTTGTTAATTTGGCGGATTGGAAAGCAAAACCCCAGCGGGTGCTCACTCGATCGCATTCTGGACTGAGGGACGCACGAGCAACATTGCTTGAAACAAAAGCGAGAGGGAGAGAGATTTACGGGGAAGAGAGAGGGAGAGAGAGAGGGAGAGAGAGAGAGAGAGGGGGTGACCGCTGGTACTCTTCGCCATCCGTGGGGTGACTGAGGCTCTGTCATCCCTCCCGCTCACTACCCCCCCCCTTTTGCAATATGGATGCAAGCAAGGAGTGTAAACAAAGCGGGATGCTGTGGTCTTCTGTGAGTGAGATTGCGTTTTGTGGCTTACTCGCTTGCTGCGGCCTAAAAGTGCGAACAAATCGACCAAACAACAACAACAACAACAAGAACAACAAGAAAGAGTGGATCATCAGCATCATCATCGCATTCGGCTGCAAGCGAGTCGGAGAGTTGGAGAAACAAGAAAAAAAGCCGCTGAATGATCGACAAACGTACCGCGGAGAGAAGGTGAATGAATCAGGATCATGGAACAAGCACCAGAGTGTGAGCGGAAGCTTCGTCAAAGCGTTGCATTGTACCGCCTGGATTGTGACACTCGAAAGGATGAGGCACAAGTAGACGCAAAGTAGATGAACCGAGGTGTGTTGCGGCTGCAGCACAGGGGTAACAACCAAGTCAGCCGGAAACTGGTCAAATTGAAACTCAGAGCAACTCAGAGCACCTGCAGATCCCATTCGCTCAATCTCACTCTCAGACACATATCGCCCATTGTTTGCTCAGTCAGTCTCAGTTTTTGATTCAGATTCGACGACCTCCAAACATGCGAGTCGTCCCGTTGGTGCTTCCACCGATCGCCACCAAATCAGCAGCACCACCACAACCACCCACTCCATCCTCATCATCATCATCATCAGCACTCGTCGCGGATCCAGCTGCTGCCGTCGAGCCTGCGACCACTGCGATCGTGCTGTCTCCTGGCGAGGTTGGTCCACGAGGCCCGCAGGCTGCATGCCCTGCGTCCCCAATCGGCCCTCGCACTCACTCAAACCAACCCCATGCACTTGCTGAACACAGACATTCATCTTTCTAGGCGAACTGCGGCTCTGCGTGCTGGCGGGACAGCTGGCTGTGCTCGGGAGCGTGCTGCGATCGCCCCAGCCGACCTCCGCCGCCGCTACCACCAGCACCGCAGTCCATCACGCGTCATCCAGTGTGAAAAGCAAGACCAAACACACCCAGGAACGGTCGACTGGCGCCAATCACACGCCTTCGTCGAGCACCGCAGCTCCACGAGGACCAATCTCGCTCCGATGGCATCCGTTGCATTCAACGCTGGCAGCGAGTCTCACCACTTGTACCGCTCTCAATCCAACGGAAAACGAGCCAACGACCACGCACAATGCATTCGCCAAGAGCTCGCGCGCTCGTCGGATGAGCACTAGCGAGCCAATGGACGTAAACGGCACACCGCTTCAATCCGACGACGAGCACGATGAATTTGCCAGGTGGCAGGAGCGTGTTGCGACCGCCATTCCATCTATAGCTACGACAGACACGGTGCTGCTTGTGCAAGCGTACATTTCGGCTGCTCGTCGCGTGACGACTGCGCTTGGCCAGGCGTACACAGTGTTTGGATCCCAGGTACGGATTGTGTTCTGCCCTTTGGCGAAGACTTGACTTGGGTGATGTGATAATGATTACTGACACGATGTCATGCAGCGTCAATTCCCGTCCGATTTGAGTTTCTCACTGCACATCGAGTCTGCTTTTGGAGTAAGATTTTACAAGAGCGTCTTTCTTGGTTTTTGCTTGTGGTGTCGTCGGGTCAGTTCTGCGACTAACCTTTGTCTGACAGCTCCGTTTGGATCACCGGATACCCTTGTTCAGTGTTCCGCCGTCATGGTCCCAATTGGCGGACGGACTCGTTGCGCACAGATATTCTCGACCTGGTAACGCCTTTCAAGGGAAAGTCTTGAAAACATCTTTAAGATGTGCCTCACTCTATGATTGCTTTGTGTACAACATTCGACACCCTCACAGATCCACCTGTTATTCTTGCATGCGGTGGCAAAGATGTCGGCAAATCGACGCTGTGCCGATTCTTAGTGAACGTATTGCTCGACCAGTAAGATTTCGACTGCAGTTGAGTTGCTTGTTGTGCATCAAGGTACTAAATCATCTGCTCCTACTGTAGCTACCCAGCGGTGGCGTATATCGAGACCGATCCTGGCCAATGCGAGTTCACACCTAGCGGCTTTGTGGCCCTCAATATTGTGACAGAGCCTTGTTTTGGTACGGCTGCGTTTCACTCATTCCAGTTCTCCCCAACGTTTCCACATGCTCATCTCGTTTATCTTTTGCGTTTCGCAGGTCCATCCTTCACGCACTTGCAGCAACCAGACCTGTACGTCTCGTTTTCTTGCTTGCGCAACTCGCATTGATTTCAGCATTGTTTACGCTTGCTCATTTGCTGTCATTGGCCGCAGCGCGTTTTGCATTGGAGAGTCGTCGGCGAAATCCGACCCAGAGGCCTACCTTGAAGCCGTTCTGGCATTACTCGAGCAATACCAAGAGCTCGCAGCTACACAACCCCAGCTTCCTCTAATTATCAATACGCATGGATGGGTCAAAGGTCAGTGTGTCCGCGAACACACTCTTTCGCGATGACAACTTACTTACCGTCCGTTCGGTTCCCCCCCCCTTTTTTTTTGTTTGCTCTCATTCTCTTGCAACAGGTCTTGGACTCGATCTCATTCTCGATGTCCTCTGCTTTAGCCGTCCATCCCACATTGCACAGTTCTTTACCAACATGCCCGCGAAAAACTTGCCCATTCTGGACACTGACATTCTCCAGGCACCCGTCTCACGCATTCTCTCGAACGCTGGCGGCGTCGCGTTTCCTCCCATGCACGAGGCACCGGCGATTCACCAAATGCTCAGGACCCCTTGGTCGGCCGAATCCACCTCGGGCATTCCTGTCCATCAGCGCGTGACGTTGCCGCCGCCTCTCGGAGCAAACCAGCTCCGCAATCTTCAATTTTCCATCTACTTCCTGACACTGCAAGACTCGGGCGTTGTTGACGGCAATTTCGAGGAGAGTTCCGTCGCAGAGTCGCTCTTGCATCTCGTCCCGTACGCGGTTCCGTGGTCTGCAGTCCAACTGCGTGTCATGCACGCAGAGGTTCCGCCCAGCCAAGTTCTGTTTGCGTTCAATGTCAGCGTGGTAGGCTTGCTCAAGCATGACGACAGTGCCCTCGCCTTTGATCTCGGCGAGTTTAGCGCGACCTCGCCCCAAATTCTTGCCTCCACTCCACAAAGCCCCTGCATTGGATTGGGTACGCTATCGAGTGTGCTTTTTTGTTGCCAGGGGGAGTTTGCAGTTTGCGGTCGAGATACTGATTTCCCAACGTTTGTTGTCACACAGGAATTGTTCGTGGCATCGACCCAGTCAATCAGCTCTTTTACATTTCAACCCCCGTCCCACTAGCGTTGCTTGGGCATGTTGGTATTCTGACGCGAACGAGTCTTGAGCTTCCAACGACGTTGTTGCTGAAGGTACGTTTTCCAGGTGAATTTTGCTCCTCGAATGACTGCATCTAATCTCCTATCTTCCTGCTTCTGTGACTTAGGAATCACTCGCGGATGCTCCCTACATGACCTTTGCCTTCCCTTCCATTCTGGCCGGTGGAGGTGTTCGGAAAAACCGCAAAAACCTGCAACGGCGCAAGAACGAATAGCCGCTCGCTTGCTCGCTCTGATCATACTGAATGTGTTTTCGTTTTGTTTTGTTGTGGCTTTTGCGTCAAAAAAGCTGCACAAAGAGTACTGTTGCTACACGGTGGTTGGGCTTGTGTTGCGGTCGGTGAATTGATTCTCTCGTGGTTCAAATGCTCCATTCTCACTGTTCATCCAAAAGCACCACACAATTGTTCATTACAATTTCCTCTTTCATTTTGACTCTTTGTTTTGTTTTCTCAGTCGTTTTCCCTGAAATTGTGAGGTAATCAAACACAAGCCAAAACAAAATAAAATACAAAAAACCTCGTTTTGAATGAGATTGCATTGCCGGTTTGCTCCAACAGCGCTTTTTGGTTCGCTTGCGATTGGGGGGACTTTGGGCGGCGTCCGCTCCACGTGTGTCTCCTGTCGTGATGGTGTCGCCATGCGAGTGGTTTTTGTGGCCTGGCCTCGCGATGAGGGAGATGTGGGGCAATGGGGGGAGGCGCAGCACACCCAGCAACTGTTATTGTTTTTTTTTTTGTTTTTTTTTCAAGTTGAAAACGGACAAGCGCGAGTTTTCCCATACTCTACCACTCACTATCCGGACTCGAGCTGGGTATCTTTTCCTTCACCCGCCCCACGAACCTTTCTGTTTCCATCTTTTTTGATTTCGTTCTTTCCGCCTTGTGTTTCTCTCCTGCCGCTGCTCTTCCCCCCCCTCCGCTTCGCCCTTCGTCCCACTTTTCCTTGTCACATTCAATGTGTGTCTCTCTGTTCGTCCCCCTCACAACGTCCTTCTTCTTTTGCTTTCCACGATTCAAAAAACCATCGTTTTCTTTTTTTTTTTATTTTATTTGAAAAAAACTCGTTTTTTTTTTTTTTCCAATATTGATTCCTTTGTTTCCGATCATTTTTTTATTTTTCAAACCTCGCTTCGATTTCGTTGCGATTTCGTTGCGATTTTGTTCGTTGACGACTTCAAAGCAATGAAATCAGAGCGACATCAAAAAAAGCGGTGGTTTGTGTGGAGTGGAGTGGAGTGGAGTGGAATTGGGGGGTTGATCGGGTCGAACAGTCAACCTTCGACTTCGACACCACACAGCAGACCAAAGTAGACATGCTTGAGATGTGGATGGATGGAAGGCGACGGTGATGATGATGATGATGATGTTGCTGCGATTTGTGACTTGGCTGTTGTCTCTCAGTTGCAATGGTCTCGCTCACTCTCTTCACTTCAACTTGTGTTTCGCTCACAGAGGCAGGTCTCGGACACTACCGCTTCGTTCCAGCATTCCTTGTTTTCGTGCATCTCACATTCCCCAAGAGTGTGCGCTACTTTGTAAAAACCCCCCTCCCCTTCCGAGTGTCAAGGCACAACCCCCCACTTGCTTCAAAACGGTTGACGGTTTTCGGCCAAGCTACACACACAACCCAACAAAACAACAAACCCAAAGCAACCATGTCGCTGAGCCACCTCATCATCGGCATCAACAACTACCCGGGCGACGCCGAACTCAAGTTTGCAAAGCAGGACGCGCAGGACGTTGACGCACTGCTCAACGCGATCGGCAGCACGGGCTCGCTGCTGCTGGACGCCACACGCGACGACATTACCGGCGCAATAGACGTGTTCATCCAAGCGCTCTCGTCAACAGGAAACCAGGGCATTTTCGCCTTCTTTGGCCACAGCGTCCAGCAACTAGGCGAAAACTACCTGCTGCCTGCAGGCGCTTCCTCCTTCCCCGAGGATGCAGACGATCTTGCCAATGTTTCCATTCCACTCGACTCGGTCGTCGGCATGATGGGCGGCGCGGGCAACCCGTTCAACCTGGTCATTCTCTCGGCCGCTGCCGAGAATGGCGTCAGCCTCGTCAGCCAGTGGGCCACTCCGCCCGCGAAAGGCCTTGCGAAGGTGACTCCCGCCCTTTCCATGCTTGTTGCCCAGGCATCCGCACCAAACACATACTACAAGGAGACCAGCAACGACAGCCGGAATTCGCTCTACGTGTCCTCGCTCTTGCGGTTTTTGGTGACGCCTGGTCGCACGCTCGCCTCCCTCTGCGGCGGCATCTCGGGCGAGGTCTTCCGTGCTTCCAACATGTCGCAGATTCCACGCCACGAGCACGTCCTCGGCGACACCCAGCTCATCGTGCCCGCTGGCTCGGAGCCGATCGATGTCTCCCAAATTCTGGCCGCTGCCGATGCCGCTCGCTCACGGGTCGAGGAGGATCGCGCCGAAGCCGCTGCCGCCTTTGGCTCCCCTGCCAAATCTTCCACGCCCGTCAGCAATGGCGGCGATGCATCCCCGGCACCCGCACCCGCCTCCCCCGCAGGCGCATCATCGCCTGCTCCCGCCTCACCGGCCGCTGCCTTGCACGCACTCAGCCTCGACGACCATCCGCCGGTCGGCCGTCGTGACAGCGCAAGCCGCCCCGGCAAAATCCAAATCCCCGGCAGCTTCCTCGGCTCCTCTGGCGCAAGCTCGCCAGTCGGCGGCTCCCCGGTTCCCCGACCTGCGTCTGGCGGCGCTGTTGCCGCTGCCCTCTCACAGTTTAGCGGCAGCTCATCTCCCGTCACCAACTTCAAGGCTACACCCGCTGTCACCCCACCGGGACCAAGACCCGTCCGCATTGGCCGTCGTTAACAACATTTTTTTTCAGTTTGTTGTTGTCTTCTTCTGGGAACTGGTCGCACTTTCCTCACCGCCAGCAGCGGTTGTTGGTTTGTGTGCTTCGGGTTGTGATTGCAAACGGGGTTCTCTGTTCTGTTTGCGCCTTTTGTTTGATTTTTGGTGTTTTGCCATGTGTACAATGCCTGATTCCTTTTTTTTTATTTTGTCGCATTTTTGACTGTGTGCTGTTTGTGTGTGCGTCTGTGTGTTTTTTGGTGTGCTTGTATGTCTTGTGCTTTTATCCTCACAATGAAAGGCCTTTTTTTCCACCAAGAGGAGGAACTGACAGCGATACACAACATCAAGCATCGGGGTTTGACAGAGGGCACAGATCGCAGAGATGGTTTGGAAATGCTTCTCGTTTCATGCAAACTCAATCTTGATTCATTGTTTGTGATGGAGAATCAGCGAACGACAACGACAACGACAACGACGACGACCTCGCAGCCTCCCGCTTCACAACGGCCGGCACAGAGCACCCGCGGTTCAATCGCTGAAGCCGCTGCACTCGCACCAGTCGCGTTGAATCCAACCGCGAGGAGCGACTTGTCGAGCGTGATTCAGATTCAACGCGAAACAGCGATCGCGCCGCCTCAACCAGCGCAGTCCGCCCTGCATCCATCGCACGCCACTGCCGCTCATCCCATCGCACAAGCAGTCACTATCGAGCGATCTGGCGCAGTGAGCGCGGACGAAGGTGGCGCACACGAGTCGCAGATCAGATCAACGCCAGTTGCCGGTCGAGTTTTGGCGCCCAATCGGCTGCTCCACCAGGACCGAGCTCTCGGCGCCGCTCCAGCGCCGCTGCTTCCGTCTCAAGCGCTGGCGTCGTCAGGCGAAGCGCACCAGTCGCGGGCAGCCCAGCCTGGCGCATGGTGCGCGCATGTGCCGCAGACGACCGTGTCAACGCTGCGCGCGGCAACGAGCAACTTTGCTCCCTCGACAGTGCTGGGCCGCGGTGCGTTCGGCACAGTCCACTCGGGCGTGCTCCATGGAACGCGTGTCGCCATCAAGAGGCTCGATTCGCGGATGGCGCATCGCACGGCACTCGATCTCGCGTCGACAGAGATCCAAGCGCTGTCTCGGTACCGCCATCCAGCGGTCGTGGCGCTCCTGGCGTACGCCGTCGACGAGAACGACGTGCTCCTTGTGCTGGACTATGCGGCTCACGGCACTCTACGTCTGTGTCTGGACGTCAGGCCTGCAGACCTCGACTGGGCGCGTCGTCTGTCGATTTCCCTCGATATCGCATCCGCCTTGGTCTTTCTGCAGCGCCTCGTTCCGCACATGCCATTGATGCACCTGGACGTCAAATCGGACAACGTGCTGCTGGACGCAGCGCACTCGGCCAAGCTCGCCGACTTTGGGCTTTCGCGAACCATCCCCATGCGCGACGCGCGTTTGGGCGACAACGAGCATTGCATTGTTCGCGCCGGCAAAACGCTGGGCACCCAGTACTACCTGTGCCCGCAGCTCGCAGCCACCGGCCATCTCTCGCGTAAGACGGACGTCCATGGCTTTGGGATGGTTCTTGCAGAGCTTTGTACCGGGGAACACGCGCGCGTCCTTGGTTCGCGCTTGCAAAGTGCCAGCTCACGTTGGGAGCCCGATCGCCATCTGACTCGTTCCCCTGCCGCTCTCAACAGCGTCAATCTCGTGTGGACCTTGGCGCAAAAGTGCACCCTGCCTGTCGCTGCTGCCCGCCCGAGCTTTGATGCGTGTTTTCGGCAACTCCAGGACGCGTCCGCAACCTCGGACGAACATTCCAACTCGTCCGCCAACCACCGCCAGTGCACCGTTTGTCGAGATGCCGAGCCCACCGCCATGCTGCTTCCTTGCCGTCACGCATGTGTCTGCGAGACGTGCGCCCTGTCGCTGCTCGAGCGCACCCAGGCCGCTGCATGTCCAATCTGTCGGCAACGCATTCAGCAGTTTGAGCTGGGCGAGTTTCTGCAAACGTTTGTCTGAAAACGGGTGCCCCAAAGATGCCTTGTATTGTTCGTTGAGCAATGTTGTGCGTTCGGTGCTGCGAGGCTTTTTGATGGTTGTGCGATTCATGGTGGTGGTGCATGCATGAATTTTTGCGTTCGCTCCAATGAATCAGAATTCCGATCGGTCTCCAACACTTCCGGTTTTCTCGTGCGTTTTTGCGGAGGCGTGATGGGGAGGGGGGTTTGACGGCAAAAGGTGAGAGAATGTTTTTTTAGTGGTGTCGTCTTTGATCGTCGATGACGGACGTAAGTAGCGGTTTGTTCGGAAACCTCAATGTCCACTGTCTTGGATGACAAGTGGATGGCCGGGAGGCGCACACACTTCGAGACGCTGTTTACATCTGCGGTCTCTTGGTCAATTTTAAAAATAGCCAAGTGTCTCTGGTCGGACGCTCTTTTTTCTTGCCGATTGCTTTCCAGATCTATCGGCTGAGGGGCGGGACGAGACTGTAATTTTCGGTGAGATTTTTTCGTTTTTGCGTCGCAGTGTTTTCACACGTCTGGCCGTTGAGCCCTGAGCGTCGGGTTGCCTCGGCTTTTTCCGACAGCACGCCACCGCCAAGCCTTTCGGTTTGATTTCATTTTAGGGGGGGTGATAGAAGACTGGATTCAGCAGATTTCGCGGTCTTTGCCAACCTCAAAACACCAATCCACAACAAAACCAATGAGTGATTCGACGAGATTATTTTGGCAGACCCGATGCTTTTCGCGCTGCGAGTCGCAATCTGTCCCTGCCTGCCCACTCCCTCCTCCTCTGCGACACACACACTCTCGCTCTTCAACTGTCATTTTGGCTGGGGACGCTATGAACAAGTCCGATGTAAAAGCGTTGGCCAAAATTGGGTTGATCTCATTCTTTTCTTTTTCGTTTTTTCTTGTCTTTTTGTCTTAATCAGCAGGTATTGGCTTTTTTGACAGCTCCTGTCACTTTGATCAATGCGCGGTTTGTCGCTCCGTCTGCCCCTCCAGCCTCAGCCAGCGTGGATCTGGAGCGTGCTATGGCCGGGGAACACACTGCATCAGGGGTTGAGGCTGCTGGGCGACGCAGCGGAGCGCAAGCAGCGAGCAAAAGAAGAGCAAAAAAGAAAAGAAAAGAAAAAAAAAGTCATGGCTCCACGCTCGAAAGGCACACCGAATGAGTCTGCATTTTCAACCTGTTTGTCGTTTTGCACCTTGCCCGCCGCGGATCGCCCGTCATCCGCGTGCTGTGCAGGGTGCAGGTTTTGCTGGAAAGGACTCTGGAGCATCGGAAGAAGAATGCATCGAACACCGCATCATCCCTTTAAAAAAAAAAAAAAAAAAAAAAAAAAAGATTACAGCTGGGTTTTTGGTGGGAAGGTTTCTTAGTGGTTTGTAGCGGCAAGAAGACTTTAACGCATTCTTTTCCGTTACTGAATTTCAAACAAAAAACAGCCAGCAAAAAAAAAAAAAAAAAAAAAACCTTCACGCCCTACCTCTCTGCGGTTCTTTTCGCGCCCTTGACGATGCTTTTTGTGGTCGCAGAGGTGATCTCATCAACGACGTGCAGCCGGGCAGTGCAGCAACGAGGGGTTTGCGTGGTGGATGAAGACAAGTGGCTGTGTTTTCCATGAAGCCGGTGCTCCCTGTCAAAGTGATCAAGCCATAGGCAACACCACCACCGCGACGAGCACATGAAACCCGAGCGCGAAAAAAAGCGAAAAAAAATGAAATTCAAAAAAAGAAGAAAAAAAAAAAGGCGCCTTTTGAACCGCGAACCTGTCAAAAAATCCTGCATCCCAGAAAAACTTCTCTCTCCAACGCTCCTTTTTTCGACTCGTCGCCCCCTTCGTTGCAAACTGCCTGACGCGCATCTCCAAAGCACAAACACTCGCCGAGACGTGCACTTCGGGGAGGGGGAGGTTGCTCGTTTCAAAAATGCAATAAAAGAAACGGTCGATAAATACAAAAAAACAAAAAGGAAAAAAAAAAAAAGAAAGAAAGGCATTTTCTATTGAACCTGTCAAACCCATTTATGGAGAGGGGTTTTCAACCTTTTTTTTTTTTTTCAAAAAACCGTCCAAAACACCTTCGATATTGATCGATTCGTTGCTTTTCGTTTTGGGGGTTTGGGGTTTTGGGGTTTTGGGGTTTTGTCTGACCATGCTAAAAATCTCAGTGACTCACCCATGTTCTCTGCTTTTGCCGAATTGCTTGGTTTCTTCACCACAGGTCGCGCCCCGCTGTCCTGCTTCCTCACCTTTTTCCGAGCCCCTTCCTTCTTCTTTCCCCTAAATTTTCTCTTTCTACTCGCCTGCACAATGCGGCTCTCTGCTCGAGTGTTTGCTGCAGTCGCGCTCGTCGCTGCCTGCGCAACGTTTGCGCTGGTGGACGCGTCTGCGAGTGCCTCCCAGCAGCGTGGCGGTGCTGGATTTATCGCCAAGCCTGCTGGCGGCCGCCCCGTCGAAGGCGCCACCATTGAGGACGTTGAGATTGACGCTGGCTACCGCTTTGAGCTCTCCCTGAGCTCGCACCCGCTCGGCAGCCACGGCTCGTCCGGCGCGGCGCTCGTCTACTCTGCCCAGCGCCCTGGTGGCCTGGGCCTGCCCAACTGGCTTGCCTTTGATGTTGCGACCATGACCTTTTTCGGTCTGCCCCTCGAGCAGCACATTGGCGACTACTTTATCCAGCTGCTCGCTGTCGACCCGGTGTCTGGCGAGGAGCAGAGCGAGTTTTTCCTCATCCGCGTCCACCCCGACGAGGCCCTCAACCAGCCGCCCTTCTTTATCTTTGAGGTTGCCATGTCGTCGAGCGTCGGCGCCTTTGCCGCCATGCCCAGCACTGTCCAGCTTGTCCAGCTCATCGACGAGCTTGCCGACCGCCTGTCGATGCATGCCTCCTTTATCTATGTCGACAACCTCGATCTGAGCGACGATGGCATTCTCACCGTCTCGTGGCACTTCCGCTCGGGCGCGCTCGTCTCCACCGCCGAGAACGCCGACGCCATCTCCACCCTGACCCAGCTCGGCGAGCAGCTCGAGCTTGTCGACGACGACAGCCTGTTGGCCAGCATGGCGTCGATTGAGGTTTCGCCCCTCTACTTTTTCGACCTGTTTGTCACCAACGCTGGTGCCCAGCTTGTCAAGACGCTCATTCCCCTGAGCGAGGATGCCACCAAGACCACGCACCGCCGCGAGGTTGCCGACAGCCAGCCCGCCTCTGGTCGCTACCAAGGTTTTGCCCTGCCCCCTGCCGACCGTCTGCTGCAAGGCCGTGTCTTCCGCCGCGCGCTCGGCACTGCGACGCCCACCCCGACTCCCACCGCCAGTGCCACTGCTACCGCCACCATGTCTCCCTCGGCCTCCGCTTCGTCGATGGCTCCGACTCCGACTCCCACCGCGTCCAACACGCCCGCGGTCTCCAGCACCTCGCTCCCGACCGCCACTTTCACTCCCTCTAGCGCCGCTAGCGTTTCCGCGACTCCCACCCCGTCCAGCACTTTTGCGCCCTCGGTTTCCAGCACTCCCGTTCCCTCCAGCACGGTCGCTCCCTCGGTCTCGAGCACCCCTGTTCCCTCCATCACCGTGTCGGTCACCCCGGCGTCTGTCACCGAGACTGTTACCCCTTCCATCACCGAGTCTGCATCCGTCACTCCCACGAGCACCCCTGTGCCCTCTGTCACTGTCTCTGTGACTCCTGTTTCCGTCACTGAGACTGTTACTCCTTCCGTCACTGAGACTGTCACTCCTTCCATCACCGAGTCGGCATCCGTCACCCCCACGAGCACGCCTGTTCCTTCCGTCACCGTCTCGGTCACTCCCGCTTCCGCCACCGAGACTGTTACTCCCTCCGTCACTGAGACTGTCACTCCTTCCATCACCGAGTCGGCATCCGTCACCCCCACGAGCACCCCTGTTCCTTCCGTCACCGTCTCGGTCACTCCCGCTTCCGCCACCGAGACTGTCACTCCTTCGGTCACCGAGCCAGCTCCTTCTGTGACTCCCTCGGCTTCCGGCACCCCTGTTCCTTCCGTGACTCCCTCGGTGTCTGGCACTCCCGTTCCCTCTGTTACTGTTTCGGTCACCCCCGTTTCTGTCACTGAAACTGCCACTCCCTCGATCCCCGAGTCTGCTTCCATCACCCCTGTCTCGGTCTCTGGCACTCCGGTTCCTTCTGTGACCCCCTCGGTGTCTGGCACTCCTGTTCCCTCTGTGACTGTCTCGGTCACTCCTGTTTCCGTTACTGAAACTGCCACTCCCTCAGTCACCGAGCCCGTTCCTTCCGTCACCCCCGTCTCGGTTTCTGGCACCCCTGTTCCCTCTGTCACCCCCGTCTCGGTTTCTGGCACCCCTGTTCCCTCTGTCACTCCCTCGGTCTCGGGCACCCCGGTTCCTTCCATCACTCCCTCGGTTTCGGGCACCCCAGTTCCCTCTGTCACGGTCTCGGTCACCCCCGTTTCCGTCTCGGGCACCCCCGTTCCCTCAGTCACTGCGTCGGTCTCGGGCACCCCTGTTCCTTCCGTTACCGCGTCGATCTCGGGCACCCCTATTCCTTCCGTTACCGCATCGATCTCGGGCACCCCCGTTCCTTCGGTTACTGCATCAGTCTCTGGCACGCCAGTTCCCTCCGCCACTGTCTCGGTCTCGGGCACCCCTGTGCCATCCGCATCGGCCACTGCCACTGCTACCGCCACCGCTACTGTCTCGATCTCGGGCACTCCAGTTCCCTCTGCATCCGTTTCGGGCACGCCCGTTCCCTCTGCATCGGCCACTGCCACGGGCACTCCTGTCCCATCCGCCTCGGTCTCTGGCACGCCAATTCCTTCTGCCACCGTCTCGGTCTCTGGCACGCCCGCTCCCTCTGCCTCTGCCACGGCTTCGGGCACTCCTGTTCCTTCGGTCTCGGTTTCGGGCACGCCTGTTCCTTCCGCCACTGTCTCCGTTTCGGGCACCCCCGTTCCTTCCGCATCCATCTCTGGCACTCCCGTCCCGTCTGCCACCATCTCGGTGTCGGGCACCCCCGTGCCTTCCGCGTCGGTCTCTGGCACGGCCACTGCCACGGCCACTGCCACCGCCACATTCACTCCTTCGATGCCCACGGCCTCCTTCACTGACTCTGGCGTGCCCACTCCGTCCGTCCCGACCGCAAGCGTTACCGTCCCTGTCACTGACACTGTCTTGCCCCCGTCTGTTACCACTGAAGGCACCGTTGAGCCGTCTGGCACTTCCGAGCCCTCCGTCACTGGCACTTCCGAGCCCTCAGTCACTGGCACTTCCGATCCCGAGCCCCCGGTCGATTCTACCTCGGCCACCGTCGAGTCTTCCTCGGCCACTGTTGAGCCAACTGGTACTGTCGAGCCCTCGGTCACCGTCGACTCGACTGGTACCGTCGAACCAACCGGCACAGTCGAGCCAACTGGCACTGTCTCTGTCACCGATGTCACGGCTACTCCCACCTCGACCGTCGCACCGACCCCTCCGATCAACTGCGCGGACGCGACCGCCCCCGTGCTCAACAGCTCCATCTCGAGCTTCTCGGTCACTGTGGGCTCTGGTACCGTCCAGGTCTTTGTGCCGCAGCCATTCATTGACAACGACGTTGGCGACGTGCTGACCTACACGCTGCTCACCTCCACTGGTGCAAACACACTGCCCAACTGGCTGATGTGGACTTCGATCGACGATCCCTCTGGCACGTACATTGGCTACTTTAGCGTGATTGCCACGACCGCCGAGGCGCAGTCTGACTCGCCTGCCGTCTTTATGCTGCGCGCCACCGACTCTTGCGGCAACTCTGCTGTTGGCTCGTTCGCCATTACGCTTGTGCCCGACCTGTCCACGCCCAACGTGGTCTACCAGCTCGAGCTCGACACGCCGTGCACGGACTTTAGCGCTGCCCGTCGTGGCTCGGTTGAAGCCAACCTGCTCACCTTCCTCGGCCTGACCAGCGGCACCTTCAACCCCCGCGGATATGCCTGCGGTTCCACCATTGTCAACTTTACGCTCAACGGCCACGACAACTCGCCCGCCGCGCAGCCGTTCATCACCCAGCTCACTGACGCGTTCAACGGCGGCACGCTCGGCATTGTGGTTGGCTACCCCGTCCTCAACTTTATCGTGTTCAACAATGGCGCCCTGCCTTCGTCGTCGCCCACTGGTGGGTTTGACAACAACATTAACACGTCGTCGAACGACTTCAACACGACCATCCTGCCCGGCATCATCCTTGCCATCCTCTTCTTCCTGCTCGTTCTCTGCGTCGCCATGTACGTTTACCGCCGCCGCCAGCAGGCTCACCGCTACGGCCCCTTCAACCCGTTCGCTGCCCGTCCCCCAGTTATCCTCGAGGGCGACAAGCACGAGCGCAACCTCACTGGTAACTCTGTGGACCAATACTTGCCTGCCGACGTTAAGGAGCAACAGGCCAAGCAACGGCAACAGCAAGAGCAGCTTCGTACTGCTCGCGACAATGGCACGTTGACGCAGGCGCCATCCGGCCCGTCTGCCACCACCGCTGCTCCCGCTCGCACGCTTCCCGCGTACCAGCACCCACCAGCGTTCAACGCGGCTACTTCTGCTGCTGCCCCTGTTCCAGCAACAGCCAGCACCAAGACGTTGCCAGCATACCAGCCCCCACCGCCGTTCGAGTCGGTCAAGCACCAGTCGTCAGCAGCGGTCGAGTCGGAAAAGTCTGGCAGCAACTCCAACCTGCCAGCCTACCGACCCCCTCCGCCGTACGTCGGGCTACCAGCGTATCAAAAAGAGTTGCTAATTGACTAAGGGCATGGGGGTTTGCCATGTTTCTCTCGCTGGCTTGACTCTCCATTTTTAAATGTCTATGTCGTCGTCCTTGTGTTTGTAGCATTTTCTTGAGCGTGTTTGTGGTTTGTGTTTTGTTGTTTTTTTTTTTTTTTTTGTTGGTTCTTGTTTTTGTGACTTTTTTTTCTAAACCAATCTGAAATCACTTTTTTATCCCAGACGAGCAGCATTTTCATTTGATGATTATTCAATTCCATCATTGTCGTTGTCTGAGCACGAGCTACAGTACTGTACTGTACTGGTTTGTGGTTTCTTTGTTTTTCGAGATCGAGGTGCATTTTGGCGACTTTCGTTTGTTTTACTTGCTCTTTTGTTAGTCTTTGTTCATTTCTCAGTCTTGCTTATTTTGATCACACCATCTCAGAACCTTCTTGTGCCAATGAGTTCTGCGATTGGTCCGCTGTCGACGGCCATTCCCAGCGCCGGCTCCCCACCACCTCAACCATCTCAACCACCATCATCATTACCATCATCACCATGGTCATTGAACCCTGGTGTCGGTGCTCCGGCGTCGTTGTCGTCCTCCCAGTCAACCTCGAGCAGCACTCCTGTCGAGCTGCTTGGCTTTATGCACAAGAAGGGCCACGTCCGCCACAACTGGAAGCGACGCTGGTTTACGCTGCGCAACTCTGAGCTGCGGTACTTCAAGTCGAGCCGCCATGAGACTGCCGTGGCCGTCGTTCCCTTGGCAGGCGCGCTCGGCGTCGCCCGCATCCAGCACAGCCGGCCGTTCGTCTTCCGGCTCGTCCTCCAGGGCAACTTTTGCTACCTGTTCCATGCGTACTCGGAGGAGGACATGAACACTTGGATCAATGCGCTTCAAGCTGCCATCCAGGTCGCTTCGGTACAGCATGCACAATTTGCACAATTTGGTTCAAATTGTTGGTGTTTGGTCAAAATTTGGACGTTTGTGTGCGGATCATTGTGCTAAGCGGGGTTTTTGCTTTGTGGATTTTTGCATTGCATGTGTCTACAGAATCAACAGTCCGTGGCGGCGGGAGCATCAGCTACACCGGCGGTGGCTTCACCAACGTCCAAATCGAACGCCGGAGACTCTACCTCGAATCCGTCGATTGTCTCGGAAGACTGCGAGTCATTCATGGAAATCGAAGACACGGACGACGAAGTGTATGATTCCGGAGACGATACTCACTCGTCGGATAGCGGTGAAGACGAGGACATCGAGCCGCTGCCGGGTGATCTTCGTGCCGCTGCTGCTGCTGCTGCTGCGTCAACTACCACCAAGCCTCGGGCTCGCACCGTCATTGGCTCGAGCAGCGTCGATGCTGCTGCTGCGGTCGGCAGTAGTCATGCCGTGTTCGCCGCGCCAGGCTCCTCGCCTTCTTCCTCCGCCCTGTCAAATCGTCCGCGCAGTACTGCCGCCCCGATCGTCTCGTCAGTAGCAGCCTCCTCCACACAGACTTCACGTTCCAGCCCTCTTGGCATATCCAAGCTCAGCGGTAGCTACGGCGCCTTGACCTTCGCTGGTGTTGCTGCTGTTGTGGGCTCTGGCAACAGCCCACTCAAGTGCGGGTTTCTGGTCAAGAAGGTGAGTTTGATTGAATGCGTGTTTGTTGTTTTGTTTTTCTTGGTTTTGCTTGGTTCCGCCATCTCATTTGCGTCTTGTTTCGGATTGAACCTTTTCGTCCCTCGCATTCTGTTGCAGGGTCACATCCGACACAATTGGAAGATGCGATGGTTTGTTTTGCACAACAGTCGGCTCGAGTATTATCAAACACCCACGGTACCAGAACTCGTTTTTGCTGCACCGTTTTTTTTCCATTCTACCTTCCCCTCACTTGACCGACACAACAACTTGCCAAAAACTCATCATTTTGAATTTTGCAGGACACTGAGCCGGTCAATGTCATCCCTCTCGATGGTTGCCGTGTCGATACCCATCCGTACGACAAGCGCAAGCGACGTTACATTTTCTGCCTCACAACGGCCGCGGGGCTCGAGTACCGTTTCCACGCATCCAACCGCGACGAAATGATGGCATGGACGCAAGCGATCGACCGTGCCATCTCCAACTTTGTACGTTTCGCGTTCGCGTTCGCGTTCTCGAAAATGCTGTTTGCTTTGTTGTTGTGTTTTTGCTTTTCGGTTTGTTGTGCTCACCTGTTGCCCATTCCCAGTGGCCCTCGCAACAACAAGCGCGCCCCGCTTCCAAAGCCGAGGAAATTATCATTGCCATGAAAGACCACGAAGCTGGCATCAAACTGAGCGATAAAACGGTCCGACTCAAGACCCATCGAAATTGCTTTTCGGGTGCGTTTGGACGCGTCCTTGTGGGTGTAGGGTTGTCCGTTGTTGTCTAACGAGAGATTCAATTGTGTCTGTGTCTGCGCTGAGAAAACAGGAGCGGATGCTGTCGCGTGGCTGCTGTCTTGGAATTTTGCCGCCAGTCGCGAGCAAGCCACACAAGTCGCTCAAAAGCTGCTGGCCGAGTCGTGGATTAGCAGCACGTCAAGAAAAGTGACTGAATTTGTTGATGGACCTGGTTTGTATCGGTTTGTGGACAAGACTTCGACGTCGACGGATGCGTTGGCCAGTCTGCATCTGGATAGCGACGATGACGACGATTTACCAGCGGATGCTAATCAGCCGCCAACTGAGCAAGCTACGCTGCCTGCGCCCGCACGCCCCATTGTTGTGGCTGCGACTGTGGATGCTGCGAGCATTGACGCTCGCAAAGTAGGCTTTCTTCTCAAAAAGGGCCATCTCCGGCACAACTGGAAGACACGCTGGTTTGTGCTGCACAAGACCAAGCCAATGCTAGAGTACTTTAGCAGTCCAAAGGTGAGAGTGACGTTTGCGGCGCGCACCAAGCTCAAGACTGTTTTTGGGGTTGTTTTTTGCTGAACTGCTTCTTTCCACTGCTTCATTTTTTCTCCTAGGACATCGAACCCATCGGAGCCATTCTACTCTATCGATGTCAAATTGGCGCATGCGAAAGCAAAAAGCGACCATTCGTCTTCCGGCTGGTCTCCCACGAAGGCGTCCCGTACTACCTGCATGCGCCCTCGCAGCTCGACATGGAGCAGTGGATTTCCGCTATCGCCGCTGCGGCTGCAGACGCTACGGCTGCATCCTTGGCTCTGGTCACTAAACGCAGCAATGAGGACTAGAATTGTGTGTTCAACAGAACGGTTAAATTGATGATAACTTTATTTTGTGAAAGTATGGCATATAGAATGTTATAATGATTGTCATGATTTAAACCTGAGCGCCACTCATGTCGGGGGCAGCGGAACGCGATGACGCGGAGGACTCGGCGGGGTTTGGTGGAGTCGAGCATGTTGGCGCAAGGTTTGCGAGAAACGCCCCAATCCCGAATTGTTTTCGTGTCTGGTGCCGCCGGTTTGACTTGTTTGAAGGTGTGTTTTCAAATACTGCTGGAGTCGGGGTGACAGAAGTCGTTGTTGCTGCTGTTGCTGCTGCTGAAATGTCCATTGCTGTCGTTGGCTGCTCGTCGCTTTTCGGATCGCTTTTCGGATCGCTACTGACTGTGGCTGCCGTTATTTTGCCATCAAGTGCCTGGTTGTTGTCGTGAATTGTCGATGGAGTACCATCATCAGAAAATATCAAGTGGCCGGGATGAACGGCGGTGATTGTCACGGTCGGATCGAGGACGGGAAGCTGCAGCACGTCGGCGGCGGGCTTTCGGCGCACCCCAGGGTTTTTGCGTGTAGGATATGCATCCTGCTCGGGTTGTGCATCGACTGCTGCTGTGTGGTTCCGCTTGTTCGCCTTGCCTCGAGATGAAGACACTTTGCTTTGTTTCGAAGTTTGCTGCCAGTTTGCGCTCGATCCACCTGCTGTGTACGTTGCGTTTGACGCTTCAGCAGTCGCAGCATCGGATGATGCACCCCAGGAATACTGCTGGAGTGAGTAGACGTAACTAATCTGGCTTTGTAACTCTGTGACGGTTTGCTCGAGTGTGTCAATCCGCGACAGGGATTGCTGCAGCAAACTAAACAGGTCTCCCAGTGTCCTCTGCGAGATGTTCGATCCAGCTTGATCGCAGCCTGTGGATGCACTCGTCGTTGCAGCAGAGTAGCAGCTTGCTTGAGTTGAGCTCGAGTTTGCGTCCGCCGCTGCGACAACTTTCCCGTCCGACCTTGCACCTTGGCTTGTCCCGCTCTTGCTGGCCTTGGCTTGCTCGCCTTGGTCTGGCTGGCGCTCGGCCGTCGTCGATGTCGAGGGTTGAGCCTTGCTTGCTTGGGCTCGCATTGCCCTGTCGCGTGCGATCGCGCGCTTTCGCTTCTCCTTCAGCTTGGCTCGCTTGGCCGCTTTCATCTCTTGTCGGCGCTTCATGTTCAGTGCAGAATCAGCATCAGTGGCAGTGGCAGCGGCAGCGGCAGTGGCAGCAGCAACATCAGTATCAGCAGGAGCAGGATTGACTGAATCCTCGGAGATTCGCGCGCGCTTGGTCTCACGCGACGGTGGTGCAGCATCATGATCATGATCCCGAGACACGGATGCATCGACTGGTGCATCGGCATCGGCCGCGAGGGTGGAGCTGGGCAGCGCGTCTTCAGCTTGTCGCTTCATCGTTTCAGGACAAGAACAACAGACGAAAAGAGTGAGCATGACTCGTTTCGGACAATGTGTATTGCATAGGACATTTTGACAGAAACACGCAAGCCTCTCAAATCATAAAACACGAGCAGCAGCAGCGGCCGCGGGTGGAGCCGTGTGTGCGCTTCAAGGCTGCTTCCATCCAGGCGAATTCGGGTCGTTGGGTGCATATCCGCCTCCTCCTGGCGTCGATGGCATGCCTGGGCGATTCATGGGTGGCCTATCAAGCAAGCACCGAGAGGAGCAATAAGCGCAGGAATCGGAAGACTTTGGTGAGATGAGGGGTGCTTTTAGGCGCAAACTTACCCATTCCACGGACGGGGCGAGGCCGCAGATGCAGGCTGCCCAGATCCGGGTGGCGGAGGAAAGTTGCGGTCTCCAGGGAAACCTGGCGACTGAGCGGGGCCACCCGGGAATGGCGGCTGTGAGAAGCCCGGTCGATGCGGCGAAGGCTTTGCAGCCGGCTACAAAGAAAAAAAAAAACGGGATTTTTCAGTCAAACCATCAAGCTTAGACACCGTCTACTCCACACAAGACAAGCATAAAACCTGTTGAAACTCACAGGCACATTCAACCGAGGAGGGAAACGGGGATTGTCCCAGTCACGCTCGCGGTCTCGATCGCGATCACGAATGTCGCGATCTCGCGGATCGCGCCCGTTCCGCATATCCCGCGCGTCGCGCATGTCTCTCGCATCGCGCATGTCCCTCGCATCGCGCATGTCGCGGTCTCTGTCTCTGGCATCGCGCATGTCTCGCGGGTCGCGTGTGTCCCTCGGATCGCGCTCCCGCTCGCGGTCCCGAGAGAAGCCACCTTGCGAAAAGCGGCGATCCGGCTCTGGCCGCTTGTTGAGATGATCGCCCTGAGCGAGCGAGCAGTGGATAGTGAGCGATTTTTTGGTGGTCATCATTCACAAAACAAATAAAGCGGCAAAGATGACCATGCTTACCTCGCGATATGGGCCTCCTCGCACGGGTGATGGGCTTCGTGAACGTTTGCGAGGGAAAGGGGCCGACACGGACATTGGACGCCGCGCATCGGTGTGCGGTGGGAATGTCGGATGTTGTGGCGGTTGCGCTGGTGGCTGCTGGTTGTATGGCGAGTAGGATGTGTGCTGCGATGACGCTGGCTGTGACTGCTGTGGAGGGTAGCCGACGCGGCTGTTCATCATCATAGCGTTGTGGTTGTATCCAGGCAGTAGCTGCGGCTTGGAAGGGGATATCTGCGAGTGCATCGGGCCAGGTCCGGTCTGCTGCGACAAGCCGCCGCTCGCTGCACTGCCGGCGGGACCCGCGCCAGGAGTGGATACAAATGTTCGTTGCTGCAGTTGCTGCTGCTGTGCCTCGCGAGACTTTGCTTCTTCGTGGAGCACCTGTATGAAAATTGTTGAGTTTGTGACGAAGAAAAAACCAGACCAAAACGGCTGTTGTGTTTTCGAGTGAACTCTATACCTCCTTGAGCTGGTCGAACAGCAGCTTCTTTTCTTCCTCGCGACGACTGATGAGGGCTTGAATTTCCTGAATGCGCCGTTCTCTGCAGGGTTGGTCGATGAGTGAAACGTGAGTTGAGCGATTTGGCTGTTGATACTGTGGTTTTTGTTCGTTCTTCTCACCTCTCGGCAGCAGACAAAACAACCTTGGCTGCTGGAGCTGCAGCTGCGGTTGATCCTTGAGCACTCGCGGTTGTGGTTGCTGGCGCACCGCTCGCAATCTGCGATGAAACAAATCCGAACAAACCCAAACATCACAAAAGTAGTAGCCGGTGAGCTCAATGGTCATCCCTTGTGAGCTCTTCTAAATGCTTGCCAAGCATGAAGCCGTGTTGACTAATCGTTCTCTGCCATCCTTGCAGTGATGTGATGCGCGATGATGGCAGTCAAAATGCATGGTGAATGAGGAAGCCCAACCTTGCGCGCGCCTGGCGTGATGACCGGCGCAGATGCAGCTGATGATGCTTGAGCAACAGACTGCAAGTGTGACGGGGTCATCGACGGTGGCACTGCAGCAGCAGCGTTGGCTTGAGCCTGAGCTTGAGCCTGAGCTTGAGCCTGAGCTTGAGCCTGTTGCTTGGCGTGCATGTGCTCTGCGAGGTCGCGCAGCCGCTCGTCGGTGAGGTTGGCAGGGCGCTCGCGAGTGAATCTGTAAGGACGGACGATCGACGCCGACGCCGAGTGCGACGGGAACATGAGCGCGAACGCAGCCGCATCGAGCTCGGCAGTCGTCGCCATTTTCTGAGACTCTGAGTAGTGACGAAGACTGAGCAAGAATTGAGCAAGAACTGAGATGGATGTACAATTGAGATTGAGTGAGTGGTGGTTTATTCATTGGAGGCAAGGGGTTTGCTGCTGAGCGCTCAGCATCAGAGTTTGAAGCCCAGTCTGAGCTCGTCTTTTCAGAATGTCTACGACCTGTTGCCCCCCCCCCCTTACCCCATTGAGCAATCGCATGGTTGGGATTGAATCGGAAGCAGTCCCTTCCTTTATTGATCCACTGTCGCTTCGCTTCATTGCAATGTTCAGATTCTCAGCAAAGTCCTCTCTCTCGCTCTCTCGCTCTCTCTCTCCCTCTCGCTCTCTCTCCCTCTCTCTCCCTCTCTCTCTGTCCCTCCTTCATCATCCGATATCTCATTATTGACCCAAAGTTGATCATCCAGCCCAATGCTTTACTTTACGCAAACCCCCCTTTGTCCTCCTTCTTCGTTCATTCTTCATTTTTTATCGTTTCTGAGATTTCAGAGTGTTTGTTTTGTTTTTCGAGTGAGTTTTTTGCAGCACTTTTTTCCCTTTGTCTCACCATTATTCATCGTCATCATCAACCTCATCGTCATGATGATGATCGTCTTGAGCTATCTATCACTGAGTTGGCTGGTCAAAGAAGCAGAACCACAACAAAGCGCGTCACAACAAAAAACCGAAAACACCGTTCAACTGAACTCCCTATGGATTTATAGGGTTGATTTGTTCACTCTTCGTATCGGCTTTCGTATTTTCATCCAAACAAATCGCTTCCGCTCTGCTTCTTCTTTTTGATTGTCGGGGTCACCCCAACCCCCACCCCCACCCCACCCGGCCAGCGCAGCAACTCCCAATCGACAAGGCTTGTCGCTCATTTGTCCCCCCCTTTTGCGACTTGGTGAGCCGCGGGTTGTCGCTGGGTCTTTCACTGCGACCTCCTTCACTCACTCACTCACTCCCCTTACTTCACCCCACTTCCATCACTGCACTCCATCATTTGTGCGCCTTTTGTTGTTGTTGTTGCTTTAATGCGACCGTTCAGATTCGACGGGTTTCGCTCTGCGTCTTTGCCGCGCAAAAAAATCATCAATTGCAATGCAAATCCATACAAAATTCGAATTCTCGCTCAAAATTTTGACACTGTTTTCAGATCAATGACTCACAACTCAACTCGTCTGCATGTGTGTGTATATGTATACGTATATATATGTGGGTCATGACTTGCAATCTTGATTTAGGCACTCTGTCTTGGCTCAGATCAATCCGATCAGCCTTCAATTCTTCCAATTCTGAGATTTTTCAACAAGAACTTCACCGTGGATTCTTTTGGACTGCTGGACTTGTGATTCAACACAAACGGGACTCGACGCCGAGACCAATGCCGAGACAAAGTTCAAGCGCAGAAATGTCGGTTCGGTTACTAATGCTGCTGGTCGCGGCGATCGCAGGTGCTGGATGGGTCGCGGCCGACCCAGTGCCGCTGCTGCCGTTTCAGACAGTGTCGACCTCTCTGGACGCGAGTGCAGAAGCCACTCAAAGTGCCTTGCTCAATCTCACTCTTCCAAACACGGCAGCAGGCGCTGTTGTGACAATCAACGTTCAGTTTACTTATACGTGCGTTTTGGTTTGTTTTTCTTTGTTTACTTTCTTGTTGTGTTGGTATTGCTGCTTTTTTTTTGGTCTTTAGGCTCACCATTCGCTCACCCGAAATCCTCCAAACATTTATCACAACCTTCAAAACCCACAGAACGGGCGGAAGCTCCGGATTCAACGCAACGCTGGACAATCAAGTTGCTTTGGGTGCGTTTGTGACTTTGAATGATACAACGGGCTCTGCTGTGATCAGTTTCCGCCCAGAGACTGGATTCAGGTGAGATTTCTCCCCTTGTGATGCATGTTATTACGTGATGCACACGTTTGTTCTGACATTGCTTTCTTCCATTTTTTGAAATTTGCGTTTGGTTTGCGTTTGGGCAGCGTTTTGCTCAATATTTCGATTTCCGTCGGCACTGCCGACGCTACCATTGCCGCGTCACTCGTGTGCGCTTCTTCCAGCTATGCCCAGGTACGCGCCATAGATGTGCGCCGCTTTTCGCCCATCTTTGGTGTTTGTTCCGCTGTCTGATACCGGCGCCGTTGTTGTGTTTCCAGGTCGGCTCGTTCTCGTGCGCCGCTTGCCCTGCCAATAGTGTCATCGCCACCGTCGCGGCCGTTAGCAGCAGTGCTTGCGTGTGTGATTATGGCTACTACAGGTACCTGCACTTTGGATCCCAACGCTCTATTTTTTTTTCTTCATTCACCTGTTCTGGTGCTTGGCATTGGTAGCTCCACAGGCCGTCCACCTTGCATCGAATGCACCGAGGGCGCCACTTGTGTATGTCGCTTGTTCGTCCCGCTCTAATACGCGACGATCTTTGAGTACTCACTTGCGCCAAATTCACCACAGAACTCGGTTGGTACCATCCAGCCGGTCCCAATCCACGGCTACTACTTTTTGAATGGAAGCTACCCTGGTATTGCCGAGTGCCCCATCAAGGACGCGTGTACTGGCGGCCTTTCGAGTTCCGCGAATTGCGCCCCTGGCTACTCTGGTCGATTTTGCGGCGAGTGCGATGACAACTATTACAAACTCGGGTACGTTGTGGTTATTTTTTGGTGTGATTGCCATTGTTTGTTCCAGTTGAACTTCAATCACTCATTGTTCCTTTTTGTTTCTTTCTTTTTTTTTTGTCTGTTTGTTGCTTGTTTGTCTGTTTTGTTTTGTTGTGTTTCCCTTCGTTAATCTGCCTTGTAGGCACACTTGTGACACTTGCTACGTCGAGCGCGCTGCTCTCGCCATTGGATGCATCATCTTCTTGTTTGCATTCCCAGTCGCGCTGTACCTGTTTGCGTTCATGTTCCTGGAGCTCAACACATTCCCAGTCGTGATTGACTACTTGCAAATCGTGGCGCTCTTTGGCACCTTCACTGTCGCCTGGCCCGAGAAGCTCGTCGACTTCTTCAACAGCATCTCGTTCATTCTTTTCAACTGGCAGCTGGCAGAACCCGAGTGCGGCGTCGACGGCTTCTCGTGGTTTTGGACGTTCGGCTTCACGCTGGCCATGCCCATCGTCATGCTCTTTGACATTCTGTTTTTCATTCTCGTCTTCTCCTTCCTCCGGACTTGCCTGTCCGTCTGTGGCTGCTGCGGCAAGCAGGCCAAAGAAGCCGTCAACAATAGCACCGTGGACGACATCACCGATGCTGCCGACGGCTCAACCATCACCTCCCCTGCCAAGGCGCTGTGCCACTTTTCGACCATGACGGTGACCCGGTTTGCCAACTTTTCCATTTCGGCCTACCTGACCTTCCTCGAAATTGTATACCTGCCAGTGACCTACATGGCCTTCTCGCTGTATGCGTGCACCTCCACTGCTGGAGTTACTTACTTGAATGCCAGCCCGGACATTACCTGCTGGGAGGGTTCGCACAGCAGCGCGCAGCCCGTGGCCATCCTGGCCCTGCTGGTCTACACCCTTGGTATTCCTCTCGTTCAGATGATTGTGCAATGGGTTAAACTCAAGCGCGGAGAGCTTTATGGCGACTTCCACACCATGATTCGAATGTAGGTTGCCGGTTTTTTTTAAATTACATTGCGTAGGAGAGGGTCTCGTTCGATTCTCTTTTGTTTGTGTGGTTCTACCGGTTCACTGATCATTTTTTCCCTTGTTCAGGGGGCCCCTTTATCGCCGCTACGCGGAGAACCGTTGGTGGTGGCCTGCAATCGCCTACTTCCGCCGCGCCGTCATCACGCTCCCGGCGATTTTCTTGATTCACTATCCGACCTACCAAGTGATTGCCACGCTGGTTATCTTGAACGGCTACCTCGTCGCAGAGCTAATCATCCGGCCGTACTCACGGCAGTTGGGCAACCTCAATAACATTCTTTTGATTGTGGTGCAGTACCTCCTGCTGTTCTTCGGCCTTGCATACACCAAATCCGAGCTTGCGACCGATGCCGAGTACATTATCGGCATTGTGCTCGCCCTCGGCGGCCTTGTTCTTGGCCTGCTGTTGACTGCTCTCGAAATTACGTGGATGTTTACACCGAGCGTTCTTGGTTTGAAAAACAACGAGCCCAAGATGGTAAGCTCGCGACACGAGGCGCTATTGTTGTTGTTGTCATCGTCGTCGTTATTGGTAGTGCCTCTGAAGGCGAGAACAAGCTCATGGCATGTCCTTGCAGTACTTTGTTTCTCTCCCGCCAAAACGAGACATGAAGTTCCTGACGCGCAAGATGGGCTCGACCACTCCTGCGCTTGTTGTCATCGACTACATTAGCCCCCAAAACGGCCATCTCACTGTCGCCAAGGGTGACCGCGTTGTGGTTGTTGACAGGGACGATGGCGCCGACATGTGGACGGTCGAGTTTAATAACCGACGAGGGCTGGTGAGTTTGCCAAAAAGAACGAAAAAACCTCCTGTTTTTGTTGAGTTGGAACTTGCTCACTCATGGTGCATCACAAATTGCTGCCTGTCGACACACACACACACACACACACACACACACACACACACACACACACACACACACACACACACACACACACACACACACACACACACACACACACACACACACACACACTCGCACACACACACGCAGGTTCCTTCTGCTAATCTCGAGATTGTGTCTCAATAGTGAGCTTGGTACGCCTTCGTTTCGTGTTTCCGCTTTTGATGTTGAATACAATTTACTTGTGGTATGTTTTACAACCAAGGGTAGAGGTTGAGAAAAAATTCAAACTCTGCTGACGACGGAATCAGAGATATGGAACAAAACTGGAACTTGAAACCCCCTCCCTAACGCCAGGTATCCGGCTTCACCAATTTCGTTACTCGTCGCACTAGCTGTTTATATGTCGAGCAAACGCACTGCAAGTCAGCTTGTAGACACACACACGCATGCTCCATCAGCGAGATTATGGGAACATACCGGACTCTCCGCCGTGGTGTGTTGAGTTGCTGTAGCGCCTCAAATACACTGCCGCTCATATAATTGGATCCCACCCTGTGAATCATGTAGTGAGAAAAACAACGGAGCTTGCATGATTACCGGTGCGACACAAAGCAGCAAAAAGCCGGAAGGACATACTCAAGAGTCGTCAATGTCGCAATTTGTTTCAGACCCTCCACCAGCGCCATAGCTCCCCGATCGCCAATCCAACACTCGTGCAGGCTGCTCAAAGTGTGAGTATCATCAGCGCAGCGCAACAAGGCAAGGGCAGAAATAGCCATGTCGTACTTTAGCGTGGTCAGTGTCGTGTTTACCCGGAGTGCCTTGGAAATCGCTTCCGCTCCTGCATCTCCGAGCAGAGTGGAACTCAGACTAGAATCACGTCGTGAATGAACAAACCCCGACATGGTCGAGCAGCGATTAGTTGACGACGCCCAGAACGACAACAATCACCAAGCCAGCGCGATGGAAAGACAACATACTTGAGTATAGTGAGCTTGGTGTTCTGCATCAGCGCTTCTGCAATCGCTTGGGCTCCAATCGGGCCAATCGGATTGGAATTCAACCTGTTGTCACACGGTGAGCACTGATGTGCTCCCACCAAACGGAATCCGATCGACCACGGACGCCACGGATGCCACCCCGCCACCCCACCACCCCTCCTCCCCCAGAACATAGAACATCAGCGCGAGAGAAACAAACTTAAGCTCGGTCATCCAAGAGTTCTGCTTCAGTGATGTTGCAAGCACTTGCGCTCCAAAGTCGTCAAGGCCAAAGCGAATCCTAAACAGTGTCGTGAACAACAATCAATGTGAGTTGCAATGAAAGTCACAACACCAACGAGCACGAGAACCTACTCAAGCTTGCTTGGCTTGGTCAAACTCAGAACCTCTTGAATCACTTGCACTCCAGCAGAGTCAACAATAGTCTCACGCAAGCTGTCCGCAAAATTGAGTAACTCCATCGAAAACAGTGTCATGTGCGTCGTTGGCATAGAAGGGGAACGACCGGAGAAGAGGGAAGGAACATACTAAAGCCTGGAAACCCGCGACAGGGCATGACCGATGGCGGGCAATCCAATATCACGCACCTGCGACAGCAGACTGTGACCACACGGTGACAAGTTGCGTGAGCGACCACCTTTGGCCACTTCACAGTTAATGTCAGCTGCAGGACAACATACCGCTCTGTGGTCAATGGTTCTGACATTTCACGCTCGAATTCAGGGTCGTAGCCGTTCAAGTCACGCAATCTGGAATCACGCCGTGAGTAATCGCATCAGAAAAAATCATGTTATGCGCACAAATGAGACATCGATCAACACGAGAGAGTGGAACCTACTCGAGCGTGGTCAGCGCAGTGTTCTGTTTGAGTGCGGCTGCAATTGTTTGCACTCCTGAGCCAACAAAGCTAGCCGACACCCTGTGATGCCATTACGGTGAAGAAAACCAACAATCAATATCAATCAAACAAACCATGAATCATCAATTAGCACTTGCTATCACTTTCGGAGCATCAAACGACACACAATGAAAGGTGACCGTACTCGAGGGTGGTGAGCTTGGTGTTTTGCTTCAGCACAGTGGCAATCGCGTGCGCTCCAATCTCGCCAAGCAGGCTTCCTCCCAGCCTAAACCCAACCAAAGAGTTAGCTTCAGGTGAATCAAGCATCGAGACAAAGCGGCATGAAAGTTGGTACATACTTGAGCGAGGTCAGATTCGTGTTCTGCACAAGGCCGGGTGCAATTGCCTGCACTTCAGCATCATAAATGGATTCGCCCTCCAGCCTGCTCCCGCATAACAAGTAAGGCACCGGGATGAAGCATGACGAACATGACACCAATCACCGCGGAAGATCGAACATACTCAAGCGTGGTTAGCGCAGTGTTCACTTTGAGCGCCTCGGCAATAGGTTTCACACCAGCAGTGCCAATGTTATTGTTATTCAGACTGCAACCACGTGCTAAGTAAGAATACCACCAAGCAGGTCACCCCGCCTTCAGGTTTCACATCAATCAGCAAGTAAGGAACGTACCGCAGCGTAGTCAGAGTTCTATTCTGCTTCAGGGCATCGGCAATCGCCTGCGCTCCAACAGCGCCGATAGGGTTAAAGTCAATAAAACCACGATCATTGGAAGATAAACTGATTGAGCAATGCGGTGAGCAATAGAACGATCAAGGAGCAGCGAGTGTTTGGGAGTGACAGAAAGGTGTTCGAAACCCTTACTCGAGTGTCGTCAGCGCCGTGTTCTGCTTGAGAGCTTCGGCAATCTCGTGCACTTTAAAACGAAGTTGACTGCAACTCAGACTGTTGGCTGATCGTGAGTAAATGCAGCAACAACCAGTTCCACAACAACAGGAGCATAGAACGTACTCGAGAGTGGTCAAACTGGTGTTTGCCTTCAGCATTTCGGCAATGATGCTGGCACCAGCATCGTCAATCGGGTTCATTGAAAGACTGTTTTCAAGTGGTAAGAAAATGAATCACCAGAATATAGCTTCGCTCTCTTCCAGACAATAATAGCCAACAACATCGCTCCCAAACGTACTTGAGCGTGGTCAACGTGTTGTTCTGCACGAGTGCTCCACCGATCGCTTGGAGTCCAGCAGTGCCAATCCTGCAGTGCTTGAGACTTGACACGTGACACGCAATACAAGCAAAGTTAATCTTTGTGCCTTTGCAGACGAGAAACGGGCCAATGCGGCTGAAAAACATACTGCAGAGTGGTAAGCGTCTTGTTCCGCCGAAGAGCATCCGCAATGGCCTGAGCACCGGCATCACCAAACCAACTGTAATCCAGACTGTGATCAAGCAGTGAGAATTTCAAAGCACCATGATCATTAGCAGTGATGGCGTCGAACCGGCATGACAGATTGCAAACATACTCGAGTGCGGTCAGTGTGGTGTTGCTCTTGAGTGCTGCAGCAATCGCTTGCGCTCCGGCTACTTCCATTGCGTTTCCCATAAGTCTACTCCAAGCGGTGAGCCATCCCATCAAGTGCTTCCATAAAGCACAGCATTCATCAACACAAAGCGAGGAGCTCGTACGAGAGTGTCGTGAGAGAAGTGTTTCGCGCGAGCGCTTCTGCAATTGCTTGGAATCCAACGCTGTTCAATCTATTGTCGCCCAGACTATAATCAACGTGTGAGCATGCGGTATTAGGCAGCCGTGATTGCCTCGATTTTCGTTCTCTTCATCTTTCTGCTTTTCGTTTGGGGTAGGGGGATAAAGATAGGAGCAGTCACGTACTCAAGCTCAGTCAGCGTCGTGTTCACTTGGAGCATCCGTGGTATCGCCGCCTGCGCGCCAGAGCCGAGAGTGATATTGTTTTTCAAGCTGCGAGCATTACAGTCAGCGACAGGGCAAATGAAACAGCACTTGCAGTTACAAAGACATGGATTCAGTCAAAATGAGAAGGGAGGATCATACTTGAGGGAGGTCAACGTAGTGTTTTGCTCGAGCGCGTGGACAATCGCTTCAACTCCAGCATCTCCAATCGAACACCAGTACATGCTGTGGCAATTGATGTCAGCGATGGCATAACAACGCAGCAGTGGAACCCAGAGTCACAACATCCATCCGGCAGAACGTACGAAAGCGTGGTCAGCGTCTTGTTGCACACCAGAGCATCAGCGATCGCAAGTCCGCCAGCTTCGCCAATCTCGTTGTTATTCAAACTATTTGAATGAAGTGAGCAACACACATCACTGCGCTTCTCGCATGACCTCAAGCAATGATTCAGCATGAGAATGGCACTGACACAAGCGTAGTCAATGCCGAGTTGGTCTTGAGTGCCTCTCCAATCGCTTGCGCTCCAGCGCTGCCAATGTCGTTGCCGATCAAGCTGGTGACCATGACATGAGAATCAATAATTCAATATTCGATTCAACTTATCAGCGAACAAGCAACTCGCAGCCGAGGAAGAGAGTGGTGGAATCCTTACCGGAGTGCAGTCAAAGTGGTGTTTGATTTCAGCGCTTCTCCAATCGCTTGAGCTCCAAAGTCTCCAATCTTCGTATTATCCAACCTGGCCGCGACATACAAACAGAGTTAGATTGATGTTCGCAATCAACACGGTAGTGGTCAGCATGAGAGGGAAGAAGCATACACGAGCGTGGACAGTGTCGAGTTTTGCTTCAGGACGGCGGCAATCGAGTTTGCCTCGGCAGGGCCGAATTTGCCCGAGTGCACGCTGTTACCACAAAGTGAGCGACGCCATCGAAACAAACCGGAGAGTTTGCAATGGTAAACTCGAATGCAATCAAAATGCGAAGTGGTGCGTACTGGAGCGTGGTCAAAGTGGCGTTCTGGGACAGTGCTTTTGCCATCGATTGCGCTCCATTGGCATCGAGGTAACCCCTGTCGTCACACGGTGAGCCAATTACCTCGCACAAAGCAACACGGGCAAATGGTGCAAAAACAACTTACGAGAGTTCAGTCAGAGTGGTGTTTTGCGTCAGTGCATCGGACATTACTGCGTCAATGTAATTTTGAGTCCTGTTATCATAAAGCAAAGTAGTGAGCGAGTGGGCTTTGTACAGCTGCCATTACCATGGCATCGGCAAATCGATCCAGCTTTACATACCGGAGTGTCGTCAGCGTTTTGTTCTGCGCTAACGCGGCCGCAATCGGCTGCATTTTTGCATCGTCAACCACAAAGGAACCCAAGCTGATACCATACGGTGAGTCAAGGCATCAAACAAACATGGAGTTAGCAGAAGCCGACAAGTACATACTCGAGCGTAGTCAGTGTGGTGTTTTGCAGGAGTGCTTCACCGATCGCTTCCTCCCTGCTGAGCTTCTTGCTGTCCTGGTTGTCGTCGCCGTCGCCAGCAGTGTCGTCCTCGCAGTCCTCGTAGTCGCCGTCGTCAGCATCGTCAGCGTCCGTTTGACGAGCCTTCTTCTTGTTCTTCTTGGCTGTTGAGGTGTTCTCCCCGGCCATTTCAGCAGCCCGACGCTTGCTGCGGATGGTCGTGGGGGCGCCACTACTGGAAGCTGAACTCGTCTTGCCAGTACGCGCAATTGCAACCTGAATGGGTTTGCGAGCACGAAGACTGTAGCTCACAGTCTGAGATCCTTGGTTGGTTGGCGCAGTGGCCTTTTTCTGAGCGGTCTGGCGTTATACGAAAAATCAAACAGTAGGAATCACAAACGAAGCAAACAAGATGTCAGTGACGAGCTAGTGGACTGGCATTACGCCTCACAACTCTTGGGCAGGAGCGGCACCTTGCTGAGCGGCTCTGAGATTGAAGTGGCAGGGACAGGTGCGGCTGCCTTGCTGGTCCTGCCTCGGGGAGCAGCAATAGTAGTAGTAACCACTTGTACTGCTGGTGTAGCAGCAGTGGCAGCAGCAGCAGCATTGGCAGCACGGGCAGCAGCTCGCTTGGGTTTGGGTGGATCGACCTCCATTGGCGCGACCACACAATCGTCCTCCGCTGCGTCGGTGCTACCGAGGCGACTGCTGGTCTTTGGCCTGGTGGCTCTTGTAGCGCGCATGGGAGTAGGAGTGGGAGCAGGAGCAGCCGAGGGTACCGCCTTCTTGACCATTTAGAAAAGACAGTTGAAGGAAAAAAAAAAAAAAAAAAAAGAGACTGAGAGTGACATTTCACTCGTCAACCCATATCTTGTAGCTCAGTGAGTATTGTACTTTGAATGGAGCTGCTCCTCTCCCTCAGGTAGCAGACCATTGCATTCGGCATTCGGCAGGGGCGGTTCTTTGAGAGTTGCAGCGAAGGGCTCATCGAAACCAACACGGGAGCTTGTTGCTGGTCTCTCTTTGCGCTCTGCACTAGTGTCGAATCATGTGTCACAAGTTTGTGGGCATTGTCTCAGTCTGATTTTTCTTGGGTTTGTTTTTTTTCGCAGAGCCTGAGAATGGCTGGAAGACCGCTCAGAGCCGTCGTGCTTGGTTTGTCCACATGGACTGCCTCGGTCTCCACCTCCCGCGCCCCAGCGGCAACAAAAGCATGTCAGCACTCGCTCTTGCTGCTGCCGTCCATCGCAACCTCGCGCTCTGGAGGCCGCAGCTCGGCGGGATTCCCCGTGCGATCGCTCTTGGCGCCAATTTTTCGCGGCTTTTCCAGCGGTTCTGGCGCACCGAGCACTGCGCTCAGCCGCGCACCCCTGCATTCCAACGACTCGCAAGAGTACATCCCCACTGGTCGCTTTGCACCCGACGGGCGACCAATCTACATGCGCCGTGTTCAGCTGCAGATGGCTTCGCCGTCCAGCCAAGACTCGCAGCGTCATCATACTCATGACCATCGTCATCATCAGCGTCAGGCTGATCATGACTACGATGATGCAGATCAACAGGAGCGATTTCGGCGAGCGTACGAGGATCAGGCGCGCAGTCAGCGAGAACCCAACCGATTTGTCAAACCAATCCTATTCACAGCGGTGGTAAGTTCGTCTGGCCTGTGTCTGGTCTGAGATGGATGGAAAATGGGCGTTTCAGAGATGGTCATTCACTCACTTGTGCGTCAACTGCTTTTTTTTTTTTTTTTTTTTTTTTTTTTTTTTTTTTTTTTTTTTTTTTTTTGTGCCGCTTTCAGGTTGCCGTTGGAAGTTTCGCGATCGCTGCGGTGGTTGAGCACGATCGAATTGTTCGCAGGTACAACGAGCCTCCGCTATCGCGCTTTCAGCAATGGCTGAACAAAGCTGCGTTCGACCTTCCGAGCGACCAACCAGCCCCGGTTCTCGAGTCTCTCAGGAATTACATTGAGTGGGTCAATTGTCTGCGCATGTCTGGCGTTTCAATCTGGTTTCTGCAGCAATTCTCACTTTTGCTTGGCGCGTTGCCTGTCAAATCCTCCTGTGACAGTGCTGCACCACCGAGCGTCAAGCTCATGTGGGGCATTGTAGGTCTCAACACTTTGGTATTTGCAGCCTGGCGGATTCCTGCGCTTTTGCCGTTCATGTACAACAACTTTCTATCCCATCCTGGATCTGGCCGAGCGCTCCCCAAGCTGGTACGACGATTGTGAATGCTTTGGTTTTTGTTGTTTGGCCAAGATGCCTGCAGGACGTTGACACGCAGCGTCTTTTGGGTTCTCATTGTTTGTTTTTTGTTTTTGTTTTTTTTTTTGGTTGATTCGCGGCAGCTGAGCGCGTTCAGCCATCGCGACCCTGTGCACTTTGGCATCAACATGTTTGCACTGTATGGTTTCGGACAAGTATCCCAGCAAGATCTAGGATCTGAACAGTTTGTGGCCTTGTTTTTGACCGCTGCAGTTGGATCTTCGTTGGCGAGCCATCTTTACGCGGTATGGTGGCTTTCGTTCGTCATGGCTGCATGCCCACTGCCAACCCCCCCCCCTTCTCCACCTTTCTTGTGTGCACATTCTGACTCGTGGCGCCGCGTTGTTTGGATTCATCCGTGGTCACTCTTTTTGCAGAACGCCGCCCGACGATTTGTGCCCTCTCTTGGAGCGTCTGGTGCGCTGCTAGGCATTGTGGCTTCCGCTGTCGCTGTCCACCCCAATCTCGCCGTGGGCATTCCGTTCGTGCCCGATGTTTACTTCCCGGCGTGGCAAGCGTTCGCGGCCACCTGCACGCTGGATGTTCTTGGCCTGATTTTCCGTTGGCGCATGTTTGATCATGCTGCCCACTTGGGCGGTGCACTCATTGGTGGTTGCTATGCACTCTATTGCCGACCAACCGTCTGGGGCGAGTGGAAGCGTGCATGGCTGCAGCAATATCTCTCGACCAAAGCTCACGTCAAACGCTCGTTAGGATTGAAGTGATGGTGCACAACACAGAACTGTACAATATTGGAACACAATATCATCCATGCACCTCCCTTGTTTCGGGCAAACAGTCAACGACGTGGCGGACATTGATTCCACTTTGACCATACATTCACAACTCGCCGGCAGGTTGACGTTGCGTTTTCGCTTTCGGTGGTGACTTGCTGAGACTTGAGGGTTTGTCGCCAAAGCCAAAGCGTTTTCCTGCATGCTCCACCGTGGATGCAAGCTGGTCCTTGACGGTGTTAAAGGTGGACGTGGTACGATCGACGACCGACGACCAGAGATTCGTACTGAAGTGCACGGAGGGACTCGACGACAGCTGTTCCGTGATGCCGGAGAGCCGCTGCTCTGTGGAGCTGAGCCTGGAGCGGAGTTCCTCCACTGTGTCTGTCATTTGCCGGAGTTGGTCGGAGAGGGCGGCGTTCGTCGCCGTCAAGTCGTAAATCAACCACAATACGAGCCCTGCCAGTATCACCGCAACTATGTATGCCAGGCAGCGACATCCGTTGCATGTGTGGCGTTTGGATGCTCTGCGCGAGCCGTGCTGCTGCGGTTGTTGCAGTTGCGGTTGGGTCTTGAATGGCGAGCGACCCGTTTGATTCACCGATCGGCGGAGTCGTTTGTGAGACTTTGGTTGCATCGTTTGCACCGATGCAGGAGTGGCATCAGTCACAACGGGCTGCTCAGTCTGCGAAGGCGCAGGCGGAGTCTGAGCAACTCGGGCAGCGGCAGCAACCTCAACTGGCGCAGTCACACCGCCACCATTCGCCTGTCCGCCTGTGATGGAAGCAGAAGCAGACGCAGCACCAGAGTCAGTGAACGAGCGGCCGAGTCGCGACCAGGACGAGCTCAAGCTCGAGCTGAGCGACTTTGGCTGGTCGCTGTTGCTGCCGTCGTGGTCGTCGTGGTCATCGTCGCTCGAGTCCGCAGCGGGCAGGAGATACTCGTGGTCGGACACCTCAGAGTCGGCTGTCGACTGGTCGGAGTGGACGAGGTCGGCTGCGCGGTCGAGCAATAGCACTGGCTGTGATGACGACGAGGCACTCGAATCCAATCCACTGCGGCTGTTGCTGAGGCTGCTGAGGCTGCTGCTCCCGGGCGACGTTTCAACGTTGGGAGTGTCGGCAATGAGAGACGACGCGAGGCTGGCACTGGTCCAACTGCCAGTGAGGTCCAACAACGGCGTCTTGGAAGTCGAGGACGATGATGATGATGACAATGACATGGCGGCAAAAACCGAGATTGTTCAAAACAACAACAAAAAACCAAACTTGGTTGTGTGTCACACAACAATCTGAGACAAAGCAAAAATAAGGATTGAACTTCAAAATTATGCACAAATCGAGCGATCCAACAGACAGTAGTCAAACGAACGGGCTGCGGGGTTCTTGGTTAAGGAAACGTTTGTCTGAGTTTTTTGACAGAGTGGAAACGCAGCGATCGCGCAAGGCCGTCGATCAAATGGCAGCAACCGAAATGTGCTTCGAGGCTCACAAGCTTTGTTGTGAGCAGCGACAGCGGAGATGGAAGAGCGAGCGTGAGTACAGAAACAAGCTGGAAAATCAACAAAAAACACATCACAATGGAGATTGGAAAGAGACTACGGCAGTTGGTGTCAAATGTTTGCCGGATTCAGGTTGAACAAGACGGAAAAGATTGATACATTCGTTCTTCAAACAAGAGAAGATCAAGAACAGCAAAAGAAACAAAAAAAAAAAACCGACCCTACACCTCAACCTTGCGGCACTCGTGGCGCAAGCGCATCGCACGGTAGGCATCGGCATACTGCTGGAGCACCTGGACATTGTCGGGGGCGAGACATCGGATGAGCTCGGCCTCACAAACTTGTTTGAGGTCGTGCATCATGAAGTAGTCGGACGCGGCGAGCAAGTCTGCAGCATTTTCGGGGCCAATCACATCCCTGTTCCCCGTGTAGATAAACATGAGCAAGTCATGCACAGTGGATGGGTTGAGGAAGGTCTCCTCGGGTTCGGCGTCGTTGACAAGCCCGTCGTCAGCGTCTGCGGCAATCCTGATCACACGCGTCCCCGAATCCACAGCCAGGGCTCCTTCAAACAGAGCACGAAAGTAGGGGCACCGCGCTGATAAAATCATGCGGTGTGCAGGAATGCTCGCCTTGCCAATGTCAATGACGACGTCGGCAAACCGCGGAGACGCCACCAACCCTTCCATGTCGGCGGCAAAGGTGCTCATGGGCGCGGATTCGCCTTCGGCCGGCGTGTGATGCTGCATAGACTGCCGCTTGCAAAGCAGTACCAGTCGCGGGAGGCCGTACTGTTGCGCAAGCTGCGCGAGTTCGCGCAAAAAGAAGGTCGGGATGCGGACGTGGTCCGTGTACAGGTACGCGCACAACCCAGCAAAAACGACAAAACGAGGGCCCGACACCTGAATGACAAGTGGCGCCAGAGCCTCGATCGAGCCCTGCAAGAGTTGGACGGACTCGGTCGGGTCGCCGTTTCGCGTCGAAGCAACGGCGCGCACAAACTCTTCCGGATTGCTCTCTGCAGTGTCTGGTTCCATGCGCACATCTTTCCCACCGTACTTCTCCGTCATGGCAATCATGGCAGCAATGCGACGACAGCGTGATGCTACGAAAGCGCGGTGCACGAAAATCGGCTTGTTCTCGACGACAAACGCCAGATCCGGTTGGTTGATGTTGAGCGCAGGAACGAATTCGGAAATGCCCGACAAGGAAGGTCGCAGTCGAGCATGTGGCGGGTTGCACAAGTGTTGAAAGTCGAAAGCAAACGTTGCCGACTCGGACTCGACAACGGCGATCGAGTGCTTCCACCCACCAGCAACACTCAGCACCCGCTCTCCTTCCAGAGCCATGACGTGTGTTGGCAAGACACGGAAACGACGGTCGCCGTGGCCGAGAACACCAGCCGAGTTCCAGCCGAACGAGTACAGCTGTCGGTCCACCGTGACGAGAAAGGTGTGAATCGAGCCACTCCCAATCATGGCGACCTGAGTGGCCACGGCTGCTTGCTTGGCCGTGCTGGTGTGGGTGGCACTGGGAGTAAAGTTGACCAGATGCGGCAGGGCATGGCCGTGTCGAGCGGTTGCTCCGGATTCGCCCTCGTCACCGGTGCCTTGCTGACCGTATTCGCCTGCAGGTTTGGCCGATGATGGTGGGGTTGGGTGGAAACAAAGTTGAATCAATTGAGCAGACAATAAACAGTGCCAATATCGCCCGCAGCAGGACGCAAAACCAGAAACAGAACAAACCGCGCTTTCCACACTTACCATGCCCAAAGGAATAGACGGCGCCGCCCTCATCCTGGCAAACGAAATGATGAGATCCGGCAACCAGCTGGACGATAGGAGCTTTCATGACGAGATCGACGGGCAGCGGTGGTTCGTCGGGCAATGTCACGTTCCAAATATTGGTGATTCGGCGAGGCTTGAGCTGGTCCTCGGTATCTCCGAGACCGAGACCAAAGACGCCGCAGCCCCACACCCAAACATCGCCACTATAGGCCAAGGCGGCAGCTGCTTGCACGCCTGCGGCAACTTGCTTGATCTGGCGATGCGGGAAGAGGGCGTCAAACACTGGGATGCGTTGCAGCTGGCCCTGCATAAATCTGTGACCCAGACCAAGCTGGCCCATGTCGTTGAATCCAATCGAATAACAGCGGCCGCGCGTATCAACGACAAGCGAGAAGCAGTATCCGCCAGCAACTGCCGTGACATGCTGCTCGGATGGGATGTCTTCCAGGTTGTCGGCAGATGACGAGGTGTCCTGGTCTGCTCGCTCGGCCAGGGCGTGCTCGTTGATGGCGACAAAGCTGCCCAGATGGGCGTTTCTGGCGCTCGGCAGCCGCAACCGAACCGGTCGGCTGTAAATGCGTCGCCGAAATCCGCTGGAAGAAACCGAGTCACTTTCGCCCTCTCCCGTGCCGAGAGAGCTATCAGTAGCAGCATGGAACTCATCACGCGATTCCGAAACTGTCGGCTGCTGAGGCGGCGGTGGAACGGAGGAGGTGGTGGTGGTCGTGGTCGTGGCGGACGTGCCATTTTGACGAGCCAGGGCAGCGCGACCTGCCGCATTCATTGGATGCTCAACGGTAGCAGGAGGGGTTTGACTTGCGACATTTGCAGCAGGATTCGACTGCTCACGGGGCGTGTCGGAGGTTTGGACGGCGGTCGGGGGGTTGGTTGCTGAACGAGTCTGATCGCGTTCGGCCTGTGACAGGACGGCACCGCTTCCAGCCGCTGCAGTTCGCGAGGACGTTGCCGAAAAGTACTGATAGTGCGATTTTTCCACCATCTGGTCGCAAGGTATCAAACAAAGGCCAACGAGAAACGCGATCGAGTTGCAATTCACAAACAGCAAGCAAAAAAAGTCAACCCTCCGCCATTTTTGTTCGCAAACAAAACCACCACATCAGAATGGCAAATCGAAACTCTACCTTGCGCTGGCGTTCGGTGAGTGGACGGGCAGTGACGGTGATGAGCTCTGGCGCAGCATGCTCAATGCGCTCGTGCGCAAGACCCCAAAAGTACACTGCGCCCGACGCCGTCACGGCGAGCGAGTGGTGAGCTCCACACGCAACGCTGAGCACCTTCTCGTGCTGCAGACCCACGATCGGGTGGAAGCTGGTCGCAGCGGGCAGCGAATTCGCGCCGTCACCAATTCCGAGCTGGCCTTCGCGCCTGCGACCCTTCGCGAACACGTTGCCCAGATCGTCCAGCGCCAGAGTATGCTGCTCACCGCATGCGACCTGCACGATGCGTCGCCCGCGCAACGAGTCCTCTGTGCAGGAGGAAATTTGAGTTTACAATTGTGAGTTTACAATTTGAGCCAAATTTTGAGCCAAATTTTGAGCCAAATTTCGTCGCTGAGCTGTCACTGCGATAGTTTCACTCTTCGAAGGCGGCGCATCACACAACAATGCTCAGAGTACAGTAGAATCGACCAACAACCAACGCCAATCCATTCACGACCGATGAATGTAATGCGCCAAAGCATTCAAAAAACGAAAGCAACGTGAATTCAGTGAAACGCCGACGTGAGCGTTTGTTTCAACCGATTTCGCGGAAAACAAAAAACGAGCTCCAGAACGGTGTTTGATAGATCGGTCATCATATCGATGCATCAGACAAAAAATTGGATGAAATCAGAATGGATGGATGGATGGATGGGGTGGTGCAGCGGAATCAAAGGAAGTGTGATGGTTTGGCAGAACGTACCCACTTGCGGCACAAGCTGCTCTTTGACTTCGGGGTTGTACGAGGCTCCCCACGTGTAGACAGACATGATGAATGAAAACCAGTTCGAAGGATTTTTCAAAAGCGATGGAAACGACAACAAAGAAAACGAAAAGTACAGAAAACGCAACAAGAAGACGGAATTGAGTTCAAGTTTCAGCAATATATTCGTCCAACGAGTGAGACTGCGACAGCTCGCTTCTTTTGCACAGTAGCTGATATCTGATGAACATCCCTAGACACGCATCAACCGGTTTGGCTCAAATTCGAACCCTGAATAAAGCCTCGAATACCGGAATAACCAGAAACACCAGATTCTCCTGTTATTCCCAACGAAATCAACACAACTAAAAGCGTTTTGCTTCTCAATGCTGAAGCCTCGGAATTCTAAACCCAAAGAAACAACAGTACTTTCTGAGCAGCAATCTTTAGTGACAAGAATTCGAATCCAATGTGCGACGTTCCAACCAAAACGCAAAAACCAAAAAACACCTGAGACATCGACAATTTCTGTTCATTCTACCAATCTGGAGTGGAGCGGCTTGTCTGGACGCTCGTACCGGTAGCAGCGCTGCTGCCCCAGCGCGAGTCAAAGTCGCTACGTCGCTGGGCGCGCGAAGCCTCAAAGTCCTCGACCGGCGGCTGCTTCCACTTGTGCTGCTGCGGCTGCGTCGGCAGATTGCCCCACGCGTCGCCATCTGCTGCATCGAGTGCGCCGACGCGTGCAGCTGCTGCCGCTGAAGTGACGCTGGACGACGCCGCATACGAGGACTGTGACGGCGACGCCGACGCGGAGGAATGACGGCCTGATCCCGCCGCTCCACCATTACTGCCGCCGCCATACTGCGTTGATGCAGCGGATTGGGTGTATGACTGCTGCTGCTGCTGCTGGGGTGGCTGGGGTCGCGGTGGCGGAAGTCGCCCTCCGTCACTGGTATAAGATGGCTGCTTTGGCCTTGGAGGAGGAATCGCGCCGGTCGACTTGCGCGCGGCCTGCGCCTTGGCCTCGCGTTGTGCGTCGTCCTCGGCACTCTCGACGGCTTCGATCGCCTGGGCAAAGCGGAAGTGGTAGGCGCTCCCGTGCGCGCGCGTCGCGACCTCGCCGTACGTCGAGTGCAGCTGCAGCGGTTGCAGCGCGTCCTCGAGTCGCTGCCGCACCGTGTCCTGGTACAGCTCGAGCTTGGCCAGCAGCTGCCGGTAGTACTCTGGCAGTGCCAGCACATTGACGTTCGGTTGCTGCTGCTGCTGCTGCTGCTGCTGCTGCTGCTGAGAAGTGCTCGATTTCTTAGACCATTCGGCCTCTGCTCGCTCGTCGTACGCGCGCCCCGTCTCAATCTCGTCCAGCCGCTGCTGCTTGAGCTGTCGGATGTAGTCGTTCACGCTGATGGCCATGGCTTGCGTTGTGGAAGGGAGGCAAAGAGCAAAAGAAGAGCTAAAGCAGAGCGAAAGAAGAGCAAAAGATTTCTGAGAGACTGAGCTCCATACAATTCAATACAATTCAGGTTTTTGGTGAACTTTTACCCTCGGGTTTTTGTTTGAGTTTTATTGAATATTTTAAAGTTACTCTTTCCGCTCACTCTTTTTTTCGGCGCTCTTTATATTTTGGTACTTTTCTGCTGTTTTTTTAGTTACTTTTTGACCCTTGCGTTTTTGTTTGAGTTTTATTGAATATTTTAGCGTTACTCTTTTTGCTCACTCTTTTTTTTTTTTTTTCCCTTTCAGCAATGCACCACGACGAGGCTTCTTCCGCTGCGCCTGGCTCGCACGAGTACCACCCGCGCGACGCCCCGACGGACGTCATCGGCAACATGATCACGACGTCTGCCAAGCTGGGCTGCGTCGGCCTGTTCGCTGGCTCGGTCCACGCCGCCTGGGTCCAGCAGCCAGCCGTCAAGGAGTTCACGGGCGTCCTCCTGCGCGACACTGCAGGCCACCTCGGCCGCTACTCGGTCGCATTCGGTGTGTGACAGGAACACGGCGCTTCAGATGTGCTCGGATCTTTTGGCTGGCTGATGGGAAGCTGCGGTGGAGGAGGGGAGAGAGGACGAAGGCTGTTCCCAATGCCAATGCCAATGGATCCTGCCCCTCCACTGTGGGGCCGATCAGTCACGTCGGATGGTCATTCACTGAGACAAAAGTCGCTCTCGTTGTTTGAATGGTGGAATTCGAGACGCACGGGGCGCTGCTTTGCTTGCTTGCGAGAGCCATCCACAACGAGGAACTCTCACTCGGATTCACTCGCTTTCAACGGATGTGTGATGCACGTCGAATACGCACTCTGGCAGTATTCGTTGGTGTGATGCTGTTGATGGCTTGGATGGAGCTGATCCGTGCCAGGGGGACAAGGAGCTGCGACTCGTTCAACAAAGCACACAAAATCTTTGTGTCGACCTCACGCACTCCGCTTCGTCAGTTCAGATGACGGAAGAACTCGATGGCAGCTCTTTGATCCACAGATCTTGATATTGGGGAGGGGATGGTGGGATGGGCAGCGGGGGAGGCCAGCTAGTCTTTTTGTTTTGCTTCACTTTCGCCTTCCACTTGCTTTCGTTTGCATCGACCTTCCCACATCCACCGGGTGAATGCACCTCTCATGATGATGAATTCTATAGATGCTGCCAATTCTGCTGTTTCTTTGAAATACTCACTCGAGCGGATCGTTTCCCTTTTTGCACGTCAGCTGCCGTCGGCGCGGCTTGGAGTGGCACGGAAGGCTTTGTTGCCAGCCTGCGTCACCAACGCGATCCTTTTAGCGCTGCTGCTGGTGGTGCCGCCGCCGGTGCTGCTTTGGGCATTCAGCGTAAGAAACAAACGAGTACTGATGACTGGCATTGAGGACGATGTGTCTCACCGTTCTATCGCACATTCTCGGATCTCCTTTTTTTTTGGCATCACTGCCCGCTATCACCTCGTTGGCTTTGATCCAGGACTGAGCTTGCCAATCGCTGTTTCCGCTGCCGTGGCCGGTGCCTCGATTGCCGCTGCTGCAGAGTATTTCGGCTCCTTCAAGCAAGCCAACAGCCACCAAGCCCGCGCTGCCCACTGGAACTAACCAGCATTCGTGCAGTTTAATCCGTTGCTGGTCTATTACTGTATTTCAAGCAAAGCTATTCGGGAATACGTGTCGAACTGAACAAGCAAGAGATTGTTTGTTCGTCCCACTCTTTCCCCCGCCCCCGCCCCCGCGTCCTTCTTATCTGTCTGTGTTGCTGCCGTTGTTTTGTATTCATGTGCGTTGTTCACCATGTCAAATCGTCCTTTTTATTCCGACTCGGTTCAGTCCATTCTTCTTCTTCTTTCCCCTTTTTCCCTTACAATGGCGCACATGTTTGAGAAGATGCTGCGGACGACGCACTCTGTCAACCGCGCCGCCGAGCGCCAGTTGCAGCATCGCCCAGAGAAGGACAAGCTCATCGGCACCCTGCAGAGCATCACGAAAGACGTGAGTGGGGATGAACAGGATCAATGGCACAAACGCATTGTGTTGGCTGAAAACTGCATGACTGGGGAATCACTGTGTGTGACGAACAACAAAACAACTCAACAATGTGCGATTGAATGCTGCTGCAGATTCAGTACAAGTTCATTGTGGCCCAGCAGCAGCAGCAGCAGCCGAAGCAGGAGGCTGGGACTGGAACTGGGACTGGGACAACCACTGGAACGTCCTCGTCCTCGTCCTCGTCCGCCGCCACGGGTGCGACTGCCCTCACAGGCTCATCGCCCGAGGTGGTCGAGCTGTGCACTGCGATCGAGGCTGTGCTGCGGCACGGGCTCAAGGCGAGCCATGCGGGCCACTCGCTGGCATCGAGCGTCTTCCACCACAATGCTGCGCCACAGCAGTCCAGCGGGACCACTGCCACGACGGGTGCTCAAGCACTCACGATTGACCCTGTGCGCGACGAGTTCTGGTCGTACGTGGCGACCATCTCGAGGCCAGAAGTCGTCCAGATGATGACCTCGAAACTGGTAAAGCCAACATGTACTGCATAACAAACATGTCGAGATGTCTAGGGGGGTGAAACATGCTCACTGAGAGTGGTTGTTTTGGGTCGCAAGGTCAATGTGCGGACGCCGTTTGGACGCGGGCGAGCGTGGGTCCGCCTTGCACTGAACGAAAAGGCACTCGAAAGCTACTTTGCCATCATTCTGAACGACACAAAGGCGCGGCCAAAGCTCTACGAGGACTTTGCCTTCATCTTTGACCAAGAGCTGGTCCTGCTGCTTCAGACGCTGATTTCAGGGCTCGATCTGGTCGAGTTCAACATTCCCTACGACATTAACGAGCTGGACAATCCGCAGTACCCTGCACCACGCCAGCCAACGACTCCGCAACCACAGGCTCAACCAAACACACCGGCTCCGACCCTGTCTCCATCTTCAGCGACGGGTGTGCCCGTGATGACTGCGCAAGCTGCGGTGCAACAGCAGCAGCCGCCGCTTCCCGCTTCCCCTGCTCCCGGCCCGCCCGGCTCCCCTCTCAATTTGAGCGGCCTCGTCGTGTCCGCCCCTGCCTCGGATGACGCGCTTGTTGTTTCCCACCACGTCCGTAAAGCCAAAAAGCCCAAAGCCGACGCGCCAATCGCCGATGGCAGCGCGGACAACGCCGCCGCTATCGCTGTGGCCGTCAAAAAGAAAAAGAAGTCTGTTGCCACGATCTCGACCCCGCCCGCCACCGCGAACGTATCCAGCGAGCCGCCGCTTCCTGCGGTTGCTGCTGCGTCTGAGGCTGCCCCCGCTCCTGTCGCAACTCCTGCTAAACCAGCTGCTGCGTCGGTCACGCCTGCGCCTGCCCCTGCTCCCGTGACTCTTCCTGCCGTCTCGGCTCTGCCTGTTGCAAATGCAACAGTGCCCGTGGCGGCGCCCGTCCCTTCTAATCCTCCCGCGCCGGTTCTCAGCTCTGCGGCTGTTCCAACGGCGGCACCGACTCCCGCCATTCCCAGAGCTGCTGCTTCGACAGCGGCTCCGTCGGTCTCGGCTCCATCAACGACCGCTGCTCCGACAGCTGCTCAGCCGGTGGCCGCACCCACCCCAGCAGTCATCACAGCCACGAAAGCTTCAAAGCCCGCTGCAACCAAGGTCGCCAAAGACGAAGTTCAGATTGGCAGTCGCTGGGGCGCAGCTCCTTCTGTTCTCTCGCCAACGTCAGAGCCATCCACCATCGATGAAACCTTGCCCGCAAAGTCGTCAATCGAGGCACGATACCATCTCCCCGAGGAGAGCTTTACCTTTGAGGACTTGATGAACTCGCCAGCCGTGGTCAGCATGAAACCGGATGGAGCAACGCGTGGCCCTGCTGGGACAACCGGTGCTGGTGCTGCCGCTGCCACCTCCTCCTCCTCGAGTGACGCAGGAGCCCTTGCACAATCTGCAAAAATCCCGACCGCTGCAGATGCGTTGATTATGCCGCGCACCAACATTGACGCCGAGGCCATCCGCGCACGCGCCGCGTTGGATACAGCCGCTCCTCTTCCCGAGACCGACTACATGCAAGTTGCTCAGCACTTGATGCACAATTCGTCATCCCCTCCGCCTGCAGAGCCCCTCAACGGTGGAGCGCACGACGTTTCGACATCCTCGACGCTGTCTTCCGTTCCTGCGTCTGTCGCGTCCAGCTATTCATCCCTCGTCTCGGACTCGATCAAAAGCACCACGACAGAGAGCTCCAATCCTTCCCGAAGTGCTTCGGCTGCTCCCACCCAACCCGACGTGATCACTTCGTCCACCACTGCTTCGCGCACGTATTTGGACATTGGCGCCGATCGCGCCCGCCGAGCTGCTCAGCAGGCCATCGTCCCAGTCGACAACACTGTCAAGCTGTCGCTGCTGCTGCACGTCTTCCAATCTGATGACGAGCAGGTGTCCTTCCTCACAACCATTCGCCGAGTCGACAACACGAATGGCAAAATCGAGCACACTGGCTTCTTCCTCATCACCACGCGAGCATTCTACATTCTCAACAGCCTGGGCGGCGCTCCCGAGACTGCCTCGTCCATGAACATGCAAACTCTCGGCTCGGAGGACGGCACGCTGGTCGACACTGCCGTTGAGCAGTCGTACCCGGTGCCCGAGCTCCGCAGAGTCGTCACCGGCTTGAACGGACAAAGTGTCACGCTGGACTTTGGCGGCGCAGCCAAGCCCATTCTTCTCACCCGCGATGAAGAGGCGGCGAGCTTGATTGTCGCCCAAATCAAAATCATTTACGCGAAACGTGGCATCAAGACCGACCCGCTCCCTGCGTTCACCTCTGACGACTCAGACCACTCCTCTGCCATCCGCGCTGCCGTTGCGCGCAAGGAGAATGACGCTGGCGCGATTGTGCGGTTGTATTCGCTCGTGCACTGGCGCTCAGTCCAGGGCGTCAAAGGCGATTCTGCATCCGACACAATGTCTGATCGCCATCCCTCTGGCGGCGCGCTGGCGGAGGGTGAAGAGCTCGACGCTGCTGCTGCTGCTGCTGCTGCTGCTGCCTCCGATTCTGCAGCGACGCCTGGGCTGAACAATGAGCGCAAGGTCACGTCCATTGCGCTTTCCCTCATGTTGCAAGGAGTCGACTACATGCGCCCAGTCAAGCACAAAGCCGGCGTCCTGCCTCACAGCGCTGGATCGTCGCGGCTGTACGCGGCCAAAGCGGGTGCGCTCAACTATCGCGGCCACCAGTTCAAGATGACACACTGGAAGCAAAACTTTTTCCTGCTGCAAGAAGGTGTCTTGTACCACTATCGGAGCAACACCGACCCGCACCCCAAGCTCGCTATGCCCGTGCAAGCCAGCTCCTTCCACATCCGACGCATCAAAGAGTCGGGCCAGCCGTTCGCCTTTGAAGTGACGTGCTCGCAGCCGCTTCCAATCCCGGGCGTTGAGCCGCCCAAGAGCATCCTGGGCTTGTCGAGTGCTCCCGAAGACCGATCGTTTGTCGTCTCGGCGACAACCGAGCAGCAGATGGACCAGTGGATTGCTGCGCTGTGCTTGAGTCACGTCGAGCCGCTGCAGCGCCCAGGCCGCCACCTGTTCAAGGAAGGATCCGTCCGGTACAAGCGTGTCTCGCTGGTACCTGGCGCGTCTCCGAGCGAGCGCACCACGCTCATCAACTCGATGGCTTCCGTCAAGGCCATCGACGCGTATCTGTACCTCTTCAACGACCTGCTGCTGGTCACCACTCCCACAGACATTGAGGGCAAGTTTGAGCTGCTGCATGCGATTCCGGTCTCGGCCGTTCAGCCGGCACATGGCGGTTTGCTCGACCAGATGCAAATGCACACCTTGGATCAGCATCCACAACCGCAGCTGCGCAAACAGCTCGAGGCGACTCTCAAGAACACGTGTGTCTTTACGCTGTCGTCGCCCATTGTCACGATGGAGCTGGAGGCAGAGTCCATTGGTGACCGCCAGGATTGGGTTCAGCGCATCACCGCCAAAGCCGAGAGCCGTCGTGTGGTTGGCAACAACGGCAGCGGTCAAAAGGAAGGCCAAGGCGATACGCTCTTTACGAGCAACGACTCCAACATGCTTGACATGCTCGCCATGCCCTTCACCAAGGTGTTCAAGTCGCTCGAGGAGATTGGCGGCACGGTGGTCACGGGTGTGACTGCGCTGGGTGCGCTTCCTGCCGCGATGGCCAAGCTCAGCATTTCCTCGTCCATTCCCGTCCTGGGTCTGTCCGCAGCCCCCGTCATTCACACTATTGCCCCGACTCCTCCGAATGGATTTGCCGCGGCGGCGCTGCTCGTCTCCGACCGCGCGCTCCACCTCTGCGAGGAAAACCTGCGGCAGAACTCCGTCACCGTTCTTGCGACGCGCGGCCTCGACGCCATCACCAATCTGCGGATTGACGCCCAGTACGACCCTGACATGACCTCGTACTGCACTGTCATGTTTGATGACATTGAGCACCGCGACGACAAATCGTGGCAGCTCGCGTTCAAGACCGTCTCCGAGACGGACAAGTTCCGCGCCGCTCTCGAGTCTGCCTGGAAGGCCTTGTTTGGCGTTGAGCTCAAGGTTCAAGTTGACATGTGAAGTTTTTGTTGTTGGTTTCTTGGTGTGTCTCCTCGATGAGTTTGTGTTCTGCACATCGTTTTGTCGTTTTTCTCTTGATTTTTTAATTGTTGTTTTTGTTCTAATGCTGATTCCTGTTTGCTTCATTTCAATGTTCATTTTCTTTCGGTTGTCTTCGTTTTGTTTATTAAAAAACCAAACATTGCCTTTTTTTTTTCTGAGTTTTCCGTTTAGAAATTTTTGATGGATCAGTTTTTTTTTTTTTTTCAGTTTTTATTATTATTTTTTTTTTTTTCCTTTTTGTGTTTTGTTTGTTTGTTTTTCTATTCAATTTTGCGCACTTTTTTTTTTTTTTTTTTTTTAACTACCGCCTTCGCTTTGCTTCCAATTCGCTCGTCTCGTCTCGTCTCGTCTCGTCTCGACTCAGCCATGTTCCAGCCGCTGAGCCCCAGTCCATCCGCGCTGTCCACCAGCGGCACGCCGACCGGCAGCGCGGACGAGGCCATGTCCAAGCGCCAGCGCAAGGTCAAATTGGCCAAACTCCAGGCAATGCTCGGCGATCCGCTCTCCGAACGAGACCTCGTACGTTTGGCTTTTTTGTTTGTTTGCTTTGTTTTGCGTTCCTGCTTTGCTTTTGATTTGTTGTTGTTTTTTCAAACAATGTTCGTCTTTTTCTGCGTCCTTTTTTTTTTTTTTTTTTTTCAACTTTTTATTTATTTTTTTTTTTCAACTTTTTATTTATTTTTTTTTTCCAACTTTTTATTTATTTTTTTTTATTGCGATTTTTTAGCAAATTTTTTGATTTTTTATTATTTTTTCGGTTTTTTTTTGTTTTTATTTTATCGTTTAATTTTGATACTCTTTTCTCACTATTTTCCTTCTTACTGCTTGGTTAATGTTGCTTAAATGTTGCTTCGCAACCGGTTATTAACGCCTCTCTCTCACCCTTTTGCCCCCCCCCTCCCACTCCCACCACTCCACACTCTCTTTTCATGACATGACAGAAATCGCAAAACCTCCTCCAGTCGCCGTCGCTGGGGAGCTCGGCCACTGCGTCGGACGCGTCGTCGGTGGCGATTTTGTCTTCGCGCTTCCGCGACTCGCTCGAGCGGCTCTCTGTGCTGTTTGAAGACCAGAATGCGGTCGAGGCGCTGCTTGCGAACGTCATTGGCTTTGATACGGACGACAACGACGATGACGACGCCAACGACGACGACGACGACGACAATGACGACGAGAGTGACGACGAAGGCGCACCGCCACAGTCCCGCAGCACCCGCTCCAAATCGCGCGCCAAGAAGGTACAATCAATAGTCCAGCATGTCTCATTCATGCAAATATCCTGCATCACCGAGAGAGCATCGCTCGCTTTCGTTTGGGTTGGCGGCTGGGTTTTGGGCGAACGTCTGGTTTGCTCAGCGTTGGTCATCAGTTCACACTCAAAACTTGGGTCTTTTTTTTTTTTTTGAATTGAAGGGGGGGGGGTTGCGATCAGCATCCCGTCTCGTGCATGGACATTGCGCTGCATATGCGGCAACGGAATCACCATGCATGTGGCTCACTCTCTGTCTTCTGATTCTTGAAAAAACAGCTCGAAGCTCGTCTCGCCAGACGCCGCAAGCTGCGAAAGCTGCACCACTTTTTCGGAGACCGGCCGACCCGCGATCTGCTGTTTGAGCAGCACATTTTCAGAAACCTCGAGCAGGAGATCACAGACGTGTTTGCCGCTGGACCCGAGGGCGATCAGCTGCGAGGCGTGCTCAACAAGCTCCGGGAGCGCTTCAGAACCAAGAGCCAAGAGGAACAGGATGCGCTGAATCGCATGCAGGCACTGGCGCCCCCGACCATCAACGTCCCGGTGGGCACCATGACCTTGACGAAAAAGCAACGCACTGCCAAGCTGAGCAAGTTGACTCAAGTGTTGGGTGCTCCGCTCTCGCTGGAGCAGCTTCTCGGCCAATCTCTCTTTGACGATGGCACCTCGCCCCAGCCAGAAGAAGGGGTGGATTCCGAGGAAGCAATCGCCACCAACCCCGACGTGCTCATGCACTCCATTTCCAAACTAAAGACGATTGTAGGCGACGAAGAGGCCATGCAAGACGTTCTCTCTCAGATCGTGGACGACCAAGAGCCTCCCAATCCGAAGGTAATGAAGTGGACGCATGTGGCAGAGGTCGGGGCATGGACGGACAGAGACGACAATGGTTGTGGTTAGGTGTTGTTGGCTTTGTCTTTTTTTCTTTTTCTTTTTCTTTTGCTTTTTCTTTTCTTGTCCTTTTTGGCCAATCGCGTCATTCTCTTTTCTCACCATCGATCGCTGCTTCCATCAGGAAACACGTCAGCACCGCATGAAAAAGCTGCACAACTTCTTTGGAGACGCCCCGGCGCGACACTTGCTGTTTGAGCAGCAAATTCTGCAGTCGCTCGAAGACGTCATTGCTGAAGAGCCGCCGGCACAGCAGGCCGCCTTGCGAAGCCAGCTCTCCGACCTGCGTGCAAGCTTCTCGGCGTACAAGCGCCAGTCTCTTGCTAAGGCTGTGGCAACACAAGGGGCCGCGCCCGTCCCGTCGACCGGCACCGCACCCAACCCGCTGACCAAGCAGCAGCGCATCAAAAAGCTGGTCAAGCTGCAGCAGATTCTTGGCGCAGAACTACCGGCCTCGGAAGAAGTCCGTGTTTTTTTTTGGTTGCAATGTGTTTGCGATTGTCGAGCTTGGTGTGCGCTGCTTGCATTGCTGACTCCCCGTTCTTTGCTTGTGTGTGTGTGTGTGTGTGGGTGTGTGGCTTGTTTTTTTGTTTACTTTCAGTCCTCGCAGCTCATGCTGCCAAAGATGGGCGATCGCCGGGAGAGCATTGCAAGTGTCGCGTCGACGACATCTTCCTCGTCCGGCTCGAACGCTGTGGGGCTCCACTTGCGTCGTCTGAGCCGCATTGTCGACGACCAGGACGCTGTTGAAGGCTTGCTGGCGTCCGTGCTCGGAATTCTCGACCAGAATGAGCAGCTCAACAAGGAGTTGCGCAAGAAACGGCTGCGCAAACTGCACCACTTTTTCGGTGACCGCCCACAGCGCGATTTGCTGTTTGAGCATCTCGTCTTTGAACAGGTCGAGCTCGAAATCGAAACCGAGGGCCCCGACTCTGAGCGCAAGGCCCACGCGGAAGAACTGGAGCGCTTGCGCCGTCGCTTCAAGGAACAAAGCGAGCGCGATCTCAAGCAGCTGGGCTATCGTCCTCACACTCGCACGGAGACCAAGGTTGTGCTGGCCACTGGTGGCGTGGGTCAGTCCGCCTACCAGACCCTGAGCAAGAAGCAGCGTGTTCGCAAGCTCACCAAGCTCCAAGAGTTGCTTGGTGAAACATTGCCTGTTGAGGAGCAGGTAACACACACACACACACACACACAAAAAAAAGGACGGATCTGTTTTGGAGAAGTGAAACCACTTTCAATGCTGTCTTGGCTTTGTTGGCTCATTTTTGCACGCCTCTTTTTTTTGCCGTGCTCACAGATGAATCAGTCCATTGTTACACCAACCGCTCGTCCTGCCTCGGGCGCGCATACCATTGCTTCGAATCGCGAAAAGCTCAAGCAATCTGTCAAGCAAATCTCGTCCATTCTGCAAGACGACCCGACTGCCCTGCACTCTGTGCTGGAAACGCTGCAAAGCTCTGGCACCGACACCGAGTCCGAAGACCTGGACGCCGACGCGACTCCGCAAGAAAAGGTACGCGTCCCATCATCAATCGGGTGACGGGGGTTTTGCCAGACTGCTGGTGTTGAAACTGTTTGTGAACTTGACATTTTTGTCCCGCAATATTTTCATTTCAACCAGGAGCTGCGACGAAAGCGCTTGCGAAAGCTGCAAAGTTTCTTTGGCGATCGCCCGTCGGAGAATATTTTGCTGGAGCAGCAAGTCATTCAACGGCTGGAGGCACGCGTCAACGCCGAATTGGACGCAGCCGCACGCGCGGAACTGGAGGCTGACCTGGACGTGATGCGTCGCAGCTTGACTGCCAGTCGAACCGACATTCCCAACGTGGCTCTTACCTCTGGTCTGATGTCTGGTGGCACCAAGGCCTCAAGCGCGCTTGCAATCAATCCTGCTGAATACGATCCTGACGAAGCCACCAACACTGCGGCCCTGCTGGCGCAGAAGGACGACGACGACAAGACGAACAAGTTACTCGACGTTGCGCATCACTCGTCGAGCGAGCGGTTTGCCAAGCAGTCCATGCAAGGCTATCGCATTCTTGGCTTTGTCAGTGGCAAAGGTGAGTTTTGGATGTGGTTTTTTTTTTTTTTTTTTTTTTTTTTTGTTGTTGTTGTTTTGTTTTGTTTTGTTTTTTGTTTTTGGTTCTGTTGTGGGCTCTTCAGACGGAGGACTGGGAAGCCGTGTCTAATTCCTTGTTTGCTGCCTTATTTGATTGCTCCAGAGGACCCAGCGCCGGCAACCACATCCATCACAAAGCTTCCTTCGTTCATGACGGTGGGCGACAGCGCCAACCGCTCGGCAATCCGTCGCATTGACGAGCGATTCGGGGACTCGTCTCCGCTTGCGATCGAAGGGCGTGTTTTGCTGCACGAAGGCGCGCTCACTGTCATTGACGAGAAGGGCAATCGCAAGAAGCGCGAATTCTTCTTGTTCAACGATGTGCTCGTGTATGGCAAAAAGAAACTGAGCCGACTTGGCAGCAAGCATGTGATGCCGCTCGACAACCTCGGTGTCATTTCGGTTGCCGATGATGTTTCCACGGATGTCAAGAACGTCTTCCACATTGTGCTGATGAGCGCGCCCGAGCGCTTGACTGTGTGCACCGAGTCTGTTGCTGAAAAGCAGATGTGGATTGACCAGATCACGACTGCCGTCACGCACGCAGTGATTTCGTGGCACGGTGAGCTCAAGGATGTCGACGCCGGCCAAATCTGGACCCCGCAGTGGATGCCAGAGACGGATGTCCGACTGTGCTCCCTCTGCCTGCAAACTCGCTTTTCAATGCTCCACCGCAAGCACCACTGCTCCGTGTGTGGTCTGGTTGTGTGTAGCAGCTGCTCTCCCCATCTCGCACCGGTCGCGCGCACCACCGCAATCGGAGCTGCAATTCTGCGCTCGCGAAACCAGAAACGCTCCTCGCCTGCTGCCAACAGCCCTGACGATCTGAGCAACAGCTCGAGCACGCTATATGGTAGCAACTCGAATCTGGAGCGCAGCAGCACACTTGGTTCGCAAAGCGCGCTTTCTTCCGATGACTCTGATAACGTTTACGTGCGGGTTTGCAGCTCGTGCACGGAGAAGGGAGTCAGTCTGATTGCGAGTAAGTTTGAGTGGGGGCAGCAGACTGCATTGGATCAGGAGCACCGTTGTTTGCCATGTTCACTCACCACGTCCTTGTGTACAGACTCGGCCAAGCTGGCAGAGTGGAACTGCGATCTCGCTGTCTTTGAGCGGGAGCTGGCCAAAACGCGCAACCTTCATGCGCACAATCCTCCGAACGCGCCAAACAATGCTGCGCTTCTGGATATGGTCGACGTTCTCACGCGCAAAGTCATCCACTACTTGTCCAACATTGCGCGGTTTGAGTACATTCTCGAAATCCGGTCGCGCAAGCGTCTCAATGCCGGCAAGAAAGCACCCCGCGCCAAGCTGCTTTACGACACTGTCCAGCTGAGTCTGCGCAACTCCAATCCCGAGTCGGACATTTAACTGACAAGGATGGCTCTGTTTTGACTCTGCATTGGCTCTACCTTTTGGTGGCGGCGGGGTTTTTTTTTTTTGGGGGGGGGGGTTGTCGTTTATGAATGCGAATGTGCGTGTGGATGTGTGTGAGTGCGGGGTGTGTTTGTTTCTTCAGACCTCCAGTGCGCTGGAACCAGTGTGCCTGTGTCTTGCTTTGTGCGTGTGTCGTTGATGGTGCTTCCGCTGTGAACTGTTCTGCAATCCAAAGCTTCGATCTCAAGCCTGTACTCCCGATGAAATCAAACCTTGTTCGAGGGTTGATGACGAACTCTTGTCAGCTATTTAGTTTACAGGACAAAAACAAGAACAACAAGTGCAACGAGCTCATCGCTTGAGCGCATTGGAAATCAACTTCTCTGAGACCTCCCAAAGCTTGGCAGCGGCTTCTGGGTCTGAGGCGTGCGGAACCGGAACACCCAGGTTGCAATCCTCAAAGTAGGCACCACCATGCTCCAGGACCTCGGGCGCAATGGCGCAGTACACGGTGGTCGAGGAGCACTGCTCGACCGTTTTGAACACGCTGTTCATCGTGCCATCCTCGTTCATCCATCCCTGGCTGATTGCATAGTCTCGAGGGATGTGGCGACTCAGGTTTGTCGCAGCGCCGCCCGGGTGCAGGGAAACGGCAATTACACCCTTCGGGCTGAGACGCTTGTTGAGCTCGAGTGCAAACAGGGCGTTCGCGGTCTTGGAATGCCCGTACGCGAGCCACCTGTCGTAGGACTTTTCCCAGTTAATGTCATCAAACACAACCGGGCTGAAGGTGTGGCCCAACGAGCTGACAGCCACCACTCGGGACGGCGCCGCGGCAATCAGGGCGGGCGTGAGCAGCTGAGTGAGGTAGAAGTGCCCAAGGTGGTTTGTGCCAAATTGCATTTCGAAGCCGTCGGCGGTGGTCTCGCGAGTCGGATTGGCCATCACACCGGCGTTGTTGATGAGGAGGTTGAGCGGGAGCCTCTTGGCGAGGAATGTGTCGGCGAACTCCTTGATGCTCTTGAGCGAGGTCAGGTCGACGAGCATGGCTTCGATCTTGGTGTTTCCGGTGCTTTGCTGAATCTCTTGGGCAACCTTTTGACCAGCCTCGAGGTTGCGAATAGCTGGATGGAGCAAATGGTCAAAACGGGGACGTACCAAACGTTGGCATCAACTTGGCAAAGCGCAAACAGCCCGACAACATCATACAATTCCCACACATACCTAGAATGATTCGAGCACCCTTGAGGGCCAAAACGCGCGCAGTTTCCTGGCCAAGACCGCTGCTGGCGCCGGTGATAATTGCGACGCGATCGCTCAAGTCGATTCCGAGCTCGGTGACGACTTCCTCGGCTGGGGTGCGATAGCCAAATCGACCAATCGACTTACCATCATTCGAGGTGGTGGGGATGGCGGGATTGAACGTGTCAGACATTGTCTTTTGCTGGTTCGCTACAGTGCTAGCAGAGTGAGGAGCTTGATGGTTTGTTGGAAACAAAAACAGAGAGTGAGGATTTCAATCTGCAATTTCGGATTGCTTAAAACAAAAGACGCGCGGGATTTTTTTCGTTTTTGGCGTTCAAATTTCCGCTCCAGATTCAATCTTTTCCCCGCCCCCTCGCACACCTCTCTCCCCCAACCACCAACCCCCATGAATTTCCATCCCGAAATCTGCGCATGCCAATTTTCCGCATGAGGCATTCCCCCGAGCCATTGTAGATGAGTTTCCCCTAGCAGTCGATGGGAAACGACAACGCCTGCATCATTGTGAATCCGTTTTGCTCAATGTTTTGCAAAGACTTTTCGAGATTGCTACTCCTGCAGCAACAACACCAATACCATCACCGACAGCAAGAAAACAACAACAACAAGAAGAAGAAGAATAAGAAGAAGAAGAAGAGCCACGCAAACTACTGCAGAGCTCAGAACATCGGACACAGACAAACACTGTCATGACCAACAAGCACAACAACGCGATCATTTCCATTCCGAGCGGCATGGGCCCAAGCTTGGGACGCGTTGCCACTGATTGCCAGCACGAGTATGAAATGAAAATCTGCTGCGAGTGGCGAACTGTCCAGATCCGCCAGAGTCCGAGTGACGCCCTCAGCGAGATCTGATGCGGACGGCAGGCTCACATCCATCATTTGGAACAGCAGCAGTACGGGCTTTGCCCCAGCTTGGCTGCGTCGTAAAGCAACACGCCCATTCACGCGGGTCGTTGAACCTGCGCACTGGAACACCGGGTGGCAAGGACCCGCACCAAGCATGTCAACTTCAAGCGGGGCGTCTGATGAAAAGGACGGGATTGTATGGACAGTTTGGCGATCGTCGACATCGTGCTGGTTTGTGATGAACGGATGTTGCTCTTTCAAGAGGGTGAAACGTTGCGCGACTCCTGCGACAGGGTTCTGCAGATCAAACCTCATGAGCAGGAGACTGCGAGGCGCGCTGCCTTGCAGTGACGGGGAGGAAAGACCAAGAACTTGATACAGCAGGGCAGATTGAGCTGGCTCAGGCGCGGACTGGAGAGTTGATTCACAAACAGGTGGAGACCGAAGCAAGTTCAGTCGGCATGCGACCGAAAACAGAACAAAGATCTCGAAAGCGGCATCGCCATCGCCTCCAGTGATCGTATGAAAGTCGGCCATCACCTTTGTCCTGCCATGTGAATAGTTATAGCGACTGTCGCGGCGCGCAATACCTTCCAGCATGGCAACTGGCATGCGAGCCTGGACGCGATCCATTGAGGGATAGGTCGTGATAAGGACGCCACGATGCGCAAGCTGTTCCACTGTGATGGGACCAATCAGGGTCTTTTCAGAGACTGGAAGGTTTGCGAACGATAGTTCGACCAAGGTCTCGATTCCCCCGGCAACATGGTGTGCTGCTGCGTTCACCATATATTGGCTCGCTTCAAGAGCAGTCATGGGGCATTGGGAAGGGTTGATGGCAAGGTCGGTGTTCTCTGCAGATTGCATGGGACCGAGGGGACGAGTTCTTGCCGTAACGCAGGGTAGCGGTACGTTAGTGTTGCTCCTAATAGTGAAGGAATACCTCCAAGGTCCCGAACCAACCGGCGAAATTTCAAATCCGAGCACCATGATTCGTGAAGCCCAAGCTCTCGAAGAACCAGCATGGAAGTGCGCAGGTCAAAGGGAAGAAGGTTGATTGGATGGAATTCGTGCTGCGTCGTGTCGAACTTCAGGCCACTTAGAGCAGTGCCGGTTAAAAGTAACACCACAACGGCCTGTTGTTCCTTCTGGTTGACATTGTACGCAACGATTTCTTGATACGCACGCTGAAGCAAATCAGTTGCTTCCTGCAGGGTCCCCGCACTCCTGGACATGTCTTGCGCGATCCGGCGATCCTCGTCAATGTGAACAAAGATCAAAACTCGTGCGAGGTGCGGGTGTTGCTGGCGATGGCGTGCCACAACCGCGTCGAGAACCTGTGGTGTGCGAAGACCAGACCTGCATGCGCTGAAAACTGAAGTGCAGCTCGCATTGGTTAAGTTGGTGTGGCACAACCCATGAGCGGCCAGACGAGCAGCAAGAAGGGACTTCTGACAGGAAGCGGGAGCTTCGTACAAGCAATCACCACCATTGAAGTCGATGAAAATTTGCAAGGAGCGTTCAAGGAGTCTAGTAAGCTCGAAACTCTGATTCGACGTCAGGGGAGTATCAGCAGGCCCAAAGGTAAGGTTGCATTGCGCACGCATGAGGTTCGCGACCTGAGAGATTGCGTGTTTGGCAAAGGCGGTTTTGCCGCAGCCGCTGCTGGTGCGCATGAGGAGCACCGGAAAGTTTTTTCGGTCCGTCGGGGAGCCAAAAACCGATTGCGCGATGGAGCGGAACATTTGCATGGTCGCGAAAGGACGGGCTTGAAACACGCGCGGCCAAACTAGTTTGTCTTGACGTTCGACGTCAAACTGTCCTTCATCAACGGCTGCTGTTAAGGTGTCGATAGCCTCATCAGGATCCGTGACTGTTGAGTGATAGTGAAAGAAAAACAAGCAGACAAACTAAACGTCAGTAGGACTAATCGCCATCAACATGACAATTTCCAAGCACAAGGCTTACTTGAAGGCGGTTCGCTTGAAAGCGGCCCGCGCAGCGCTGCGGCTCGCAGCCGAGCAGCCGCGGCTCGCAGCTGGGCTTGGTCCAAAGAAACCTTGAGGTCAAGCTCAGTTTTGAGCGTCTGGAGCAATTGGTCACCAATCACGAACTTCCGCTGTCCTGGCGAAACCTCCAATTCCAGCTCCTTGAGTGCTGCTGCCGCGTCTTTTTTCTGTCTCTGAGTTGCCGTGACCTGTGCATCGGCTTCGAGATCTTTCAAAATTCCCCTCAGGGCAGCGCGTTGGGCAGGTTTGTTGGGGAGGTTTGAAATCGATGTCAAATCGACCGAGATACCAAGACATGCGACCAATCCGGACAGCAGCTCACTGTCAAAAGCGCATGCAATGAAGGCAACTTCAGCTGAAAGGCAAACAAGACCAATTACGACGAGTGCAATCACGTTACCTGAAAACCTGTTGAGCAAAAGGAACACAAAACGCAACGCAGTAAGCCCATTTCCACGGAAAACGAACACGACTTTGACGCCTTCAGCAAGTCCAACACTTACCCGATGAACACGCTGAGAAGCTGGTCCTTGGAAGCCTGCTTCCGTTGCCGTGCGCTTGAATCCGGACGCCATGTGAAAGAAGAAGACTGGCCTGTTCGTTTTTGGAAGCCGAGAGAGAAATGTGTTCGTGGAGACTTCCGCCCTTTGAACCTTTCGCTGCCTCATACTTCAGGAACCCCACATGCTGCATGAACTCGGACTGTGTGGTCCCGACACTGGTCTGGCGAGCGCTGAGGAAGTCCATGCTTTGAGTTCGACTTTGAAGCATTGTGCAACTGTTTGTGCGTTCGATCGGTTGTCGCTAGCGTTCCGTTTCTATCCCCAGCTGCTTTGTACGCCTCTCCAAGGCCATGCTCAACTTTAAGCGTGAGTTTCTAGTTCTCCAATGGTGGCTAAGCAGGTTGTCAGGGGCTGGCGGTCGATCGGCTGCTTGGCGAAAGTTTGTTGTGTCTCGGCGATGTTTCCCGCCTTCAACTTGGGACCAAGATTCTTTCCTTTTCTTGATCGCCCTTCCTGTGTGCTCAAGGGCCAAACTTGGGCTTCTTACTCCAATGGGTGCTCTTCAATCAGGGTGTAACAACATCCTGTTTGGCTGAGAAGAGGTTTCAAATTTTGTGAATTCCCGTGATCAGCACCCGTTTTGAGGTGCATTTGAGCCTTGCCTTTGCAACGGCCAAGACGCAAGATGTGTGTGCATTGGAATGGAACCTCGGTGGCGGGACGGGCAGCTGAGAACGTGGCAATTGAATTGAATCAGCATGATGAAAAACTCAAGGCCTTTCTTCCTCGCCCCCCCCCCCCGCCCCTACGTCTGTTCGGACCAAAAATGAAAATTGTACAGTAGACGTCCATGAGGGTATGCATGTGCGCGGTGAATCATCGAATCCATTCTGTTCAAAGAAATAATATGCTCCAGTCTTTTTAAAAAAATTATTGTAGTTTGCCTAACTCTGCAACACAATGCTTCGCACATTCACTCTCCGCGTCGCCCAGCCCCTCGCCCGCCAAGGTACCCAGCATAAGCTCTTCCTTTTCTCTCTTCTTCTTCTTCTTCACTCTTCCGCTTTCCTTTTGCTTGCGATGATGGCCAAAACAGCGAAGACTTGCGCTCCGTTCCCGCGCTTTTTTTTTTTTTTTTTTTTTTTTTTTTTTTTTTTTTGCCAAGACATTTCATGTCTGTTACAGCTTTTGCGATGACATCTTCAACGCACTTGTTCTCGCTTTCACTCTTCACTCGCGAGCGTGGCAAGTGTTCATTCTGGAACGCTGTCTTCCTGGTTTGACGAACTGCTCCCATCGGATTGAGCTCGCTGCGAATCGAGCGAGATGGCGAAAAAACCAAAAAACAAAAAAAAAAAAAAAAAAAAAAGCGAGAAGGCGGGAGTTTGAATTTTGCTGCTCTTCTCCTGGATATTGCGCCGTGATGAAGCGGCAAGGCGCCTCAAAGCGACTGGAATTGCAAAACGCTTGCAAGGCTTCACTTGCTTCCGAGCCAAGTCGCACCTGTCGCTGCAATCCGCTTCGGCCTTTTGTGGTTGCCCATCTTGGCGGCCCCTTTTTTTTTCTGCTTCGTTTTGCTTTTTTTTTTTTTTTTTTTCATTTTCGTTCAGTGGCCTTTTTTGCTTTGGTCGTTCACTCTGAATCGCGATTGAGCACTTTTTTTCCGGCACACGAGCAATGGAGCGACACACCCAACCAGCGCGATCATCACGCTCGCCTCGGATGGAGTGTTGCTGTTGCTGAGCCGTTTGAATGCATTGACCATGCCTGTTCTCTTTTTCTTTTTTTCTTTTTTTTCTTTTTGAATTATTTTTGAATTATTTTTGAATTTTTTTTGAATTTTTTTTTCAATGCTTTTTGCATTGCCTCATTGGTTTCTCTCATGCTCTGCCCATGCTGCTGTCTCTGTCTCTGTCTCTTCAATCGAATCGCTTGCAACCACTGTGAACGACTGTGACAACGCTCGCTGACGGACTGACTTTTCCCCTCCTCGTTTCATCACTTTTTAACAGTGCGCGCTCAGTCCACTGCCGCCGCTGCAGCGACTGAATCCCCGTTCGGCGTCAATGGCACCAAGTCCACCCCTGAGCAGATCAAGGCGGCCGAAGCCATGTGGGCCAAGAGCGCGAGGGCATTCGTCAACATTCCCCGTGAAAACATTTGTGCGTTTCCCTTGATTTTTTGACGTTGACATTGACATTGACATTGACATTTGACATTGAATCTGTGGCACTGACGTTTTCCTCCTCTCCTCTCCTCTCCTTCAAACAATGGCAGCCTTCGTTGCCGTCCCGTCCGCAACCAACGAAGCCAACGTCCTGCCGCTGTTCCAGATCAAGGGCGAGCCTGCAGCAAAGAACTCGTTCGACGCTGGTCTCCGCCACCTCACCCCCATCTCGTCGCTCCTGATTGCCACTTTGGGTACGACAACGTCCTGGTTCTCTTTGATTTTAATGCGCTGCTGTACATGTTGTGTGAATGGGTCACCTACGCCAACTGATGCTAACCTCTGCTGCAACAAAACACCCCCCCCCCTTCAACAACAGGCCGTGACGGCACCACCGGTCGCGAGTCGTTCCGAGGCAACGTTCTCATCGCGGAAGACCAAGCTGAGCACCAGCTCTTGTTGTCGGCAGCCGCCATCGATGGACAGCCTGGCATCAACCCGACCTTCCAACAGTACGCCGAGTTCTACTCGTTCCTTCGCGACGAGCTTGTGGCGCACGTCGTTGCCAACCGCGACGCTTACGCACCCTCGTACAAGAAGCTCCGATCCGTCCCTGTGGATCGCCTTAAGGACTTCCTTCTCGCCTCGGTGAGTGCGCAAACATGTTTTTTGTTTTCGTGCTTGATCGATTTTGTTTTCTAAACTGATTTTCGGGGGTTGTTGTTTTAGTACCGAGAGCCAATTCACCACCGCGAAGACTCTCAAGGCCAACTCGGCGCTGATGATTACATTGTCTTCAAGAAGCGTGCCTTCCTGAAGCTGTAAGCCAAGTTTTGGTTGCTTTGCCCTCCGACGTCCTCCTCGCTGCTTGCCCTGCTCTGCTTTTCGTTCTTGTTCACTCAACTTGTTGTTTCCCTGTACTTTGTGCTGGATTCCTTGTTTGACAGTGATCCCAAGACTTACGAACTGCGCAAGTCCCACGCCAACTTTGACCACGAACTCTGGGCGTCCAAGAAGGTTGTGCCCTACCCCATTCCTGTTCACGACAAGTTCGGCACTATGCTGCCAAACAAGACCAACGACGACCGCAAGCTCACTCGGTAAGGACGGGTTTGCTCTCCTAAAGCACCGCATGCTATTTTCGTGTTGATTGTGACAACGCGGTTCTCATCCCGTGCTTTGTTGTCCCAAACACACAGCGGCGACATTGTTCTTGCCGAGGTCTTGCTGCAGCCCCAACTCTTCGAACTCGCTGGAACTTTCGGCATGGGCTTCCGACGCCAACTCAAGAGCGTCGTCGTGCTCAACCGTGCCGACCGCGTTGCCTATTCGAATCAAGGCACGTCCGCGTTCGTGGTGGACGCCTAAAACTCAGATTGTCGTTTTTTGCGGATGATACTGCTACGCTTGCTGGCCGTCTTCGATTCGCCGTTTGAATTTAATGAGCATCTGGTGTCGGTGACGAACGTTCACAATGATTTTACGAAACAATTTTACGAAACAAAAAAATACATTCGATGTTGTCAACCAAGCAGTACCCGCCCACGTACACACAAATGGTTTTCTCAAAGACATCAAACCAGTTCAAAAGCACATTTTGCTTTCTTTCTCAAGTGATCAAATGTGCTCTCGAGGGATCAAACTGTCCACAAATGGAGCTAGAATCTCAATGACCTTCACATCTTTCGCAAGCACTTTGCAGAAGACCTCCTGTCGCGGGCCGTCCGGATCGATGACGTCTGTAAAGGTAAACTCGACCGAAATTCCTTGGATGGCTCCAAGAAGAACACGAACACTCTTACGTCGCCACCAGTCGACTTCGAAGTACTCTTGCTGGAGTGACGGTAATAAAACACGCCCATCAGCCCATTGGGCCCCAAGAAACTGCTCGTGAAACTCGCTAGCCTCCCAGTCGGACGCCGTGAGTGGAATGGTCAGCGCATGTACGGCAACGCGGAAATCATAAATTGGGTGCCCAAGAATGGCGGATAGGTAGACAAACCCCTCGCCCACGGCATATGGGTCGTTTGCAGGGTCTTGCAGCAACTGGCCTCCATCGTTCAAAATGAACTCGCGCGATTCGCCGGTTTGGTTGATGCGATTCGTGAGTTTAATAAACACCAACTCGGTTGTTTTAGCTTCCCGAAATCCGGCGATCTGAAGGCGGTCAAAGACTGAGGACGATAATTCCCGGGGAACGTCGTTGACAAAAACTGCCTTGAGATCGGCGTCATGTCCGATGACCATGCGTCGAAGTTGGGACGGTGTCACGGTGGAAGGAAGTTGACGCAATTTCGAGGTCGGATAGAAAAACTGCCGGCCAAATTTGAAAAAAATGACCAGCTCAGCCTCTTCGACTTGTGGTGTGCTTCCGTCTGGCTGGACAACCTGGCTTCCATGCTGGTCGTGCAAAAACGAAACAGGGAGTGTCTGATACACTTCCTGCTCCTTCGTCTGCTCGACGATTTTAGAGATGGCAGCACGAACCTCGTCCAAAGCATGGTGCTTTTCATCTGAGCAATAGAATGAGCGAGCTTGACGTTGAGTTTGATATCTTCTGACGGGTGAGGAGGGTTTTGAACGGGAGGGAGACTGCTCTGCAGTAGCCGACAGTCGGTACGTCTCCTTCTGATAGCTGTGTTGGGACGAACTTGGACGCTGGTCGCGGACGAAAAACAGACTCGATGCAGTGCTTAAGCGAGACGAGAGTAACACGAGAGCGCGGTTTGGATGTAGATAGACAGACTGGCCCCCCTGCTCAAACGCTGCAATTTGTCCGTCGATCATTTCCTTGGCTGATGCAACCTGCTCGGATGAGCCCTCGAGCACTAAACAAGAGCTCGCCGCTTCAAACCAAACAATGGCTCCGGTTCGCGCGCGGATGGAGATCAAATTTTGGCTTCTAAGGCCAATAAACCGGCCGCACTCTCCTGGCGGCAAGGGAACCCGCAATATGACCATAGCCAGAGCGGTCGGAATTGCATCATCCTCGGCCGTTAGCATGAGTCCATCTAGAGGAGCAGAACCATCGTACGCTGCAGCCACGTCGTAGTCAGATCCCCCGGCGGCATATCCGTTGTATTCTGATCCAAAGTTGTACTTCAGTCCACCGAGCGTTGCGAATCCGATCGGTCCGACGAGAGGGGCCGATCCGTCGTCGAGAGGGGCCGAACCATCGTCGAGAGGGGCCGAACCGTCGTCGTCGAGATCTGAGAGGACACTTTGACCGTAGAACTCGACAGATTCGAGCAGGGCGCTAGAGCTCTGGAAGGAACCGTCCCTGGGCAGCTCGCAAAACGAAGGAAAAATGTCGGGGAGGGGACCGGAGCTGAGTTGTTGTACGACTGGGTCGGCCGGTGCCAAATGTCCCGCATCCAGATTCAGAGTTGTCAAGCCTTGCGCTAAACTTGGTCTGTAGTCTGATGCGGGCGCTGAAGCAGAAGGCCCTCGATGGGTTGTCATAGCTGAAATTTCAACGCTTGCAAGCGCCGTACTCGATACAACCCCATTGGATGCCAATCCAATCCATCGCTTGTTAGTAGCAGATGTAAAAAGCCGGAACTCGCCAGGATGAGCAGCGGCGAACGCTCGGATCGTGCCGTACTTGGCTTTGACGCGCGTTGCTAACTGTGGCTTCAATCCAAAAACACCGAACGCGCTGGATTCCATGCACTGCTTGTTCGGATGGCCACTGATGGCATTCTTGAGCAGTTGGATGGCTGGCGCGAAATCCTCATTGGCGCGTAGAGACGAGGCTGATCCGAGTTGCGAAGCTGCGGTCATTATCGTTGCAGGCCTTGTCGTCGACACCGGCAACGACTGCCTCTGTTTGATTTCAGCAGGACGAGAAGCAGCGGATGGGGGGAGTGTCGAACTGGATGAATTCGGGCTGCCGGCAAGCGTAACGCACAGCATGCAGGCGCTGTTTGTAAAAACGCGGAAAAGGTCGGAATACGCTGAAACAAACGCGACAAACGAGATCCGACGCATGAGGGTGCTCAGCTCTGGGTTGGAGCTGCATGTGCCAGCAGCACCGTCAAGTGTCGAGCTTTGCGACGGACGGTCTTTGAGCCACGATCTGAGTCGCTGGGCTGCAGCATCGAGCAAGCGACGCTCCGCTTCGGTCACATCGACAAGCGGACGTTGTTGAGCAACGCTAGTACCAGCCTCGTCTGTTGGGCCCGAATGTTGCGCCTCCTGGTTCAAGGGATGCTGCGGCGGTGCAAACGAGGTTCCGACAACGTTGTTGACGGGCGCGCTTTGTGATGCTTGATGATCCGACGCCAATCCAATCCATCGCTTGTTAGAAGCATCTGCAAAGAGTCGGAAATCGCCAGGATGTGCCTCGACAAACGCTCGAATCGTGCCGTACTTGGCTTTGACGAGCGTTGCTAACTGCGGCTTCAATCCAAAAACGCCGAACGCGCTGGATTCCATGCACTGCTTGTTCGGATGGCCACCGATTGCATTCTTGAGCAGTTGGATGGCTGGCGTGAAATCCCCATTGGCTTGCAGAGAGGAAGCGGCGGGTCGTGCAGCAGGAGTCGTCTGAACCACAGCGGGCTGAGCGGGCTGAGCAGGCCGAGTTGGAGTACTCGGAGCAGCAGGAGCCCCAGCCGAACCACCCGAAGCAGTAGTAGTAGCAGCAGCAGCAGCAGCAGCAATTACAGCTGCAGTCCGAACAGCCCTTGTTCTCGCAGCAGTGGGGATGGTACGGGTCGTCGGGCCGGTTGCAGAAGGAGCGACTCTCGCTGGCTGAGCTTGAGGCACTGCTGGCTGAGCTTGAGGCACTGCCGGCTGAGCTAGAGTCACTGCCGGTTGAGCTAGAGTCACTACTGGCTGAGCTTGCTGGATGGTCGGCGTCGGGGCCACGCGCGTCGGCACGATCAGCTCGCGTCGACGTCCCGACGGAAGATTGTCTTCTTGGTCAAAATCCTCGTCGTCGTCGTCGTCGCTGTGGACAATCATCAGAGGAAATAAGAAATCGAAAAGTAGACTGAAACACAAAGCGAACTACTGTAACTGACTTTGATTTTGTATGGGATGAGACAAGGTGTCGTAAACTCGATATGGATTTTTGTACAGAGAAAGGAACAGAATCACCCAAAGAAAAGCCGGGGAGGGCTGAGAGGAAACAGGTCAAGAAACCTCAGAACAAACAAACAAACAAACAAGCAAACAAGAAAGAGAAGAAGAAGAAGGGAGTGGGGGATTAACAATGCAGACACAGACACGGAAAAGCGGAAAGAAAAAGAGAAAAAAAATAGCAACGGCATTTTGATTCTAAAATAAAGAGAAAAAGTCAAACACTCCTGTTTTTGACTTGTCTTGCTTGGATTTCTCAAAGCAGAAGAGGGTAGGGTCGTGTAACAAACGACAAAAATATAGAATCGTGCTAATTTGATGCTCGTCGAAGCCCGCTGGGGGATTCTGGCGGCGCATCGTCCATAGCAGACGCAGTGGATGAGGAATTGTCGTTGTTAGGGGCGCCAGGCGGGTTGATTGTCTCGGAGATGGATAGTCTGGAAGGCGATCCTTCGCTGGGAAGAGGGGAGAAGCGGCCGCTGCCAACGCTGCTGTTGCTGCCGCGGCGCATGTGCTGCGGCTTCCACCGCTCGCCCAGGGATCGGACAAAGTGAGAGTCCACGTCGACCAGCTCTCCGCCAGCACCGCTGTGCGGGCCCACGGGCGACGAGTGACTCGAAGGCGAGCCCCCTTCACCCGAATACGAGGGGCCGAGCGCCCGGCGGAAGTGGTCGTCGACTTCGGCAGCCTGTGGTTGCTGGTGGTAGCCAGGTTGCCCTTGCTGGTAGGAAGGGTGGAGTTGCTGCTGCACGACCTGCTGCTGTTGCTGCTGCACCAAGTGCGGATGCAAGATGGAGCTCGGCAACGAGCCGTAGTGACGCATTCCGCGCTCTTGGCCCGAATGTCGCAATGGGATGATGTGGGCGGCAGAGGCTGCAGCCATACCCGGGGAAAGCTGCGGCGCCGTAAACCCGCCCGTCGGATGGACCAGGACGGACTGTTGCGAAGTTGAATGACGCATAAACCGAGTGGGTACGTCACTACCGCCAGTTCCAGGTTGTTGTGGTTGTTGTTGCTGCTGCTGTTGTTGCTGTTGTTGTTGCTGCTGTTGGTGTTGCTGTTGCTGTCGCTGCTCGCGATACAAATTCACTGCTGCGGCAGACGACTTTGAACGGCCAATGCTGACAGCCCCGCCACGAGACGATGGCATTCGCTTGCCCACATTAACAGACGCTTGGTATGAAATCTCCTTGCCGCGCTCGAGACTCTTGCGACGTCGCAGGGAGGCGGTCGGAGAGTCCGTGCGATGAGGCATGGTGGGCGAGTACAGGGCGCCTGGTGAGTGCAGTGCAAGGTTTTGCATGGCAATGTGCGGCGGCATGTCTGCTTCGTCCATCGAATCAGACTCATCGCCAGCGTAAAAGCTGCTTCGATTGGACGATACAGGCGAGTACTCGCCATTGGCATTCCCGTTGTGGTGTGGGTAGGACATGCCGAAAAACGCATTGCCCTGTCCGCTGGCTTGCGAAGCCTGGACGCTGCCCAGCGAACTAATGCTCGTGCTCGACCCAGAACGGCGAACAGTGGTGAAATGGGGTCCAGAGTAGGACGACGTGACGCTACCCGATGGTGTCACGTACAAGGGTTGTTGCTGTTGCTGCTGTTGTTGTTGTTGTTGATGTTGGGATTGGTGGGGTGGCTGTTGGAGTTGCGGCACTGGAAGACTTGGTGAGCCAATCACTGGCGGAGCAGGAGTGAACATGGCGGGAGGGTGGTGACCCGCAATAACATAGGTGGGCTGCTGGTGAGGCGAGTATTGGTAGACCATTGTCTGCCCAGGAGGAATTTGGTTGTACAGATACGGGCTCATCGAGACGGCCATGCCAGGTCCTAGTGGTTGTTGTTGCTGCTGTTGTTGTGGCGAGTGGTGATGGTACATGCTTGGCGGCATTGGCTGGACATAACCGGACGGTGCAGCCTGTCCCGGTAACAATTGGTGCGACTCTGGCGCGTCTGTATGACTCAAAGTGGCGGCTGCTCGCGAGAGCTGCATGAGGGACGACGCGGCCCCTTGCTCCTGTGGGAGGGGAAGAAAAGTCAAGTCCAGCGAACAAAAATTGGTAAGTACAACACAAAAAACAACACCAGATCAATAGAAACAGCAACAGTATTTGATAATGGATGATGATGATGGAACACGTTTGCATTCTTCAGATCAACACCACACCAAAAAATCACCATCAAAAGATCAAAAAGGGTTATTGAGATCAGATTCCGTGCAATTTTCAACCCCCACACCCCGCCCACACACTGTCAAAAAAAAAAAAAGGAAAAGAGGTTGTTGAAGAGGGAGGATGAATACGGGAGAGCATTGAAACGAGTGCTGCAGAGCGGACATCGGAGGTTCAGGCAGGAACAAACAAATGGGTAACATGCTTGCACAATAATAATTAAAGAACTGCTCAAAAACTTCCAAATGGCGAAAATAAACATAAAGTCGAAACAAAATAACTCAAAAAAAAAAAAAAAGAGTCGAAACGAAAAGGAACACAATTCCAATCCGAGAGAATGTTGTTCGTGATGAAGGTATGGAATAGGAATACGAAAACAACAAAAATGAGTCATGGAGAATGTGGGCCATTGGAAGAGGGAGAGGCTTGTTGAATGCAAGCGAGTGCTGGTTTGGGTGACTGGTGAGTGTGCGAGATGAAGATGGGGGCTGAGTAGGGCGGGTTCGCAGATTGGGGGGAGGAGGCGCGTGCATTCAGCAATAAATAAAGGGAACAAAAAAAAAGACCGAACGACACCCAAATATCAAAAAAAAAAAAAAAAAAAAAAAAGTGACACGCATCCAACCGCAAAAAGCCGAAAAAAAAAAAGGGTCCTGAGCTTTTGAAGACAATCAGGACTCCTTGTGTGTGTGTGTGCGTGTGAGAGTAAGAGCTGCATGGACAAGGTTGAAAGGAAAGGGAAGGCTCAAAACCAAAGACGGGGGTCCTTCAACATCTTCAACGGAATCCGCGAAAAAAAGAAAAAAAAAAAAGTGCTTAAACGCAATCTCGTACACAAAGACCACCAAGCTTAAAGGCGCGAGAGAAAGAGAGACAGCCTCCGAATTGAATGCGGCATACGACACGCATACACTCAGTCCGCACCCACACACCATCGCCCGAGCGACAGACACACACACGGAAAAGGCAGACGTAAAAAAGCGGGGAAGTGACGCAAAAACAAAGTCGAGACGCAAAAATTCTCTCGACCCTGTATTTTTGGCCGCATCTCGCCCTCCCCCGACTGACTGCGCAGAGTAGGCGAGCAAGCTGTGGTTGGCCTTTTGTTGAAGGGGAGATGCAGTGCTGACACTGTTGTGTGATCACCAGCCCGACAACAGACAGCGAGCAGCAGCAAGCACCGACGAGTCGGCTGAGGTGAGAAATGCGACTTTTCACATAACTCGCCGCTCGTTTTCGCCGACAAACACTCGTTTTATTCCTCCGTTGCTTCCCCCCCCCCCATCCACTTCCTCTCGCAGGAGACAAAGGGCCATGAGCGAAAAAGGAACAAAAGTGTAAAACAAAAAAAGAAACACCAAAAGACCGGCAAGCATCAGGTCAAAGTACCTCAAACAACAACCGAGCAACTGTGCTGGGCATCGCAGTTTTGCAAAGTCGAAAAGTGGATAACGTAGACTGACTGATTGAATGCTTCTTCATTTTTTTCCCCCACCGCGAACAAAATCATACAAAAATTCAAAAAGACCAAAAAAAAAAAATGACGGAAGGCTCGCTCGAGGGGGGGGGGGTCATTCTTTTGCATTGTATCACACGCACACGCGCCGCGTCGTGCATTTTTGGGACGAGCGTGCTGATTTGGCAGAATCAAACAAAAGGCGCCAAATTTGCCACGAATAAAGAGCCAAAAGTGGAGTAAACGCAAGCCCTTCTGATCGCACTCGATTTGTTCAGAATGACTTTGCTTTTTGTGGCATTCCAAAGATCAAGGGTTGGATTGTGATTGCTCCTCGAAGGACGACGGAGAAGAAGCAGAGAGACCGAAACGAAGCAGAGAGAGAGAGAGAGCAAGGGAGAAGAGAGAGACCTAAAGATTAAAGATTAGATCTGCTGCCATCCTCTCCCCGCCGTCCCAAAAAGCATCGCAAAAGGCTCCTTCCAAGGAGAAAAGAAAGATCCAATCCACACGAGGGTTGGGGGAAGTGAGGGTGTCTCGCATCAGGCCGCGTTGCCAAGCTCCGGGTCATGAGCGAGGCTGGGGACTGTTGTCGTCGGCTGACACCCTGTAACCACAAACCTCGACACCACAATTGGGAATCGCCTTGTCACTTTCATTTTTCTCTCTGACTGCCAAACTCGTCCCTACGACAGAGCGACGTCCGTGCTGACGAGGAGCAGCAGAAGCAACGCCTCCTTCCTCTCAAGGGAACACGAAGAAGGCAAGCCAAAAAAAAACAAAAAAAAAAAACCTGACAATGGAAACGAGCATTTTGCTCAGCCAAGAATGGGATGTTACAAAAAACCCCAAACAATAATCCAAAATAATTGACTGGCACCGGTACCAAGCAATGAAAGAACTGGGGGGGGGAGAGAGGCAAATAAGGGCGGGGTTCACTTTGGGTTTGGCGTTGGGCGTTGCCTTGGCACGTTTTGTGCCACACTTGCCCAGTGAACCCGAAGCTCCAGATGCTCGAATGCAGAAAACAGCGTCGATCGTCACCTTTTTGTTTTGTTTGTGTACTTTGATTTTTTGAAAAGAAAAAAACAATCGAATCCAGATCTTACATGGAAAAAAAAAAAAAAAAAAAAAAGTCCAAGAAAAAAATACAATAAAATCAAATAAAATAAAAAATCGCAAAGAATGGCATGTTGCTGAAAAAAAATAATAAAAAAAAACTCGCCATTCTCAAGTGAGTCTGCGGGGGAGGTGGCGGTCGTACAATGGGGACCATTACACACACGCCTCACTCACGCAGCGCAGAACCAAGCTCGAGCTGCTGTCAACCGTCGTCGGGATTGAACTTTTTTTTGCTTGTGCTGCAGCATTTTTTGCTGTGTTTTTTTAAAAAAAAAAAAAAAAAAAAAAACAGGGAACGCCAACTCATTCGGGTTTTGAAACAAAGAGCGAGATCACACCCGCGAGCAACCAGCGGCTGGATGTATTCAACGGGCTTCTTCGCGTGCAGCCCGCAGGAGACTCCGGCACTTCCACAAGCGCAAGAAACAAAGCACAGCAGCAAATGCAAAATGCAATGCAATGCAAAATCAGCAAGACCTTGGCTTTTTTTTTTTTTTTTTTGAGTTTGTGGTTTTCCATTAAATTGCCAGAATGCGATCACGCTCCGTCACCAGTGAATTGGGACGCGGAGAGCGAGCGCCATGGCAAGAGATGAGCAGCAGGAGGGATGACGAAGGGAGGGGGGCGCGGGTTCACAAGGAGGAGGGCTTTTTGGGCCATGGAACAGCGAAAGAAGCGCCAAATGAAAAGAATGTCGGCGAACAAAAAAAAAAAAAAAAAAAAAAAAAAAAAAAGCCCGCGTGGAAAACGAGCAGCAAAGTGGTCATAAGAACGACGAAGAGGGGGGGGGAGAACAGAAACGAGAGGAGCGGGTGGTGCAGACGAGAGTGGCGCAGGGGCGGGTGAGCAAGGAGGGAGACGAGTGAGGGTGGTCGGGGATTGGGAGCGACCGAGGCAGTGGGAGTGGAAAAGCAGGAAGGGGGAGGAAAAAAAAAAAAAAAAGCAGGGCGCTGAACCGCGAACCCTGCGACCAAACAGAACCGAGCTCAAAAGGGGGGCGCCCACTTCACAGTCTGACGTCCCACAGGCTCAACGTCTTGCACGTAACGCAACGACCGGCAGTGCCGCGCCGAGCAGAAGCGGGGCGGCGGCCCACGGCAGATGCGATAGTGAATGAACTGCACGCGACCGGCATCATTATCCTCGACTGTTGCCTGCGCTCACGCTCGCTCTCTGGTATCTCACTGTGGGTGGCGAAAATGGCGACGGCGGGGATCTCTCTCAATTGCGTCGTTGTTGCTGATGCTCGGGTTGGCAGAACGTTGTCGTCGCCATGTTGCTTCAAGTGATCAAAGTTGTATTGTGTTACCTCGTTCATGAAATATTCAGAAAAAGAATAACTTAAAAAAACAAAATAAAAAAAAAAAGATTGAAAAAAAAAAACTGAACTTTTTTTTTTTTTTTTTCATTTCCTTGCATTCGCTTCAAAAGCCACTGAGGGCAAGCGATCTAGATTGTTTGCAAACCGGCATTGGTTGAGCGTATTACACTTTGTGCCATTGATGTGGCGGGCGCCAAAGTAGGACGAAACGCACGCAGCGCTGTCAAATTTGTTAAACGTTTTCATCGTTTTGTCGCATAGCAACGCTCAGAATTGCGCCGTTTATCAACACAGGTGTAGTGAATAGGGTACATGTGTCGTATTGTAACAAATTACAGAACGCCCTTGCGTGCCTCAGAAAGGCAGGCGATTGTCAAAAATAAATGAATAAAATAAAATAAAAAAGGGGGTCTTTCTCGGCTACGAAACATAGCGTGAAGACCGTGGAGAGCGGATACTGGGCAGTTGCGCATTGGGGTTGGCCCCGCGCTGCAAGAGCGCCGTGACGACGCGCTGGCGGACAATGGGCTGCGATACGGCAATCTGCAGCGGAGTGAATCCGCGCGCGTCCACACAATTCGCATCGGCGCCCAGCTCGAGCAGCAGGACAACGCGGTCTTCAAAGGCCATCTCAACCGCGTTGTGCAGACAGGATTGGTCCTCGGGATCGCCGCCGTCGTTGACATCCACTCCATAACGCTCGACCAGCGTGCGCAGGAGAGTGGGCATCCGTGCGTGCGTCAAGACCCGTCGGATGTGTGACTTTGGCAGCTGGTCCAACCGTGCAGCCCGATCCAAGAGGGCCAGCGCGGTTTCCTCACGGCCCTCCGACAGGGCCAGGGACAGAGGGACGACACCACGATGATCCCGCGTATTCACCAGTTGGCTGACGGCGCTCTCCTCCCACCCGAGCGATCGAGCCTCCCGCTCCATGGCGTCCAGCAGGAACATGGCACAGGCTGTGGCGCCTCCCAAGCAGGCGTAGTGGAGCGGGAGTTTGCCACTGTGATTGCACGCAAACAAATCCGCGCCGTGCTCAACCAGCAGCCGCACGGCATCAATCCGATCGGCAAAGGCGGCTGCGGCCAGCAGATCGATGGGCCAGGTGTCGGGGACGAGATAGGCCGAGGAGGATGCGAGCTCTGGGTTGTCGGAGAGAAGCTGGCTCGTCCTGTCGTCCAGCCCGTTTCGAAGACAGGCAAGGCCCAGCCGAAGCGGAGCCGCGAGGAGCATGTCGGTCGGCTCGGAGCACAGGCTCAGCAAGACTTCGCATGGGAGAAGTGCGCCATGCTTGATCAGAGTGAGCACCAGCTGAGTGGACTGCGCGCGAGATCCAAGCGCAGCATCGAGCGCGGTGCCGCCAGCCTCGTCCACTGCGTTGGGGTTTGCGCCCAGACCAAGCAGCATTTCCACCGCGGCGACGTTTCCGCGATGGCACGCAAGCATCAGTGGCGTGCTGCCGGACACGAGGTGGTCTGAATGCAGAGTGATGACACGCGGCGCAGGGCGACGACCTCGTGTGCGCGCCTCAATGTTCCCGCCGGCCTCGACGAGCATGCGGACCAGCAGCGCACCCGTCCCGCTCTGGGTGGCTGCATAATGAAGCGCGGTGAATCCGCTGCTCGGCTCGCACAGATTGACAATCCTCGGATCGCGCATGTGCTTCAGCATGGCTGCGAGCAGTCGCGGCGGTTTGTGGCTTGCAGCGTGATCAATCGGCTTGCCCATCGACATCATCAGCGGCGTCGTGCCAAACTTGTCGGGCGTTCCGACACCAGCGCCATGCTTGAGCAGCACGAGCGCAGCTTCGACGGCGCCGGCGAGCGCAGCCACATGCAGCGGCGTGCGACCCTGTGCAAACCACGCCGGAACAGCGCGAGGTCGGCGAGGATCGTCCAGCATTGTTGGCGCGTCATCGCCGCTCGTCGTCGTCATCGTCGCTGGGGTGAATAGATTGTGATTGCTAGAGCTGGAGGAAGATGAGCCCGAGGCAGCGGCAGCAGCAGGAGCAGGCTCGTCCACATAGAACGGCTCGGCCGCCCACGCTGGAGTCGCAGCAGTTGGATCAGCAGCAGCAGCAGCAGCAGCCAGCCCCGTGGATCGGCCTGCCATGGCACTGCTAGCATTCACTGTCGCTGTGGTTGCGTGGAGAGCAGCAGCGCTTGGTGCGATGACGCGAAGTGATGACAGCATTGGGTCATCGTCACTCCAGCTCATCCGCGCGCCTGCGACTCGGCCTCGTGCGAGCACCAATGGCGGCGGTGCTGGTGCTTCGTTTGCGTTGTCGTCGCTGTCGCTGGTTGTGTCGGACGACGCATCTTGCTGCGAAAAGAACGACGACGGCAATCGTGCATTCACGAGCGAATCCGTCCCAATCCCACTCCCATAGCCATGCGCATTCGAGCTGCTACTAGTATTGTACTGCTGATGTTGCTGATGGCTCGTCTGCAATAGCTGCGAAATCGAGGCGCTGTCGTTCGTCGCCGCTGCAAACCAGAGCGCGATTGGGATCATTCTCTACCCCTTTGGTCAGTCGCAATTGCTCAGAAACCAAGGTGTTAAACTGAGAACTTGCGATTGATTGCTTTTTTGAGAGTGAGTATTCCCCGACGAAATGGAGGAAAGAAACCACACAATGCTCAATCGCACAAAGCTCGGAAAGTGAAACCAACGACTGAGCTTCGATCTCGATTTGTCAAACAGTCAAACGATGAGATTCTATTGTCCCTTCCTCCCTTCCCTTCCCACTTCCTCCCCCAATCAGTCAATAAATACATTCTCAACTTGTCATGCGCATTTATCTCAATCTCTATACATGTACAAAGCCCGAACGGAATGAGTAAACATGTTTTTTCTTCACCCTTTCAAAATCCCGCAAAAACTACCACCGGCTAGCCTCGCCGGCTGGATGGACGCAAACTCGGGTCCTGACAGTAAGTGTGTCAGGACCCGAGTTTGCGTCCATCAAAGCGTTTGGGTCCCCCGTTGCTACTTCATGACAATATAGCCAAGAAGAGGAAATGAGAACTTGGGGTGCAAAACCAAGCTAATGATGGAACTTCAAGGGTAGTTAGGTTTGAAATAGGTCAAAGCGTGACATCGAAGTAAGAGACCACCCAAAAGAATAATGTCATGCATGAAACTC